AATGCAGGTAATTTTGGCTGTGGAGTCGGTGTGGACTGCACTACACCTGTCAAAATTTCAAGCGCTGTCAAGAAAAAACATGATAGGAAACGTCTTGGAGAGCGCATCGAAAGCGCTCTCTGGTCGATGTTACTACTCGGAGGAGAAACGAAGACTGGGCGGCTCTGTCACACCAGTCATACAGACGGATTGACGATGGCATCAAGGAATCCAGAAACAAAGCAGCACCACAAGGTCCTGATGCTGAAGGATCGCGTTCAAGCAATCCAGAAGTCACAACAAGGACAGTCGGTATGATTGATCGCATGAACAAATTTGAAGCCCAGCGCGAAACGAAACTTCCCCAGGGATTTTGACTCCTGGCTTCAGAAGTAGCAGCTGAATTTGAAGTCTGCAAAAAATTAATCTTCTCTCTCTCTCTCTCTCTCTCTCTCTCTCTCTCTCTCCATCTCTCCGTCTTTCTGACATTGCGCAAGTCCTGGGGAATCGTATTAGCTGCATTTTGACATACATATCATATAATGGGATCCACATATGGTCACGCGGTGCAAACCTCTAACTAAAGACCACCTGCTACTAAAGACCGCTTTTGCTGGCACCAAGGGGTGGTCGGTAGTCACAGGTTTTACTGTACCGGTAAGTGGATAGCTAACTAAAATAATTAGCCGTATGGTTTAGAAATAGTGGTGGCGACTCTGGATGGCAGTCGTGAGTCTGTCAAGTGTCAAGTCGACGGAATAGCGCTAGCTCCAGTGTGGGGAGCAAACCCATTCCTAGGTTAGCATCCCCCCACCTCACAACAGAGCAACCGAGTTTTGGATTAAGCTGGGAGTGCCGATTCGAGCAACTGGTATGATGGCTCTGCTTGGAGCCACTAGATGGCTCGCAGCTGAGCCGGCAAATGACTCTGCTTGGAGCCGGCAAATGACTCCGCATGGGGCCACCGAATGACTTCGCATGGAGCCGCCGAATGACTCTGCATGGAGCCGCCGAATGACCCCGCATGGAGCCGCCGAATGACCCCGCATGGAGCCCCAAATTGACTCCGCATGGAGCCGCCAATGACTCCGCATGGAGCCGCCAATGACTCCGCATGGAGCCGCCAATGACTCTGAGTAGAGCCTCCAAATGCTAAATATATTGGTAAGCATAACCAGTTGAGAGCATATATTCCATAAATCGGCACTCCCGGAGCGGATCACAAAGTGCAGCTACCCGTGCAATCTGTAAGCGGTGCAAGCTAGGTAAAGACTGTCAGAACTTGATATCATGGGCTGAGGCCATTGCCGCAGCCACCCATACTTTGGCTGCAGGTGGCGTCCGAATGTTACTCGGGCAGACATCGCTTTCCACCTTCCCGCCTCTCTGAATATCGAGTCCCGCAGCTGATTCGAAACGAGTGGCCGGTGTACAACGCCAGGCCAAAGCCACAACTGATGAGCAATATCCTCGCAGTTGCTGTAAATGCCCATCGATTGGCATTCGCAGCTGATGCCGCTAGTTTTCCCAGGTGCTGCGGGCTGCCACAATTGCAAACAACCCTTTGCGATTGCTGCTCTGCTTGATTGACTGTCCATCGCCCTATCCCCGGTCGAAATTGTACGAGCACCGGCCAAGTGCACCACTTGCATCAGTGAATACCAGCAAGTCGGGGGACGGCGTCCATTTAGGGTATAGGAAGAAGGACCGGCCGTTCCGCTAATCCAGGAGCTCAGGCCATCAGCAAAGATCTTTGAGGCACTCTTTGGAGAGCTTGATCAGGTAACACGGCTGCCGGTACCAGTTGGCAAGTGACCACAATCTGCAATTTGCATCCAGGGGCTATCACTCTTGTAGCAAACGGGAGCTTTCCCAGAAGAGACTCGAGTTGACATTGGGTAGTTGAAGCTGTGTGAAGAGTGGCCCGAAGGAGATCACGAAGCTCGGCAAGTTCGTCCATAGGCATACTGATGTTAGCGCGGCGGGTGTCCAGGATGACGCCGATAAACATCAGGACGTGGGCTGGACCCTCCACTTTCGCTGACGCCAGAGAAAACACCGAGGTATGTAAACGCGCGGCGCCGAGTAGCGAGTTGCTGGCGAGCTAACACAAGTTCAGAGCAGGCATGGAGACAGAAACGTTAGTCGAGGCACTCCCCGTAATAGGATGATGCCAATAACGTCAGGACTTGAGCTGGACCCTCCACTTTTGCTGGGGCCAGAGAAACATCGAAGTATGTAAATGCTCGGAGCAGAATAGCGAATTGCTGGCAAGCTAACACAAGTCCAGAGCATGCACTGAGGAAGTAACGTTAGTTGAGGTATTCCCCGTAATGCAATAGGCGTGTGAGTGCGAACTGCTAGCACATAATCCATTCACTGGCGGATGCGACAGAGTTCCATATAGCTGGACTGGAGCGTAATACAGTCTGAAGGGCAGGGCACTCTCATAAAAGTATTGATCCTGCCAGCGGATCGACAAGGACCAATCCTCCGGGCGGACGGGAATTCGGCAGAATGCACTTTTAACATTGAGCTTAGCAAGATACACCGGGGCGAGCACAATTGTGGAGGAAATTGTTTGGGAACGCATGTTCCGCAAGTTGCATGCTCGAAAGTCGAAAACAGCAATGACATGCAAGAGACATTGTACAGGATCTTGGAGGGCGCATGACCATGTGACTCGCGCATGCGTGCAGGTCGGGCCAGCTCGCTGGACTGCCTGCTAACTTGCGTTAGCATGCTAACGCTCATTATGGTTTAGATCGCATTATTGTAATGGTTGCGGTTTGATTTCAAAAGACCATAGAACGTGTCGTACTATCGGTCGAAAGTTTAGGGATGTGGTACTAATGGGCTGGGAATGTAAGGATCGGGTAGATTGCAGTGTTTTAATGGTCCTAGTTGTTGTATAAATAGAATGCTGAGATAATTAGAAGAGGACTATGAGGAGGAGCAAAATGACAGGGGTGACAGTGTTAAAGCTCTGAGCAGACGGCGTCGGCAGGAGTGCCTACACAGAGAGTAGAAGAAGGGAGAAGAGAGGTCCCGCCGCCTCGAGAGTCGCCGTGCTTGCGAAAGGCTATGCCAACAGCAAGAAACGACGGAGCAAATATCCCGTCGTTTGGAGACTCACCGCCTTCGTGACAAGACGCGTTGACAGCTAGAGACCGCTGCACAGGCATCCATTCAGCAGGAGAAAATACATGCTCTCATGCTCGAACTTGTTCGGTGTGATCATCATGTTACGCACCAGCCTGGCCCTATTCCGTTGATGTTCCGTACCATTCTGGCAAAGACTGCTGGCCACATGTTGAAACAGGGCTTGAAAAAAATGAAATAAGCTAGTACCAAAGCGTAATCTATTATTATATTTACTTTTACTTGGTAGAATGTACCTGTCTGAGAGTTTGAGTTTTGAGTTATGTATCGATGTGCGTTTATGAACTAAAGTTTTGATTGTCATGCACATGTTTTTGTATTGCAAAGACGTTTCTATCAGTTCGAACAACACACATGATGACCTAGGCAAATATTAAGCATAGCGAGGGCTCCTGGGCGGTCAAGCCCTCTCTAGCCTTCAAGCCCAAGCGCTCTTTATTTGTGCGATATCGAAATGAAAAACTAAATGATATAACAACGATGAACAATTTATTTCAGCCAAGTACAAGTGGGGTCTATTGGTATCCTTTATTTCAGCCGAATAAAACTGTTGTTTATTCCTATCGCATAATGCATGATAACCTAGGCAAAAAAGATAGTGAGGGCCCTGAGCTTTCAACTGAGCTCTCTCGTTGGAATTATTAATATGGAGGTGTATGTGCCAATTTTTCACGTAGGATTGCCTGCCACTTGCAGCACTGCATTGCCTTCTGCAACTTGGGGGAAGCTGCGTGCTCAGGCCCGTAGCAGCTCCATTCTGGTTGGTCCAGCGAGACCTGACTTCCACAACTTTGCGTGCTTTTCTTGTGACGGGCATATACATGGTACAAAGTATGTGTGTATGTGTGTGTGTCCGTGTGTGTCTGTGTGTGTGTGTGTGTGTGTGTGTGTGTTGGCGTTCCTCTGGAGCAGCTTGGTGACATCGTCCAAGATCGACAGGGATGGCGGGTCACCTGCCGTGACGCTGTCGACGCTATTGTCCAGTCCCGCATGGAGCCTGTGGCGAAGCCCCTCATTTGTGGCACTTGTGCGCGCAGTTTTCGTCGGCCACAGGATATTGCGACGCACAAGTGTAACGCTGTTCGCGCGGCCCGCGCGCGCTGAGTATGGCGTTCCCCGCCCGGTGGACAACACGTCTCCTGGTCTGCCCCGTATGGGGCCACATAGCCAGTCATGGCAGTGGAAGAAGGAAGGAAGGAAGGTGTGTGTGTGTGTGTGTGTGTGTGTGTGTGTGTGTGTGTGTATGTATGTATGTGTATATGTGTGTGTGTGTGCATGTGTGTGTGTGTGTGTGTGTGTGTGTGTGTGTGTGTATGTATGTATGTGTATATGTGTGTGTGTGTGCATGTGTGTGTGTGTGTGTGTGTGTGTGTGTGTGTGTGCGTGCGTGCGTGTGTGTGTGTGTGCGTGTGCCCCCCACCCAAACCAAAATCATGGTTTCTGGCCCCCACCTCTAACGACGATCTAGAGCCGCTCGCGACTCGAACCATGGAGATTGCCCATGTGTCGTCTTTTCGTTACCTTGGATCCAACATACACAGCAACGGCCGATGTCATGATGATGTTACATCCCGGATCTCTGTCTTTTCTCCTTCTGTCTGTCTGTCTGTCTGTCTGTCTGTCTGTCTGTCTGTCTGTCTGTCTCTGTGTGTTTGTGTGTGTGTGTGTGTGTGTCTCTCTCTCCCTCTCTCTCTCTCTCTCTCCCTCTCTCTGTCTCTGTCTCTCTCTCTCTCTCTCTCTCTCTCTCTCTCTCTCTCTCTCTCTCTCTCTCTCTCTCTCTCTCTCTCTCTCTCTCTTTACCCCGCTCTCTCTCTCTGTGTCAATATGTGGGCTTTGCGCAGCAAAGCCTAGTTAGCCCATGCACACGCATGCTGGTGGTGGAGTGCTGCGAGTGCGTGTCATGTGACCACCTCGTGATTAAGCTGTGTGCGCCGTGTATGGCCTGGCAAAATTTTATGGACAATCGTGGATCCAGCGTCTAATTATTTGGAGACGTGTTTTGCTGAGCTGTCTTTGTGCGAAGGAGCATTCTTTGCAGTTGCAGTTTCTGTGTGAAGTCAAAGTTTTTTCTTCCTTCCGAGGTTTCCCCTTTTCTCCGTTACTTGCGGAGATTAATATGAGCACCCGACGTGTCGCGACCCGCAGCATGGCTGTGCGAGCTCCTCCTGCTGCTGCAGCACCCCCTGCTCCCCCGACCCGCAGCATGGCGGCTCGAGCTTCTCCTGCTGCTGCAGCACCCCCTGCTCCCCCGGCAACGCCGGCTCCGGCGCCTGGGTTTTCTCCTGGCCAAATGGCAACCCTCCAGGCCTTGATCGCCACATCTGTCCAGGCGGCTGTTAGAGCCGTCGCCCCTGCAGCCTCGGGTCAGGCGGAGTCGACACGCCGTCCGTCCCGCCCGGCTGCCCCTGCCAACACTGCCGAGCCTCGGGTGCAGGTGGAGGAGTCGTTTCCTACAGGTACGGGTGTGTGTAGTAGTAGTTCCACACGTGTGCCTACTAGTGCTAGCCTCCCTACCCCTGTGGCTGCGTCGACTGTCGTCGACGGGCTGTCTCCCCCTATACCTAGTGGTGTGACTATCCATAGCTCTCGTGTGCCTACTCCTAGTCCTAGTGTGAATAACTCTAGCAGTCTCCCGTACAATGATTTTGTGTGTAACCCTAGTGCTGTCAATGTCGGGTCCCGTAATGGGGTGACTGACCACGTGCCCCGTAGTACGTACGACAAGGTGCTGCGCGGGGAATATGTGGAGCTTGCGTTGTTCCTCACCCCCCTCGCGGACGAGCCAGCCGCAAAGCGAGTCCGGGTGTCGGAGGATAGTGGCCAGCTAGTGCTCTCCCCGTCCCTGCCATCCCGCCGCAAGCTGGAGAGCCTGCCCGTTTGGCTGGAGGCATGGTCGGTGTATTGCGCACTGATCTGCGACACCCAACCCGCAAGGGCGGTGTCGCTGATTACATATCAGCTTCGTATCATTCAAGCGGCGAAACGATATAGGTGGGCGGCGGTGTGCCAATATGACGAGGAGTTCCGTCGGAAACTCGCCCACAGCCCTGGCATGCAGTGGGATGTGGTGGATCAGGACCTGTACACCCGCTGTTTCACAGGCCAGGCGCTCGTTCTCTGCCCGCTATGCAAGCGTCTCGGACACACCGCCAACACCTGCACCTCCCGGGACCAGCGCAAGCCCGGCACGACCCAGCCAGCGTGCGAGCTGCACAACAAGGGCCGGTGCAATTTTCGGAACTGTAGGTATCGCCACGTCTGCAGCTCCTGCGGAGCTCCCGATCACGTCGCCACCCGGTGCGGGGCTCGCGCCGGCCAGTGAGGCCCCGGCTAGTCCGTATCCTGCTTTATCCACGCACACACCTCACACTCCTGTTGTTTTTAATGCATTCGTGTCTGATTCGCACGCACGTACACACCCTGCCTTACCCACGCACACCCCTCACACTCCAATTGTTCTGCAGGCATTGGAAATTGAATTGCTCGCACACCCTGATCCTGCATTTGTTGCCCATTTGTTAGATGGTTTACGCTATGGTTTTAGAGTTGGCTATGACGGTCCCCGTCATTCTTTGCTTTGTGAGAATCTTGCTTCGGCATTTGTTTCCCCTGAGATTGTTTCAGCTTACCTCGCTAAAGAGGTTCAGCTTGGTCATACGGCCGGTCCGTTTCGGCAACCCCCGTTCGCCAACTTCCGCTCGGCTGGCGTCGGTGTCATTCCGAAGAAGTCAGGTGGCCACCGCCTGATAGTGCATCTGTCCGCGCCGGCCGGCGCTAGTATCAACGATGGCATTCCCGAAGACCTGTACAGCCTCGAGTACATTACTGTGGACGTCGTCGTGGGGCACGTGATCCGTCACGGCAAGGGCGCGCTAATGTACAAGGTGGATATCCGCCACGCGTTCCGAAACATCCCCGTCCACCCACACGATTGGCCCCTCCTAGGCATGGTGTGGGACGGGCAGTATTACTTCGACAAGGTCCTGCCATTCGGGCTGCGGTCTTCCCCGGCTCTCTTCAACCTGCTGGCAGATGCGCTATGTTGGATACTCCGGCACAACTATTCCCTGGCCGACCTCGAGCATTATCTGGACGACTACATCGGCGTCGCCCCGCCTAGCCCCTCTCCATCGTCATCTACCGCAGCCATTCAACAAGCGACGCTGCTAACCGTGTTTGAGAACTTGGGCGTTCCAGTGGCTACCGGCCAGGACAAGGTCGTCCCTCCAACGACTGTGATGACTGTGCTGGGGATCGAAGTTGACAGTGTGGAGCAGGCGACTCGGCTCCCCCAGGACAAGTTGTCCGCCCTCCACGCAGCTCTGGCAACTTGGCTCCAGCGCACCGACTGCTCCAAGCGTGAGCTCCTGTCCCTCATAGGCACGCTGTCCTTCGCCGCCAAGGTGGTCCCCCCGGGCCGCACGTTCATTCGGCGCCTCATTGACCTCAGCACAACGGCTTCCTCCATGTCTGCCCGGATCCCGATCGATGAGGAAGCGCGCCTCGACATCGTCTGGTGGCATCGCTTTGCAGCCGACTGGAATGGGAAGTCCTTCTTCCACGACCAGGCCTGGTCCCGTTCTCCTGACCTCCAGTTGTTCACAGACGCCTCCGGCGAGGGCTACGGGGGCTACTTCCAGGGCGACTGGTTTTTTGGGAAGTGGCCGGAGGAGTTTGAATCTCCTCAGCTAAGCGTTATTATGGTTAGAGAAATGGTTCCCATTGCCCTAGCTTGCTGCATTTGGGGTCCGTGCTGGGCAGGGAAGAAGCTGCTGTTTCATTGCGATAACGAGGCGGTAGTTAGAGCTTGGAAGAATGGTTCATGTAGGAACAAGCAGGCCATGGCGTTGATCCGTTTTATGTTAGCTGTTGCCGCTAGGCACAATTTCATATTGTATATCCGCCATATTGCTGGTACTAATAACGGCATTGCTGATGCTCTTTCTCGCTTGCAGCTGACCCGCTTCCGTCAACTGGCGCCAACGGCGGCTGCTTCGCCAGTGCCATGCCCCTGCCCGACCGTGCTGCTCTAGGCCTCGAGGCTGATGCCCTTGTAGCAGGTTCAGTGTCAGAACGCTCAGCGAGAACGTTCTCCACTGGCATTGATGCCTTCAATGATTATTGCGTTAAACATATTGTCAATCCCCTTGCACCCTCTAAGGAGGATATCGTATTATTTGCTACCGAGCTGTCTCGTACGAGGTGTGTGGCGACTGTGCGTGTGTATTTGTCAGCGGTACGGTATCATTTGCTGTGCAAGCGTGTTCCGGTGACTTGTATGCAGTCCGTCCGTCTTTCTGCAGTTCTCAAGGGCCTTGAGAGGAGGCAGGGTCCCGCAACCACGACGCGGAGAGGTCTCACTGGGCAAGATCTGGCCGACTTACAGCATTTCCTACTCCGGTCCAACTACAGCGAGTCGGACCGCGCAATGATCTGGGCCAGTGTCTTGACAGCGTTCCACGGCCTTCTGCGGGCGAGTGAGTTCCTGGCACCGCATGCAACAAGAGTCGATAGCACGCGCACGCTAACCTGGCAGCAGATCAGTGTCCAGGCATCATCGGCAGTCGTCCGCTTGCGGGTGACGAAGACAGCCCAGCTGGGTGACGGCGGCCAAGTACAGCTGCGCGAGACACGCGACGACTTCTGCCCTGTGCGTGCCCTGACCGCCTATCTGGACCTTGCGGGTCAGAGAGAGGCGACGGAGCCAGTGTTTGTGTTTGCGTCTGGCCGGTTTCTGACCAGGGAGGAACTGACCAAGATTCTGCGGCTAGCCCTGAGGACGAACGAGGTCAGCTCTCACTCCATGCGTATCGGTGGCGCTTCACTCATGGCTCAGCGTGGGGCAAGTGAATGGCAAGTAAAGCGGGCGGGCCGCTGGAGAAGCTCTGCATGCGAACGTTATGTGCGGCAGGCAGCCGGGATGCCTAGCTTGTAAGTTATTGAGCGGCGCTCGCCATGATAACTAGTGTGTGTATGCCTGCACGGGCGCGGTATTAATGTGAGGAATTCGCGGCACCTGCAGCTGTGGTCACAAAGCTAGCTCGTTGTGGGTTGCGGGGATCGGGATGCCATGGTTTCTAGGACTACTATCTTTTTTGGGGCAAACGGGCCTCCTATTATGTCTGTATGTTGTGACGCCTGATGCCAGGCAGTCGTGTGAGCCCTCGGTGGGCGATTGGCTGGCCTCGGTGGCCGTTTGTGTGCCCTCGGCGGGCAAGATGATATCGGCCCACGGTGGGCAGTTTGCTTGCCTCGGTGGCAATTTGCGCACCCTCGATGGGTTGTCTGCTGGTTTAGCCCTCGACGGGCGGTTTGCTGGCCGCGGCGGCCATTTGAGCGCCCTCGGTGGGCAGTATACTAGTTTACCCCTCGGCGGGCGGTTTGCTGGCCTCGGCGGCCATGTGTGCGCCCTCGGTGGGCAGTATGCTAGTTTAGCCCTCGGCGGGCGGTTTGCTGGCCTCGGCGGCCATTTGCGCGCCCTCGGTGGGCAGTAGGCTAGTTTAGCCATTTGGGCGCCCTCGGTGGGCAGTATGCTAGTTTAGCCCGCGGCGGGCCGCGGTGGCCATTTGGGCGCCCTTGGCGGGCGGATGCTAGTTTCAGGCATGCATCTTTACTCAATCAATTATTATCAAAGAGCATATTCTTGAATATTTGAATTGTCCAAAAGAAATCATGGCAACCCCCAACCCAATGTGTCTATTGTACGTTTGTGCACGCCATAGTGAGCGGTACGTTGTGCGGGTGTCTGCGTGTCAGAGCATGGGTACACCAGTGGCGTGTGCGTGCATGTGTGCGCTTGCGTCTGGCTGCATGAGTGCACGAGTGCCCAAGCTGGGCGTGCGGGTGCACTTGAGGTGCTTGCATGTTGACGGGTGCAGGGGTTAAATGTGGGCTTTGCGCAGCAAAGCCTAGTTAGCCCATGCACACGCATGCTGGTGGTGGAGTGCTGCGAGTGCGTGTCATGTGACCACCTCGTGATTAAGCTGTGTGCGCCGTGTATGGCCTGGCAAAATTTTATGGACAATCGTGGATCCAGCGTCTAATTATTTGGAGACGTGTTTTGCTGAGCTGTCTTTGTGCGAAGGAGCATTCTTTGCAGTTGCAGTTTCTGTGTGAAGTCAAAGTTTTTTCCCTCCCTCCCACCCCTTTTGAAGGGGCATTTTGTTTCTCCGGTGGGGGGGGGGGGGGGGGGGCAAACGGGCCTCCTATTATGTCTGTATGTTGTGACGCCTGATGCCAGGCAGTCGTGTGAGCCCTCGGTGGGCGATTGGCTGGCCTCGGTGGCCGTTTGTGTGCCCTCGGCGGGCAAGATGATATCGGCCCACGGTGGGCAGTTTGCTTGCCTCGGTGGCAATTTGCGCACCCTCGATGGGTTGTCTGCTGGTTTAGCCCTCGACGGGCGGTTTGCTGGCCGCGGCGGCCATTTGAGCGCCCTCGGTGGGCAGTATACTAGTTTACCCCTCGGCGGGCGGTTTGCTGGCCTCGGCGGCCATGTGTGCGCCCTCGGTGGGCAGTATGCTAGTTTAGCCCTCGGCGGGCGGTTTGCTGGCCTCGGCGGCCATTTGCGCGCCCTCGGTGGGCAGTAGGCTAGTTTAGCCATTTGGGCGCCCTCGGTGGGCAGTATGCTAGTTTAGCCCGCGGCGGGCCGCGGTGGCCATTTGGGCGCCCTTGGCGGGCGGATGCTAGTTTCAGGCATGCATCTTTACTCAATCAATTATTATCAAAGAGCATATTCTTGAATATTTGAATTGTCCAAAAGAAATCATGGCAACCCCCAACCCAATGTGTCTATTGTACGTTTGTGCACGCCATAGTGAGCGGTACGTTGTGCGGGTGTCTGCGTGTCAGAGCATGGGTACACCAGTGGCGTGTGCGTGCATGTGTGCGCTTGCGTCTGGCTGCATGAGTGCACGAGTGCCCAAGCTGGGCGTGCGGGTGCACTTGAGGTGCTTGCATGTTGACGGGTGCAGGGGTTAAATACAGCTTTCACTGTCCATGAGCGACACTGACTCGCACTGCTAACTGGTGCTCACGAGGTGTTTGTCGCGCTGCAAACGGAGCGTCTCTGTAAGTTTGTATCCCTGGTGATGTTTGGACCTGGAGAGCACTATATAAATGGTGCTTCTCAGGCACAATCTTCCTCAGCCTACTCAAACTCGACTGACGAGGGTAAATTTTCCCGAAACACTGTGTATTGAGCAGGGAGTGGTCCCTTCTTGCAGGTTTTCCGAGTGGAAGGTTGGATGGACTTTTCGTGTGCTCTGGGTGGCAGCTGTCAGTCAGTCAAGTGTAAAGTCAAGGCGGCGGAATAGCGTGAGCTCCAGTGTCGAAAGCAAACCCTTTCCTAACAATCTTCGCCGAAGTCGCAACCACTATTTCGTAGGTCTACCCTTGTTAGGAGACAACCCTGGGGGTATCAACTTTTTTTGTCTGATAACGAGTACATTTTTCTGCTGCTTTGCATCATCCATATTGTGTCCACATCAGAACTGATGGTTCCTTGTTATTAGACAGTGTTTTCCACCAGACCCCTGTACAAGACAACCCATTATCAGACAATGTTTCATCGGACCCCGATACAAGACAACATGAAATATCAATCGAGCTATCCTCGGCCATCCGCTTTTTCTTGTAATGAGAATTCAAACCTGTAGGACAGCTGGAGGGGACGTTATAACGAATTTGGTCTACAAACGAATAATCTCTTATCCGGACTTGCATGTACGACTGCTAATGATTCATGGGATTTTGGATCGTTGTCTGCTAATGAGGTTTGTCTTGCAACCGATGTCATACTAACGAGGGTAGGACTGTAAATTAAATGCTTGAAAGTTGAAACTTCGTTTTTCAGATGAATCAGACTGCAAATCAATAGCATAGCAAAGACCATAGCTATCCCAGGAACACTTGAGTAGTGCCCTCTTTTACCTTTTTCTATGTTGTCCTCTTCAGTTTGAGCAGGTATGGATGTTTCCTAGTGCCTTCTAGAATTTCTAGGTATATCATTGGTCTTGTTCGGATCGTCCATTACGTTTGCAGCTGTTCAAACTTGTATTGTTGTTTATTATTTTATTGATTTATTTATTCTACTTGCCTTTCCTATCTTCTTGTGTTTTAGCATTAGGCGATTTGATCGCAGGACGAGAGAGGAGCTGATGGACGATCTCTCCAATGTTCCACTTGGTTCGGAGCGGCGCCGAGTGCTGACGTTGGGACTTGGGTAAGGATGAGTGTTCCCTCATGTTTACAAGTTATCCGTTTTGTCCAACACTAACGGTTATATGCAGAATACTGTTGAGTCAAAAATGTGCAACAATCAGCACAAAAACTGACTGATGAGATCATGACATTCAACGACCTGATGCTTACCTGCATCACGTTTATACCCGTTAGTGTTGGAAAAAACGGATACCTCGTAAACTTATGGTCCTCTTTTTTAATTTTAATCCTTGGCTCTCCATCCGAGTTCCCTCATGTGTTGCTATTATTTTTATTTACTTATTTTTTTGCCCAGGGTCTACATTCTACATTTATTTTACTTAGACTAGGGTTAGCTGTCCGTTTACCAGTACTCATCCACACATATGTGCACATAGGGTCTACACAGAACTCTATCAGTAGATATTTTTGTATAGGAGGTTGTCTATCCTCCGGGATAGCACTATATACTCCCATTCTGTGTGTTCTCTGGTAGCTATGTTCCTTAGAGACCATATGACTGTGCCAGTGTGGTGACCGAGGTGAGGTGTGTCTGCACTGGCATCGTCAACTTGCCTACTGCTACGTGCTCCCCAGTGCTCCATCTGTGTCCTGTACTTTATTTGGGGGGGGGGGGGGGAGGGGCAATACCGGTACTTCAGGTGCAGGGGGCAAGGGGGATGGGGTGGGGGACATCATGCCCCCAATGAACCTCTCCAGGCGTTGTTCTGGAGTAGACTAACCATAGGCGGAGTGTACACATGCAGCACATAGTTTGGGAATTAGAACGCGATCAGACTCGGGCATATTCAAAGGCAGTCTATTGTGATAGTAGTCCTGGACGGATCTCACTATGATGACATAGGTCGTGCCCAGCATCACAATGCCCAACATTATAAATGACTGTTTTTTTTCCTGAGGGGCTAGATGAACATGTGGCTAGACTGCCGATGGCAACCAACAGGCTCAAGGCTGTGTTGAGACTTCGTGTTTGCGACCCGAGTCAATTGTTTACTCACCATGACTAGGCATCGCATCGGGCATCGTATGACCATTTTATATGTCACTGTTCTTAGTCGCACCGGGGGCGTATGCCCGTTTTCAGGAGACTTATCAAAACACATAAGCCCTGTGCCCTGAAGGTTAGGCCTATTGTTAGTCTGAATAGTCCTGGCTACTATCCCACTAAGTTCATTGACTTTCTACTGAACCTGTATGTACGTGAGGAAAGTACTGTTCTGGCCTGAACTACGGATTTCATCAACTTGGTAGAAGGTTTGCCTGTGCGGGACGATCATTTATTTTTAGTATAGATGTGACCAGCCTTTACACCAGCATCCCCAACGAGCTCGGTCACGTGGCATTGTCGTGGTATATCACACACAGGTATACAAGGTGGATGCCCCCGGCCCTTCGTACACGGTTAACAACAGCAGTGACTTCCTTGATGTCAGTCATTCGGAAGACTAACGGGTTCGTGTAAGATAACGATTTGTTTCCGCAGATCCAAGGGACTGCCATGGGTTCGCCTGCAGCAGTGGTCTATGCCGACATTGTTATGCTGTATTTGGAGAATCGGTACATTTTGCCGATCTTAGAGGGGGATGGTTTAGAGGTTCAGGTTTATAGACGCTTTATCAGTGACATTTTTGTTTCATTGCATGGTTGCGAAGGTCAAGTTCAGCGCGCTTTAGACAGGATTAATAAGTGTTCGGCCCTCGAGTTTGCGCATGAACTGGCACATGATGGCATTGATTTCCTGGACACCACAGTTTTCCGTAGTAAGGGATACATGGCGGTGAAGCCTCATTTCAAGGTCACCAATCGTTTCCTGTATCTGCTTGCCGGTAGTAACCAGCCCCGTAGTATGGGTAAAGGTGTGATCACTGGGGAGTTGATCCGTATCCATCGGTCTTCGACCCTTGACCACCACTACGAAGCTGCTGCCGAGCAGGCGAAGCAGACTTTCCGGGCCCGTGTATACAAGAGCTCCATCTTTCATCTTTCAGACCGTACACCAGGCATGCAAGGCCGGCACAGCTGGGGTGGCTGGGGCGGCCTCAGCCGCCCCACTTTTTTGGCCGTTTTTTTGTTCTTGTTTTTTTAGCACACTGCAACAAAGCGCGATGATCGCAGCTCAGCTCAAACGTGGCAAATAATGAAGAATCCTTGTGTATCAAGGTCAAGGTGTGTGTGTGTGTGTGTGTGTGTGTGTGTGTGTGTGCCTGTGTGTGTGTGTGTGTGTGTGCCTGTGTGTGTACGTGCCTGTGTGTGTACGTGCCTGTGACGTGTACAGCCGGTGTGTGCACACCGCTAGCTAAACCGACCAACGGCTACTCCCAGGGCACAAACTATTCTGCTGGAGGCAGCGTCGTCTTCGGCTGAAATTCCGGATACAACCTGCAGGGAAGCATTGTGCGCATCTGCCAGATTGACGGTTCCTGGAGTGGGGCAGCTGCCTCATGTAATCGTAAGTTGAATTTCAAGAGAGCCGATATATCCCTCTTGTGTAGAGAAGCTTCAGGCTGGTAGGAAGGCAGATTCTGGTGGCGTTGATCTTTCCTATTTACAGAGCATGTAATAGTCTGGGTGTTACCTGCCACTTTTCATCATCACAAATGATGATCGTGCTTATCACAGGACCCAGGACCAGTCGGGCATCTCAGCCTGAGTCCTTAGGAGATATGTTATACTTGTAGGTGTATGGTTAGGGTGTTTCACCGGGTAGAGGCGACGGTTTCAAATAGGACACAGGTTGCAAACCGGAACGGACTCAATATTCACTTTCTCTCTTGGTATTTTGATTAGAAAACATATGTCACAGTGAGACTACGATGTGTTATACTCCGAGCCAAAATTTCATGGCTCTGCGATGACCAGACGCGCCATACCAAGCAGGTGAGTTTTTGACGTGTTGCTTCGCACTGCGACTTGAGTTTTACGACTTTCAAAAAATCAACTTCTTGTCGCAGGTAAACAGCGGCTCGCCTCTTGCCAATAAAGCACCGCGTACCAATCAAAACTAATGGAAGCACACACAAGGCTTATTGTTACTCTGTACTGGCTGTCGTGGAGCGATAGCAATTAGCTAATTTCAGACCCAAAGTGAATTTGACGTGCACTCTAAAACGTGTCCGGTTTGGAGCCACCTCTGATTTGAACTTTTTTGAAGCGAAAAATTGGGCAACTTGGAGGCAATGGGTCAACACAAAGGAGTGGCTCAGTTCGATTGACTCTGGCCCCAGAGCAAACTTCAACATGCCAGTTTCCTTCCACAAACATATTTCGAGTGAAAAATCAACGCTGATGATCGGTTTGGGTCTATACAAATTTGGCTGTCAAGGCGTTCCGGTATCGAACCGTCTACTCTACCAGAACACTGAGTTGTTGGCATAAGCCGGTAACTTTTGTCGAGCCTGTTTTAGGCTACCACCTCCTCCAAATATGCTAATATCTCTTGACTGTACAAAAGATGTGCCGAGCAGACACTTTCTTCATCTCTTGACTGCTTTGTGTGTTGTGTGTATGGGTACGTGTATCCAGCCATTCAACTGCAGTGCCAGTCTGGCTACCTGCCCTGCCTGCGTTCCAGCCTGTGGCTGTATCCTGCCATCACAGCGCTGCGACGGTGTTTGGTACGACTGTGCTGATGGCTCTGATGCACAGTACTGCCCAGGCAAGGTCACACCAGCTCCAGGTAAGCACCAGCAGCAGCACTGATAGTAGTACCATGACTTCTATTATTATTACAGGGTGCGACAGAGCTCTCGGCCATTGAAGAAAATGTTGAGTCACCTCCACCACCACACTGCGCTCTTTAGCCGACTAGACCCTCCTGCACACAACCATCATCATTGCGAGGACACTTCCGTAGACGATATTGATAAACTCCTTCAGACAGCTGTTTCGCTAATACATAGCTCATCAGTGAAGGTAGATATTGAATGATTAAAAATATAGACCAAACTGCTATTATATAGGGGGTTTCCACATACAAAACTGGCATAGCTGAGGTGATAACGCGGGAAAAGGAAAGTGTGAAGTACTGTTGACGCGCATTGGACATGCATGCAGCGTCGGATATTCGGCGCGGAAAATCAATCACTATTCAATGCAGAAATAACGTGCCAGAATCAGAGTACTATGTAGCTAGTAGTGAGAGTCTGTGTACTAGTATTGCAGTTGTCCGAGCGCCATGAAGGCCTGCGAACGCACCTCAAGACCCGCCGACGTCGACAGCCACAGCAGCCCCTGGGGCATGACACTGTACTGCTCGCCCGTCGCGCCCAGACGCTTGGCAGTCACTAGGCTTCATGCCACCAATGTTGTCCGCAAGCTACCTTGTTATCTGCCCATCACCCACTGCCGTTGACACGCTGGGAGGCCCCGCGGCATTCGCCCAGTATATCGTCGTCAGAGCTGTGTCGACGGTACAATAACGCTGGTAGAAACAAACAGTTGGTCGTATGATATTGCGTCCTCCGGATTGTCCCTTGACTCGTCTTGTCCCTCTTCTTGCTCTGACGCTAATGACTTCTATTACAAGCAAATGTAGAGCTACTGTTGACCGCTATTCACTGCTGTATTTATTTTATTACTTTGCATGGCCATGTTGAGGCAGTCTTCGCATCAATTTCCTTTACACAATGCGTGTACTACAATGTATTCAAAACCAATGTCTGTGCCACGCACACATACGCAAACGTTTTAGGGATGAAACGAGTATATCGAATACTCGACCGCTTGCTCGAAAATTCGAAAGGAGTGAGGACTCGTTTCGCAAAATACTCAAGTATCTTATGCACAGTGTACTGTATGCTTGTACATCAAGCACGTCTGTTACTCAGACCAGTACTGATAACCCATGCAAGTGTGAAATTATTACTTGTCCCTACTTACCAACAAAAGACGTAGTTCAGACTATTTCCTGCACTAGGCTGCATGCAAGACTACATGTGTCAGGTGTAATACGTTCAGTGTTACGAGAGTGTGTGCAGTACATTGTTTTATGTTGTCAGTAAAATACTCGTACTCGCTCGAATACTCGCTCGTTTTTCAAAGAGTACTCGAGTCCTCAATTTTGGCACTCGTTTCACCCCTAGGCCAAACATGCATGCACTGAATGCCTGTGCTCTGTGCTCTGTGCACTCTGTGCTTGTGCAGGTCAAACCGACTGCCAGGTCCTGTCACCACCGGCACTGGGCTCAATGACCGTGAACGGCTTGATGTTCAGCAACACGACCACGTTTGTGTGCAGTCTCCCTATGTCCTTATGGGCTCGGCCGTGTGTACTTGTGAAATCAACGGCCAGTGGAGCGGTGTGCAGCCAACTTGCGTCCGTAAGTACATGTACCAATGCTCGACTGGCTTGTATTATGCATTCCCGTTCATCACACCGCTCATACTGTCAAATGCTGCCTCTTTTCATTCACAATGGCATGGGTCACAGTGGATAGGCCTGGTGCAGGTATTGCCAGTTCCTTGCTTGCTGCAGTACAGTATGACATATTAACTTAGCTGGTAAGCAGTGCATGTGTGCATGGCAAGTGTTAATTTTGTCCATTGCTTCCCAACCCATGTGTAGTGACGACTGCTGCTCTGAGTGCGGCCAGTGACGAGCTAGTCAAGGACTCCGTCTCAGAACGCATGACACAAACGTGTAAGCCTAGTATTGCTGCATAATTAAGAGCAATTTCTCCTACTGCTGACTGCTGAAAATGTTGTGTCCTTCACAACTAGTCTCTTTGTTCTAAGAAGTCTGCCTCTTTCATCGATTCGTGTTTACCTAGCTGCGTTACGCTATTAGTAGCCTATTACCTGTTGTGCAATGGAGCTGGCCTAAAAGCTGCTCGCTCAACAGTTGTGTTGCATGGCATAGAGGGAGATACGGCAAGCCACCTCGGCATATTTGCGGATAGAGCTTTTATTAGAAAGGAAAAGGACATATGGATACGAGTTAGGAGTAACTGTCCACCACTGTAACTAGCTACTACAGTAAAAAAATGCAACAACTAGGCACAAAACTGACAGAGTGCTGAGACATTCGACGACCTGACTCCTAGCTTCAACACATCTCCGTAGCGCTAACCAACAGCCTTCCAACTTGGAAGGTTCAAGGTTAAAAGGAGAGACCAAAGAGGGGAAGGTAAGCGCAACGAAAATGAGCACAAGCTAGTAGTTGAAGCTACAGTCCCACAAGAACAAGAAATGTTGATTGTTACTGGACGATGACGAAACCAGTATTACCTTTCCCTCTTTGGTCTCTCCTTAACACTACGGAGATGTGTTGAAGCCAGGAGTCGGGTCGTCAAATGTTTTAGTGCCTGGTTGTTGCACTTTCTGACTGTATTTAGTATATAGTGACAGTTACTCTACACTCATATCCATACGTCCTTTTCCTTTCTACATTAATTTTATTATTGCCATATTGGCTCAACATCCGAGTTTCAAAGAGCTTTTAGTGGACGACTTAATCCATTTTCGGCAATACTTACAACGATCCAATCAGTCATATTGTAGATCAGGCTATGCTGTGGGTAAGTATACTACTGGCCTTGTATGGCTTATTGTTTGCCAGCGAGTATTTAGCATCATCTACTAGTATTCACTCGTTTGACAGCCAAAGAGTATTTGTGTGGGAGGCTGGGAGTCTCGCACCTGACTTGGTCACGTTGCGCCTGAAGGTCACTAAGACGCGGCCATATACGGTGGAGCCGTCGCAGTTCCATCTACTGTCGACCAAACATGCCCGGTATTGGCTATTCCGGTACATGACAGCCCATGCCTGTAGCACCAAGCCTGTGTTCACTTTTGCCAAAGGGATCCACCTTACTCGGCCTTATTTAAATAAGATACTCTGTCACGCTCTCAACTGTTATCAGGTTAGCTCCTGCTCCATGCCCATTGTTGGAGCGACAGTCCTGGAATCCAGAGTTGCAAGTGAGGTGGTGATACGGCAAGCAGACGGTGGCAAAGTACGGCTTAAAAGCTCTACATCTGGCAAGTGGCCGGCATACCACCCCAATGGACATCGGAACAGTACACGTAGAGTAGCATCTCTACGTGACAGGGTATGAGCGCAAGTGAGTTCTTATGCTCTACTAATGTGCATTGATACTGTGACTATAGTTGCAGGGAATTTTCTAGAACCGCCCCAACCGGTTTTCGACCGGTTGAAAAGTTACAAATCAGTTCCAACCGCCCGTACTTTTCTGTGGGTGAATGGAGCTGTGAATGGTCATACGCTTTTTTCTGGATGGATACTTCCAGCGAAGCCGCGTGGGCTGGTACTAGGGTCACGAGTTTGTACGGTTTGTACGGTCGAACCACGTCATCGAGCTGTAGCAACGGCGTTGCTACAGTCCAACAGCTCCGCGCGACACTCCAGCACCAAGAAATCTGTTAAATTGCTGTCGAGTGCCATATTTGGGTTGTATTTTGAAAACTATTTCCGGAGGGGGACCCCCCGACTCTTCATTGTACCGTAACCGGTTGGAAATTCGTCCTAGAATATACCCTGAGTTGGTGTACAGATCTCATCACATGAGCCTTATGCGGGATTTCCTATTGTCACTGGAAAATTCAGCCCTAACAAACAGTGTGATGGATGAATTTGACTCCAGGTATCTGCTTTTGGGAATGCCATGTATGCATGTCTGGCGTGCTGCTGCTATAATGTTGTGGCAGCAGCATTTTGGTGCGATGGACTGTTCTTGTAACGGTGTACCTACCCATTTGCTGTTGCCGGATGCCGTGTTTTGTCAGTTGTGCCTGTTTGAAGGTGCCAGGCCAGCTTGTGTTGGTGCGTTCCCGTTAAGTTGCCAGGGCACCATATTTGTAACGGCGTTCCCGTTTTGCTGTTGTGGGGCTGTGTTTGTATCGGTGTGTTCCCGTTGAAGTTGACGGGGCACCACGTTAGTGGATTGTGCCTGTTTGAAGTTGCCAGGCCAATCCTGTAACGCACACCCGTTTGCTGATAAATGGGGACATGTTTGTCCATTTTGCTCGAGATTCACATGGCTGCGCCAGTTGCCTTGTGCGGATTAGACTGTTATCTGGCACTAGTCTTGATCTGTTTTATTCAGATTCAGATCAGCTATTGTTCCTATACGAGAAAATCTGTGGGTGCACATCCAATTCATTTGCAGATTTGCGTGCTTCTCCTGCAACGGGCGTTTACATGGTACATGGTGTGTGGGCGTATGTGTGGTGTGTTCATGCTGCACAGGCCAGTATTGCCAAGCACTGGGGACCTTTGGCAATCTGAAGAATGTTTTGTCCGAGAATCGATCCTTGGATCTGTGGCGTTGCAGTTGTGGTGCTCCCGACCCTCTTGCGCGATGGCCGCGGAGACCTAGCGAAAAGGTTCGAGACATACGGCATCTCAATATCTTCCACCACAATCAGTACATCAGCACCACCATCGAGTGTAGCGACATCAGCAATAGAAGACGCACATGATATCATCCACCCTTACGGCCTTAGCGAAGACCCGGGAATACCTGAGAAGATGTTAGCCGCAACTTTACTGGAAAAGTCGTCGGTGACAACGGCACTCCATATTTTAGCTGCATGCAGTTAGGTCTCTCAACAAGTGTACCCAAAGTTTTCAAGCTAATACACAAGCAAATTCACTAGGGGCCGAGTATATTTTCCTACACCTCTCCCTGTTTGTTGTTGTTATTTCTGCATTCAAATTGTTTGTGTACCTGTACATTTATTACAGTAGAGCCACGCATCCACAGCTGTTGTTTCCAAGGGGTCAGGCTCGTCAGTTTTACAAAACCTTTCAGCAATCTGGCCTTAGGCTTAGTTCCTTGACTTTTTGTGCCACTTTCTTAGATGCACATCCCACTGGATAGTGAGCAATACGTGTGTAGCAGAATCTGTATTCCAGAAAAGCAGAGACTCGAGTCTATTGACTTTTAAAACGTTATTGGCTGTGGTGTACCTAGAGGTATACACGTACATTCCTGGGTCCCACGTTCTGTGACGCCCGACTGTATTCGTGGTGCCTCAACAACTTTTAATTTTGTGCGCTCGGAAAAACCTGCCGGAGACTGTGAGGCTGCAGAGTGTTGGCTGTGTTTTGCTTTAAAAAACCATCAGGTCTCCCCAGATTTTCTAGTCTGGCCCTGAATTTTGCCACTCTTCGGTTTCAAAACCTAGTGTGGTGGTGGAAAGCCTAGCAGTGTTGTGTGTGCATGTGTGTATTTTGTACAGTGCTGGCCAGAGAAATCCAACCTCGTTAATAAAGTAGCGCGCGTTCGAGAGCACAGACCGGTCCAGTATGTTTACTACTAGGGCTGCATAGCGCCCGGTGCAATTTTATTCATAAGGTTGGATTTCTTTGGCCAGCACTGGAGTTAGAAGTAGGTCCTCTAAGGTCCTCTGTTTGTGCGCAATTGTGGTCACAGTGGCAGTAGTGGGTGAGGGGGGTAGACTCAGTTACTACGAAGATGGTGTATACATGATGGTGTATACAGTCATGTAGTTGAATGTTACTTCGGGCTTAGACCCAGAGGTTCTTGAAATGATGACCCCGGGTTTATGTACATGTATCATTCAGCTACCGTTGTCATAATGGCACTAGTTGATAGAACACCTGTATAAGTACAGGCTGTACATCTAGCATTTTCCAAAATAGCACTCCGTACTTCGAGGCTGCAGCCGTTTTGCATGCAACGTTGTATGTGTTGATCGGTTGACAGCATGTGACAAAGCCGAGGACATACTAGTGTATCAGGAGCACTGTTTTTTAACACAGTGCGTCCCCCGCCTTGTCATGTTAATTTATCAAACAAGGCTTACTACCTATGCCAACATTATACATGTAGGGCTGTGCATGCTTTCAAAATTCTTCCTTGTTGAAGTAGAATACCGTGCTTGTGGGGGCTTTAGTAGTTCCTTTGCCAGATGTTCTATGCGTATCTCAATGACTTATCAGTTTCAGCACTTGGGCAAGGCACATTCGGGCCTACACATGTAGCCTTGAATTCTGGCTTGGAGGCATTATTTATCTATTTTCATGGCTGCTAGGTTCATCCTTAGTTAAGAGTTATTTCTCCGTGATTCGCTAATGAGTCCACAAAGGACGAAACAGCTAGACAGTACTAGTGCTGTCCCCAGATCGTGTATTCTAAATCCATAATACTGACGCTCAATCTCCAGACAGCTGTGTCAGCCTTTTTTAGGTCCCATCAGTGGAGCTCAGAGCGGGAGGTTAAACAAATGGCAATACGGTCTATATGAAATGAACAAAAAAAGCAATTTGAAAATGGCTCAAAGCATCAAAGTCAGCGAGCTATCTGCAAGACACGCACAAAGAGAGCTTTGCACGAAGGCAGATACATATTACATATACCTTTGACACTAACCAAAAAGAGTGCTCAATCAAGTCAACGCAAGGCAGCGTAATGCGGTGATCGAGTCTATAAAAAGCTATAGTGACATGTAGCCAGGCCCCCAGCACAATAAGTTGACTTGCATCATGCTAAAATCGTTCACACAAATCTCTTATAATAATTATTATATAGATTGCAGGATAGGGTGGTTGCACCAGGAAGTGCTGTCTCTGCGATAGTGGGACCAGCCAAGATTGCAGTACAGTCGTCCACCATCAATCCAGCACTTCATTGGCCCACGCCCTCGATACACCAGCATGATTTCCGGAGTTATTACCATTCATTGATACATGCCCCCACCCCCCAGTTCTTCGGCACCTGACCCGAGTTCTATTTGGGCCACACTACTTTGTAGCAGTCATACTATAGTACTAGAACTGGATGCACGTGATATCCACTGGAGCTGGCGCTGGCCATGAGCTGACCCACCGCCGTGCCTCCCAGTGTCAATTTTGCTTATGTGATCCTACCACAATCTGGAACATTATCAGTACTCGCCTCTGTTGACTTGCCAGCACTAGTTCTGGTGGATCCGGGCATGTTTCTGCCTTCTCTTAAGCATGTATTCTCCTGCAGGTGCATCTTTCACCTCCCTCTAATGCGCGAGCACATTTTCTGTGGAGATTCAACGACACATAGACCAGAAAATACAGAACAGAACAGTGGCTGCCAATGCGACACAAGTACCACATAGACCTAAAAACTCATAAGTACCCTGGGAGTTAGATGCATTTACGGGCAGTATGCCAGGATTTGCGCAGCTAATTTAAAATCAGATTAGCAATGCTGTGTGCTACCTAGGTGGCATCTTGGACTCAAAAACCAACCGATTGTGGTCCAACCCAACCGACAGCGTTGTCGGTGGGTTCCGATTGGCAGGTGTTGGATGGACGTATGATCCATGCGTCCCCACAAGCAATGAGAAGTTAACAATGCCACTAAGGATATAATATCGCGGACAGCAGTACAATGAAACTGGGCCATTCATTATCAGCAATATCAGGGGTATATCCCATCCGATAAGACGTACAGCTCGTGTATGGCAGACTTTACAGCAGGTCCCGACATAGCTTGCCCCGTGCCCTTTACCACTCCTGGGCCAAAACTGTTGTACAATACTCGAGAGGGTCTAGCCTAGTGAGTGTGAATAGAACCTGGCAAACCATATCTCCAAGTGATTCACATGTTGGTATATTCTCCGTTATCATACATCAATTCCGAGCAATTTGACACCCGAATATTCTCGCACCACTACTGCTGAAGTATTGACCACAAACCATGTTCCATTTGACTTACAAAAGGAACTTGCAAAAGGCATGAGAGCACTGGAATCCGTAAAGACTCTCGCATTATTTATTAGCCACCATACATACCTTTCGGGAAGTCGTGTTGGAAGCAGCATGCTCGGAGAGCAGAGCTGAGTGAGATCTGCATACAGTAACACAGCGACAATGAATCACATGAACAGAAGGAAGCAGTCGTATCCGTACACATCTGAATATGCGCTTATGGGAGGAAAATCCGTGCGACAAAAGAGGACCGTGTTATGCAGGTGTATGTCTTACCCGGGTACATACTAAGTGAGTTCCACCATACGTATATAATTTTATTGCAATTGAATCACTTGACTGACTGGAGCCAAAAATATCAATTGGCACTTACTCCGGTTACCCGAATGTTTCGGTACCACTATCATTAGGTTTTTTGCAATCGAACCAAGTCATAGTTGAGTCATTTTCAATGCGTTAGGTGTTACCTGACGTGCTCACTGCATCAGCCGCTATGTCAGATTCCACCAGGCATGCACCAAACCAGGCGCAATGCGCACACTGATGATGGTGGTTGGCACACAACGAGCAGTAGTAAAAGTGAAAGGACTTTTTGCATGTGATTTTGTTGTAATTTGTGCCAGTCGAATTGTCTCAGTGTAACTAGTTTATCGTTAGCTTACTAGTTTCTTTATACAAAAGAGAAAGACCAAGGAACTACAAGTTACGCTATACTGTCCACTAACACCACCAGTTACTAAACAATCAGCTCATGCGATAGCTATTGCACGACACTGAACAGCTCTAGCACATCTTGGATGCGCACTCCAACAGCCTTGTGGACGACGACTGTAACTGGAGAATCGGTCCGTCGCTCCACCAGCCCGGCGGCACAGTGGACAGTGCCTTGGGGGTGTCAGGCATGGATCAGGCTGATAAGGACGTGGTGGAGACGGAAATGATGTTTGCAAGGAAGAGTGATGATATGCGTATGTGCTCTCCGCCAGTTGTTGAAGCAACAGTCCGGCAGTGGACAGTCGGCAAGGTTAAAATAAGTGACCAACTGGGTGAAAGTACACCAAATGTGGCCCATCTCTTGAATGGTGCGGACCACGGCAAGGACCTGAAGTTGAAGGTCGTCAATGGCAACACCGCATGGTCGACGTCAATGGGAACATCAAGCCATCAAGTTGGTGGAACTATGGAATGTCCGTCGCAGGCTGCAGCGACAGGGTAACGTGCTCAGGGAAGAGTACAGCGACGATGATCAGCTGTGTCTTGCACGCAGTCGTGTTGATCGTGGCGTGCAGAACAACAGAGTCAGTTGCGGTATTCGTACATTTGTCTGTTTAGGATTGTGATCCCCAGGAAGTCCTTTCGTGAGGAGTGATGTCACGCAACGAGCAGTAGTCAAAGTGAAAGGACTTCTTGCATGTGATTTTGTTGTAATTTTGTAAGGTGTGGTGGCAGAACTTTCAGCTGGTAGTGGGTGATGGGCTGTCTGTGTGACAACAATTACGGGCTTGACGAACGACATAATTATGGCGAGTCGATCTTTGGCCAGTTGCTGAGTTGGAGATCGTCACCGTAGACCCAGAGATCTGGTCCACGGTCCAGGGGTTGGGATCCCACTGTGGTGAGAGCTTGTGTGCCTGCTCATTGCGGCGTAAGACGCGCTGACCAGGAGTGAGGATGGGGGCGTTTGACCGGCGGGTGGCATTGGCAGCGTCGCACTGGGATTGGCGGAATTGCTGGTCACGGTGGGCAGCTGAAGGTAAGTCTGGTGCGGCTGCCGTAATGCAGGGTATGCTGTCGCGGATGGGGCGACCAAACATGAGTGTTGCCGGTGCCTCGTGAGTGGCAGGGTGTGGCGTGGTGCGGTACGCTAGGAGCCATTGGTCAAATGCAACATTGATGTCTTCGCCAGCTAGTTTGGCAGTTCGCAGAACTTTGCCAATGGTACGGTTGAGGCACTCGACTGCTCCGTTTGCTTGTGGCCACAAAGGAGGGGTGTGGCGGTGCTGGATAGCGTGTGGCGCGAGGAAATCAGCAAAAGCCGAAGAACGGAACTGAGGACTGTTGTCCGAGACTAGCTCTTCGGGCAAGCCGAACATGGATAATGTAGAGCGCAGAGCTACAACACCGGCCGTAGTGGGTGTCGTGCTGAACACGTTGATGACCGGGTAGCGAGTCAACTGGTCGATAGTGGCAAGCAGGTGCTGACCGTTTGGCATGGGTCCATACAAATCGACGAAGACTCGTTGCCACGGCTTGGTGGACGGTGGTGTGGGCACGGACTCCCGGACGTAGCGGTGTCGTTGAGAGAGTTGCTTGGCACGGAATACATTGCCGGCAGAGTGCTTCGGCTTCAGTAGCCATGTTGGGCCACCCAACATTGCTGTTGAGCCGTTGCTTGGTGCGGACAATATCTTGGTGGCCCGCATGTGTAAGCTGCAGGGTAAGCCGTTGGAGGGCCGTGGGAATGACGAGACGGTCGTTGCGGAGTAGTAGACCGTCACTCTCAGACAGTTCATGGCGGAGGGCAAAGTACGGGCGGACCGTGGTGTGGCTGGAATCCCAGCGGCCAGATTGCAGAGAGGAAAGGATGGCTTGCAGTGTGGTGTCTGCGGTGGTGGCGTCCGCAATCTCCTTCAGAGCCAACGCATTCGGCTTAGCTGCTGTAGCTAGGGCATGTATGTACGCAGTGTCTTCCTGTGCGCCGATGTTTGGCAAGTCGGGATGAGGCTGCGGATTGCGACTGACGACGTCGGCCGGGTTTTCTGGGCCAGGCTTGTACTGGAGCTGGAAGCTGAGATCCTGCAGGCGGAGGACCATGCGCTCAATTCATGGTGGAGGTCTCGATCCGACGGCCTTGAGTTGCAGGAGCGGCTTGTGGTCGGTGACAACGGTGAACTGTGGATCACCTTGTCAAGTCGTGGTGAAAGCGAAGGCAGCCAAACTTGACACCCAATGCTTCCCGTTCAGTTTGAGAATATTGCTGCTCGACGCCGGAGAGTGCACGGCTGGCGAATGCTACAGGTGCATCGTGGCCGTTGTCTTGGCGTGGACACAGGATTGCGCCGAGGCCGGTGCGTCGACATACAGTGATGTGTTGCGGTCAAAGTATTGCAGCATGCAGTCTTCGGCGATGGCCTTCTTCAGTGCATCAAACGATTGCTGCTCAACATCAGTTCAACGCCAAACAGTACCTTTCTTAGTGAGAGCAGGGAGTGGCGTGGTGAGATCGGCCATGTTACGAATGTAACGGCGGAGGAAGTTGGTGAGACCCAGGAAACTCTGTATGTCGCTGACGCAAGATGGCGTAGAGAATGTAGCCACAGACTGCTGGTGGCTGGGAGAGGCGCGGATGCCCTTGTCGGAGTAGACGCTAGCCATGAACTTGAGCCGAGGCTTGAGGATGTGACATTTGTGACATTTGGCTCGGTTGAGTGTAACGTTGTGATCTTGGAGCCGCTGGAGGCAGGCGGCGAGTCGTCGGTTGTGCTCTTCGACGCTCTTACCAAAGTTGAAGATGTTGTCGTGGACGTTCTTCACACCGTCGAGGCCAGCGAGCCATGGCGTCCAGTGTGCGCTGTAGGATCTCGGATGCGGACGATACGCCCATGGGCAGACGTTTACAGTGCAAAACTGCGTAGCGACGTGACTCAGGGTGGCCTGGCTCTCCACAGCGGTAGCAGAGCGATGTGCTGGATTCCCGCCGGCCTGGAGCGCGAGTGGCGACTGGGGCAGGTGGCTGGTGGTACGAGTTTGCAGCTGGATGTGGCGAAGACTGCATCGGTCGACGCGACGGAGTTGAAACAGTAGCAGGAGGCGGCTGTGTCCTTTTGTAGAACGGTGGCTGATGACGGAGGGCATTGGTCGAGTCTTGTGTGCGCCGGAACGCCGTCGTCTGTTCCACTGACGCTTCAAATGCTCTGGCGGCCTTGAGCGCCTTGGCGAGATCAAGGGACCCAGTCTCCAGCAGTTTTCTGCGGAGTGGATCGGACGTGCATCCTGCCACAATTTGATCACAGAGAGCCACGTTCTTCTGGGCATCGTCGGCGAAGCTGCAGGTCGTTGCCGATGCCAGCAAACGAGTATAAAACGTGTCTAATGTTTCGCCAGGCTGCTGGGTGACCTGCCGGAAGTGGAAGCGGGCCATGCTGGGGCTCTGCTTCGACTGAAAGTAGTCGGCGGCGGCGGTTATGAGGCCGTCGAGATCGTTGCCAGTGTTGGCTAACGTAGGGACGAGCTGCTGGATGTCCTTGCCGGCCACTTACTGGAAAGTGTCTCTCTGGCGAGTGTCATCCGAGATGCCGGCTGCTGCGACATAGAGTTGGAAACACCGTTCCCAGGCAGGAAAATGGGCAGCAGCATCGTAGAGACTGCTGTAGATCGGGAATGGCTCCGGAGGCGGTAGTGACAGTAGGGACATGGCGAGGATCAGGCGTTTGCTCGCAGCGCCAATGTAATGTTGTTCTCTTGCTGTATTCCAAACAACAACTAACTCGGAGCTCCGGAAAGCTCCGCAATAGTGAGGTTTTGCATTCCGAATTTCGGCTTGGCGTTCTTTGGTAATTTGTCGAACATCAAAATGTCGAATTTTCGCACCGAAGTTTGTTTTGCAAGTCGAAAATGATGTGTTTTGATTTCGTGAGCCCCAGCATCAGCAATGTCCTGTCCCGTGCTCCTTTTCTTGCTGATTCCGACAAACTTTGATCGCGCCCAAAGAGTCGAGGGCCAAACCTGCCTCAGTCGCCTCAGAAAAACCAACTCCATGGCCAAGTCAAATTTTATGGGTATCGCCATAGTCTTTTCAGCCACACAGATGACGGTGAGGACACTCCAGGCGAAAGAGAGTAGACAGGCAGTGGAGAGGAGCAATCAGAGGTAGCTGACGATGCTGATGTCGTCAAAGACGCCTGCGAAGCCATGCCAAGATAAGAAACCTCTTTGAATAAATCACGCGCTAGCGCTCTTCCACAAGAAAATTCATCCGAAAAATATGTTCGGCAAAGTGAGCTTTTTCCGAACAAACATGCCGCATCTTCGTGCGCATTTTCGACCTCGCTCCCGCGTGCCGAATCTTTTGCCGAATTTTGGAATGCAAAACCTCACTAATATGATGCCAACAGAATGTAATGGTGTGCGTGCATGCGTACAGAGTCGGTGCGTACCGACTGTCAGCACAGGTGTGGAAAGCAGCATATGTAAATGGATAGGAGCACAAACGGTGCCGCGTGCATATATGTGTCGGTAGAGCATGAAACTCTTAATCTCAGGGTCGTGGGTTTGAGCCCCACGTTGGGCGCCAAATGTCGTCTCGGTTGGAGAACGAGCTGCCTCTACTATACCCTCGCCACGCCACACATCAAACGGACTAGTCAAGTGGTTTTTCTCTAGAGCTAGAGAGAGAGCTATTCATTACTACACTTCAGGAGACGACGGGAGAACTGACAACTGACATGGCGAAAGGAAACATGATATCGGAAAGTGGTGCCCTCATCAGCACAAAAAGTGGCGTACTCGATATCATATCAGCACAAAAAGGTGCACGTGTCAGCAATACAACAAAGCAGCGCAGCAGCATGTACGAGTCAGCATCACAGAAACACAAATACAGCAGCAGGTACGACAAAGAGACAACACGTGCAGCCACATGTACAACATATGGGTGTGACAGTCCATATATGTACGTGTGAACACTACACACGATGAGAACATGCAAAGTATGGAGACCCAGACTGTGTGGTCAGCAGGACACAGCCCGTACAGGATGGAACAGACAACTAAACGTAATATAGCACCACGTACCGGCGGACTAGTCGACGCTGATGGGAGAAGTGGCACCCCCTGAGGCAGCTACGGATGCTAGAACTCTACAGCCAGACCAACACCAATATAAAACAAAAAGGTACACCACACCAGGAAGCAAGTCAAATAAAGATGTGTGAACAACAGCCACACACCACAGAAAAGCATACAGAACAAAAACTCAATTACCGACACCATAGACACTGCAAAATCCAAACAGGAGGAAAATACTAACTCCCTGAGGACACTGAGCATGAGGCAAACGGGCAAGCAACCTCTTGCCGATGTTCCACCGTGTAACAACAACCGCGCTGGCCACCGGACTGTATGGTAGGGGTATTACACCTGGACCTCAAGACCAACGGGCGAAGGACAGCAGGCCGGGCTCAGGTAAATACAATGAGGAGCACTGTATACAACTACAGAAATAACCCAAACCCATGCCAATTTGACCAACATACCTTCCCTGCGCATCCATTCCTAGTGTACGGGTCTGAAAGATGAAAGATGGAGCGCTTGTATACACGGGCCCGGAAAGCCTGCTTCGGCCGCTCGGCAGCAGCTTCGTAGTGGTGGTCAAGGGTCGAAGACCGACGGATACGGATCAACTCCCCAGTGAACACACCTTTGCCCATACTACAGGGGTGGTTACTACCGACAAGCAGATACAGGAAACGATTGGTGAACTTGAAATGAGGCTTCACCGCCATGTATCCCTTACTACGGAAAACTGTGGTGTCCAGGAAATCAATGCCATCATGTGCCAGTTCATGAGAAAACTTGAGGGCCGAACACTTATTAATCCTATCTAAAGTGCGCTGAGCTTGACCTTCGCAACCATGCAATGATAAAGCGTCTATAAACCTGAACCTCTAAACCCTCCCCCTCTAAGATCGGCAAAACGTACTGCTTCTCCAAATACAGCATAACAATGTCGGCATAGACCACTGCTGCAGGCGAACCCATGGCAGTCCCTGGCCTTGGATCTGCCGAAACACATCGTTACCATACACAAACTCATTTTTCTTCCGAATGACTGACATCAAGGAAGTCACTGCTTGTAATAACCATGTACGAAGGGCGAGGGGCATCCACCTTGTACATCTGTGTGTGATATACCACGACAACCGAGCTCGTTGGGGATGTTGGTGTAGTAAAGGCTGGTCACATCTATGCTCAATTATAAATGATCGTCCCGCACAGGCAAACCTTCTACCAAGTTGATGAAATCCGCAGTTGAGGTCAGAACAGTACTTTCCTCACATACATACGGGTTCAGTAGAAAGTCAGTGAACTCAGCGGGATAGTAGCCAGGACTATTTAGATTAACAATAGGCCTAACCTTCAGGACCCAGGGCTTATGTGTTTTGAGAAGTCTCCTGAAAACGGGCATGCGCCCCCGGTGCGACTAAGAACAGTGACATAATATATTATATTAGTGGGCATACGATGCTCAATGCGATGCCTAGTCATGGTGAGTAAACAATTGACTCGGGTCGCTCACACGAAGTCTCAACACAGCCTTGAGCCTGTTGGTTGCCATCGGCAGTCTAGCCGCATGCTCATCTAGCCCCTCAGGCAAAAAAAACAGTCATTTATAATGTTTGGCATTGTGATGCTGGGCACGACCTATATCATCATAGTGAGATCAGTCCAGGACTACTATCACAATAGACTGCCTTTGAATATGCCTGAGTCCGATTGCGTTCTAGCTCCCAAACTATGTGCTGCATGTGTACACTCCGCCTATGGTTAGTCTACTCCAGAACAACGCCTGGAGAGGTTCATTGGGGGCATGATGTCCCCCCACCCCATTCCCCCCTTGCCCCCTGCACCTGAAGTACCGGTATTGCCCCCCCCCCCCCTCCCCAAACAAATTACAGGACACAGATGGAGCACTGGGGAGCACGTAGCAGTAGGCAAAGTTGACGATGCCAGTGCAGACACTCCTGATCTCGGTCACCACACTGGCACCGTATAGTCTCCAAGGGACATAGCTACCAGAGAACACACAGAATGGGAGTATATAGTGCTATCTCGGTGGATAGACAACCTCCTATACACAAAATATCTACTGATAGAGTTCTGTGTAGATCCTATGTGCACATATGTCACTGCTGTTATCATAGACCTGATCCTGGCCACAGTGTCCTGGGTACGAGCGTACGCACTCTCCCTGGAAATTTGAATTTTTGATTTTCACAGAAACAATTTTTCGCTGACACGGGTCACATTCTTGCGTTTCTAGGACTGTTCTACGCTTGAAAGAAGAACAAGAACCACATACAGTGAGTGACTACAACATGATAGACCACACCAGAAAATTTGAAGACGATCGGTGAAGGTTGAGCTGAGTTCTGACACGATCTGTTGAAACAACTTCATGTCGCTCGTCATCACGATTGAGTAGCATCTCCGTTCTTGATAGACCCTTCCCTTCGTGTTCCAGAAGTTATTTTTCATGTTTGGTGAGTTTCTCGTCGGACCTCAGGTCTTTCTCGATCGATTGCCACCTCACTCGATCCGAACGAAACCTAAACTACCGAAACGAAGCCTGCGCTTTTTTGGCTGTTTTTCCGTTTTTACGTGTAGATCTATAGAATGGATCGTCATGTTCGATTACTGGGTCTTTTGTGTCGCGTCGGCGGTGTTCCGCTAGCCAAGCAGAAGCAGAAAACTACGTATTCTGTTTCTGAGAATGCCGAGGGTATTCTGAAATGTTTTGAAGTGGATATCACACAGGACCAACCACACCTGCACCCTACACAGATTTGCAGTACATGCTACAAGGCTGTGAATTATGCCTTGAGCAAGTCAGAGTATACACGTTGTGGTGGAGGATGTGCCGAGCCAAGTAGCTGGCTTCCCCATGATCATGTGCATGAGGATGGTACCACAGTATGCAGGGTATGCACTACCATTGAGCAAGCCGCCAAAGGTGGTCGTCCGGCTAAGAAAAAGAGAACAACAAAGCCACCTGCCCGTACAGCGGCAGCCGTTACATCCACGTGCACGTCTACGCACACAGGCACCCACCAGACACGGTCTCAGACAACAGGGATCAACTCGGAGAGTCAGAGTACATGTTTACAGAAATTGTATGATGTAGCAACACCAAGCTATGCAGCCAACAAGAGTCTGAGCACAGATAGATTCATCGGATGCCAAGCTATATTACAATGTACACTATGCAGCAATGTGCTAGAGAGAGCCGTGGAAGCAGACTGCTGTAGAAAGAGCTTTTGTTCCGCATGTGTGTGGGAGTGGCTGGCTTCTGATACAACATGCCCTGGTTGCAATGCACAGCTCTCCGTGTCGAATCTCAGCACGCCCAATCCGATCTTGCAGGGCTGCCTTGCCGAACTAGTGGTCAGGTGCGACAATTATGCTGGAGCGCTGATTGGTTGCCCGGCAACAGTGCCACTTGCTCAACTTGCCAGCCATGTGCAGAACTGCGAGAACACTGGTAAGCAAACAGTCGGCCCGTCCACCGCTGTCAGCGATGTGCTCACTGCTTCGCCGTCAAAGCTCCGAGGCAACGTGTCAGACAGTCTCACCAGCCATCTAGTGAAGAGCAAGGCGGATGCTGGCGTACTTCAGTTGAGGAGCCGAGGTCCATCGCAGACATGGCAACGAACAACAGTTGCAGCTGTACCGTCCAACAATGCATCAGCCAGGACTGTGCGGCGACGCTGTGCTGAGCTTGAAAAAACCAGCCAGCGCGTAGCAGGGAGTTTCGCCGGTGCAGTTGTCCAGCAAGCTGCCACATTAAGCCGGCTAAAGGAGGAAGAGCGTAAAGCTGTTCTTATTGAGGCTGGTGTCATGCCAAAAACACCTGGGACAGGCACAACGCTAGCATTGAAAGCCAACCTACACATGCCATGGAATCAGCTCCGGAAATTGAAAGTATGGCTGAAGGACTTTGGCCTGTATCTCGAGTCAGAGCGGGTAATGCGGAAACAGCTCGACGATCTTTTGCCCTTTACCATTGTGGCAGAAAAGACACCGTTCGTAGCAGCATCTGGAAGCGTCGAGCTGCATGCAATGGTGACAATTCCTGATCTTGTTGGGACTGTCCATCACTACTTGAACCAGCTGGAGGCAACAGATCAGCTTCACTGGCATGATGGCGCAATCCCAAAAGATGAGGTATGGGTCAAAATCGGCGGCGATCACGGTGGCGAGTCCTTCAAGATGTCGTTCCAGATCGTTAATGTACAGCAGTGCAATGCTCTACGGCACATCATTCCGTTTATCATCTTTGCTGCTAAAGATACGGCAGCAAATCTGTGCACGGCCCTGCAGCCATTCGTCAGTGAGGTCGAGAAGCTGGCCAGTACAACGTGGCGTAACAGGTCAGTGAGGGTCTTGTTGTTCGGAGATTACGAACTGCAGACCACGTTGTACGGCTTGTCAGGGTCGAGTGGAACCCACCCTTGCCTGCACTGCACTGCTATGCGGAAAGAGATACAGCTACCTGGGTGTAGCGGAGCACCGCGCAGTCTCGATTTGTTGTGCACAGACAACGCTGCCTTTGTTGCAGCTGGTGCAAAATTAGCGGACGCTAAGAAGCACAACAACTGCATCCGGCCACCGATCTTGCCTGTGTCCCTGGACAATGTGATTATTCCCGTTCTTCATTTGGATCTGGGAATATTCGCTTGGATATTCGATGCCATGACCAAGGACTGCCAGATGCTGGACGTTGCCCTTGCATCATCCAGTACAGCAGTTGGCACCGATAGCCGAGCGTACACTGTCACAACAGAGATGCACGAGAGCCTTCGCCAGAAGCAATTGGATCTTCAGAACGAGCGCACAGCAGCTGACAGTCTACAGGAGCAGCTCGAATGGCTTGCGATCCATGCTTCCAACCTGACTGCCCCACAGCTTGAAGCGGCCACAGCAGGAATTCAGGCGAAGCAGCACACCACCACAAGCGCCATCAGCTCTCTCCAGGATGAAGTGAAGGCTCTGTCTGACCAGCTCCAGAGCCGCAGTATTCTGCATGGTCCATGTGAGGCCTCACTGGACAGAACTCTGCAGGAGTACAATATTTGTCGCCAGCGGTACCATGGTGGTGCCTTTATCGGCAATCATATTCACCATGCCCTGCAGCCACCAGTGGTTGCTGCTTTGTCAAATGCGCCTCTGATTGTCGCCTCCACCACAGAGAGAGCAGCGCCTCCATCCGTTCTCGACCAGGCCAGAGTAGTGGCAAAGCGGTATAATGACCTGCTCACTCAGTTCTCTCACTGCCGCCGAAGATACTCGTCCTGCGCAACAATGTCAGCAGAAGATATTCAGCTGTTCGAGAGTGATTGCGCTACCTTCCTCTCCACAGCACGGCAAGAGGTCGTCACCAGAAAACTTGGCCATGTAACGCCTAAGCTTCATTTGCTGGAATGCCATCTGCCTGACGCCTTGGCAAGATTCAGAGTTGGCCTGGGCCTACTAGCTGAGCAGGGAGGTGAAAGTATTCACGCCGAGTTCAACGACCTTCGCAAGCGACACGGAGGCGTCGTGAACGATGTCGACAAGCTACGGACTGTCTTGAAGGCTCACCTTTCCTCCACGCTTCCTCAGCACGCCAAACTTGTCCCTCAAAGGGCCAAGCGCAAGCGGAAGGCCAATTGAGGACCGTTTCAGGTAAGTTCCTTGCTCAAACGATATCCCAAACATGTTGTTTGTTAGTTGATTTTCAAATAAATTTAATTTTTGTGGGTCCGCTTTTGGTGCACACATGATTGTTTGCGTACGCGTGCACACGCGCCATGTGTATTACTATGGAAACTCGAAGAGTTTTTGCACGTGACGTGATTGCCGCCATCTTACTGAGTGGCCAGGCGCAAACAGCAGTGATGTGTGGATGAGTACTGGTAAACGGACAGCTAACCCTAGTCTAAGTAAAATAAAGGTAGAATGTAGACCCTGGGCAAAAAAATACTTGGTCCGCGTCAGCGATATTGTCGCTTATCTTTCGACAATTTGAACTTAGACTTTGGACATGAACGCGTGCACTTGACATGATAAAACTTGGTACGATGGACGGTAAGGTATAGAATGACAACTAGCTGCGAGGAATTTATTGTCCAAGGAAGGGTTCCTACTTTTTTCGGTCCTCCTCGTCACTGCTCTCGGCGCTGGCGACAAATATTTTTGCTCGGGATCGACTCTCTTGCTTTTGCAAGCTCATCTTTCTTCCTCTCCGCTGCCTGGCTATTTTCTAAAGAGAAGTCGATCGTGACGGTCCCCTTCTCTATAGGACTTCGCGTGGGCAGCACGACAGCCTGTGTGGTTCAAATCAGACGCCGTTCTTTGCAAGATTTTATTTTGAACGACGACGACGCGTACAGTACGAGTCGTACTTGCAAATCTCCCCAACGCGCTGGATACTCCGAGCGTTGAGCTGGAGGTAAGGAAGCTGCGATCTCACCTTGATGAGCGATCCCTGAGGTGAGCGACCTCGGCCGTTCAGCAAAATGGAGCTGATTCCGAGTAGCCGATTACTTTCTTGTGGCTTGCGCTGCTCTTGCCTGCACAGCGTAACAAGATAATCTATTTTGATGCGGCGCTGTATCAATCAGAATCACCCACCTGTCGCTCTCGAAATCCACTCGAACTCTAGCTAGACCTTTCAGGTACTAGCAAACTAACTTGCTAACCAAAATTGGGATGAAATGGGCTGCCAAGTAAGGATTGGCGACATATAAACAAAGCTCAAAGATAAGCGACAATATCGCTGACGCGGACCAAGTAAGTAAATAAAAATATTGACTAGTTTGAGGGAAAGACACAAACGGGAAAAGTCTGAAGAAAAAATTGACTGTCACCAAAAAAATAATAATAGCTACACACAGGAGGGAACTCGGATGGAGAGCCAAGGATTAAAATTGAAAAAGAGGACCATCAGTTTACGAGTTATCCGTTTTGTCCAACACTAACGGATATAAACGTGATGCAGCTAAGCATCAGGTCGTTGAATGTCATGATCTCATCAGTCAGTTTTTGTGCTAATTGTTGCACATTTTTGACTCAGCAGTATTCTGCATATAACCGTTAGTGTTGGACAAAACGGATAACTTGTAAACATGAGGGAACACTCATCCTTACCCAAGTCCCAACGTCAGCACTCGGCGCTGCTCCGAACCAAGAGGGACACTGGAGAGATCGTCCATCAGCTCCTCTCTTGTCCTGCGATCAAATCGCCTAATGCTAAACACAAGAAGATAGGAAAGGCAAGTAGAATAAATAAATCAATAAAATATTAAACAACAAAACAAGTTTGAACAGCTGCAAACGTAATGGACGATTCGAACAAGACCAATGATATACCTAGCAATAAGTGTGCAGAGTGTGCAGCCCAAGGATAATCATCCCACGGCAAAGTTTATTGTTTAGGGCATAGACTCGCAGTAACAGGCTCACCTTTGCTGCATCTCACACCGCTTCACACGGTAATCTACTGTATCACCATGGTAATTTCTGTTGCACATTGCTGCTTGTTTAACCCTTAACAAAAGGCAGAAAACACACCGAATTTCCAGGAATTACCATGGTGATACGGTACTTTAGCTTGAACCTATTGTATGACGGGTTTTCTATGATTGATAATGACCCAGAGAGAAACTAAACCGGTATCGAATTCCAGTCAGCGACGCAATTCTTCTGAGGTGTAAAGTGACTTCAGGAATATGTTGCAGAAAACTGCGATGCATGCTGATTATTTACTGTGCCCTATTGTGCACAATATACCAGGTGTGTTACTCAGGGATGAAGTAGATGCACACACGTGCCGGGCATCACGGCACAGGTTAGGTTTGCTACTAGCCGCTGCAGTGTACTTGTGGTCCGAACTTGCACTCTACTCAACTCTGCATACGCAAAGAGTGCTGGTGCCGAAATGAACCAGAAGGGTCACGCGGCTGAGTGGGACGCAACAACACTGACTCTGTCTACCCATGTACACAGATATGATAGGGTATGCAGTACCTGCTCTAAGATTTAACACAAACCGGGTACACGTCTACCTGGCACAATTCCTGCAACACTGGGCCAGAGCCAGATGCGTTCAAGTGCGGCTACTGTGTGTCAGGGAGTCGTAAACTTACTTTCGACTTCCTGATGTACATGATTGTACATGTACATGTATGAACGTACTCGCACTGGGCACTCTGGCCGCACGCATCTGCACGCGTATGCAGCCTGTCAGTGGCGGTATACCCTCGAACGGTATAAAAAAGTATAGTACTCGACAGGACTTCCGACCGGGTCACAGGTAACCCAGTGTTCTTTTTCCAAAAGGTCCAAGTACTCACAAACAGGGCCACTGACCCGGCTCTGGAGCAGACACTGGTAATCTAGGTCCAAGTTTGCTCGATTATGTTCTGACGCTTCATGTGCTTTCATAGCCAAGGTTTCTCACTTTCTTCGCAAGCTCTTTTAGTCTTGAGAGTTGACAACTGCTTATGGTTGTGTTGGCAGAAAACATGTCAGCTAATCTGACAACCGTCCAATCCCATTTTACTGGTAAGTAGTCAGCGAGTGGCTTTGATGGGGCCATACAGTACTAGAGGGGGAGTTACGCGGCATATTTGTGCTTCCTTTTTGAAAACACGTTCTCGCTCGAAGGGTTTCTAAACTTTATCCCTGCGCTCATTGATGGAGTTCATCGATGGAGTTGCCAGCGGCACTCTACAGAAGAACAATGTTGTCAAGTTTTTTATGAAAAATTGTCAAACATTTTCAAATTGCTATAAGTTTGGTTAGGGCCGGGTTCCACTGCGGCTCCGCAGCTCCGCTGCTCCACGGTACTTGGCTGCATGCAGCAGAGCGGCGCGGTTCCAGTGACACTCGCCATTCACGGTACCGCGATCGTGCTCGACGTTTTTTTTATGACATTTAGCCTGCCTGCGCGCGCGTGAAATCCAAAAAAAATCCTCGTGTTCTGGCCTGTGCCACGAATTAAAATTCCCCCGAATAAAACAATTAAGTGCGGGAAACAATGCAAGCCGTGACCGCGGCTTGCATTTTTTTGTATCAAGCAGCGAAGCGAAAGCTGGTGATGAGCCGCGGCCTCGCTGGACCAGCTCGTAATGATGACGTTTCATGCCGTGGATGATGTGCGGCGGAGCGGCAGTGGAACCCAGCCCTTAGGCAAAGGAAATTTGTCATTAATTTGTTTATGCTGCATAGATGGAGAGCTGCACACTCTGGTTCATGGACTCTCGCCTACAGTGTAGTCGTACTGCTAGTGTACTGGCATTACAGAAGACACGAAAAACGAGAACATAATTATGGCGAGAAAGTAATTACTGGCTAAGAATTGCCCTAAGACTTACCGCTTCTCAGTGCTCCATACCAGGAAGTAGTACAATACCTACTCCCTGCTCCATACGAGTGTTTTCTCCTCATTCTCTGCATCCTTTACCCCAGGAGTCTCGTCCATTTAGCGGCTCAAATGCTTGAGCTCCGGATAGCGGAAAATAGCTCGTCGTCCATTAGCGGCTCTAATAGTACCTGGTCTGAAGTGTCGCAGTCTAGCAACTATGATTTTTTCCAGGAGGGTAAGGGTTGCAAACCCAAAGAGACCCTAAGCTTCGTCTATCAAACAAAACAATTGCCCTAAAAAATGGAAGAGGAAAAGAGTGAGCGAGCTGGTCTGAGCGCGCTACTTTTCAAAAAATAGAAGCTGAAAGCCATCAAAGTCAAAGCATTCTGGCTAGCGCGTTTGTGTATGTCACGAGCGCTAGCGCGCTTGTCGCAGCAAACGCTCGCAGGCCAGAGTTAGCGCTATTTGGGCTGTTTGCCGCACGCGGCAGCTGGATGGATCACGTGATCCAAGCTGACGAATAAGGTCCGATGGTTCAGCTACATTGAGCCACAAGCAAACCAAACACCACAACATTGCCAGAAACTAACTTGTTCACACCTACATACAATCATGAGTCCATACCGTGTCTGGTCTGGTTTGTTATGTTAGGAACCTAGAATGCATTGAACACATGGATTCGATCACAATCTTTCCTTTTACACCGTCTCTCGCATGCAGCATGCATGGTCCATGCCCTCGGTGCTTCGTAGATCTACGTGATTTATCACCGTCGGTGCCAGACAGAACGCGCACCTTGAAGAACTAAGATTTGAAGTCAGTCATACGACGATTCAGAGCCGCAAACGAACTTTCCACACCTGACGGCTGACGTATGCTCCCTCCTTCAGTCTGATTGCATTGTCGTTTCCTACTAGACTACTAAGTACTAGGAAACCTTGCAACCGGTTACCCTATTAGTATTAGTTTGTGTAGCCTGGACTGGAGGCCCTCGAGGGTGGCTTGGCAAGTCTGCCATTTGCTGCTGCAGTCAACATGGTCAATGTCGCTGATCTAACAGACAGCTAGCCTAGCACTTGTGCCAAGTAGTTGTTGTGGCTTAGCACTAGCAAGTAGCAGTGGCGATAGCAGTAGTGCGAGTGGAGGTGAGGTGAGTTTCACAAGCCCGTATTGCACTAGCTATTGCACTAGTGCTGTGTGGTAAAACACGACAGAGCCTGCTCATCCATGACGAGGCGCTTTCAAACTCCGCCGAATCGCCCATCTCACATCGACCGTTCCGTTACGAATGGAACCGGATGGCAAAAAATGGTCTGTTGTGTTACCACTACAGGAAATCATCCGGTCATTGATGATCAGATCATGGATGATGTTTGAACTGGGCCGGAATCGACCGGGGCTTGTTGGGAGACTGTATCCTCTTGTAACCACTTATCCAGGCCAGGCGACTAATAACTGTCACCTAATACTAGCATGAGGGAGTGGCTTCATCGCCCATACTGGACATTCAGAGCAGCCAAAGGATGTAATGGCACAAAGTACAAGTGCACGATACGATACGAAGTCCTGTGATCCATCTCAGCATCTGGAGTGCTGACTCTGATCTAGCTGGGTTCAAGCCAGGATTGTACTTGTACATAATTGTATGTAATAATGTAGTACTAGTAGTAGCAAGCACACGTACACGTGCATCTGCTGTAGCCTGAATAGATCCAAAAAAAGGAATGACTTCTTGACTCCGCCGATCGGATTTCATTGAGCAGCACAGCCATGACATTGAGCCTTTGAGGGCGCTTTCCTCATCAACATTTCGAGAAACACCTTAGAAACACCTCTTCAGAAACACGAAATTCCTCGAAAAGGCAAAGTGTGTCCTTACTTTGAACCAGGGAGTAGTAATTTTACTACTCCCTGCTTTGTTGTAGAATCATGTTCTCATGTAGATGAACCCGCAATGAAGTACCGCGTACCTACCATACCTACCGTATTTTCCGGGGTATAAGCCGCACCCCCCTTTTTGAGGCAAAATATTGACTAAAAGTTGGTATTCGGAGTATAAGCCGCACCCACAAACCAAGATTTTTCACACTCATTGACAATGGCCTTTCTACAAATTTATTATGGTTATGGAGCTAAATACCATGTTAGATCAGATTATGAAGTGTTAGTGCACCACAGGTTGCTGCAGAGATGTTGGTGTATTGCTGTGTTGACTACACTCTACAGATCACTCCATGTCATCTGCACTATCTTCAGTCTCGCTGCCACTGATGTTGATCAGCAAAACAGGCGCGAATTCGCGAAGCTGAGTCGAATGACATGTCACATGACGTCAGCATGCATACTGATGTATGCTAAGCATTCATTCGCGCAAGCATATTCGGTGATAAGCCGCAGGGGCGATTTTGGTCCGATTTTTAGCGAAAAAAAGTGCGGCTTATACCCCGGAAAATACGGTATGTACGCTTATCCATGACATAGTCATTGGCCGGATTTTTTTGGCGACGACTGTATTGATTTGTAGTGTAGATCTACGTGTAGCCGTAGGTGTACCGGTGTACGCGGTAGTGGATGACAGGTGCGGAACCGTGTTTCAGCTAGAACCACGACTCGGCGAGGAGACTGCACAGTACTGATGCAGACTCAAAAATAGCTAGCACGACCAGTGCCGCGCCAGTGGGATGGGGATAATTATGTGGTAGATCTACCCCAGTGACGTACTGACTTGAGTACATGTATTCTGATTATGGTTGCCTTTGAAACTAAAATTACAGTCTACTCGCGATAAGTCACGCACTTTTAAGGGGGGACGGGAGGTTCGCTGGCCATATTGCGGTGCCCGTTATAAATTCGCTTGAATCTCAGCACTCAAACATCAGAATTCCTTCAAATTTTCAGTATATGTTCCTTGACATCCACTGACGACATTGCAACCAAGAACTGTGGAAAGTATACTGGTATCATGGAGAAATGCAGGAAAGCAATTTTGGAAAAAATGCGATAGCCGGGCATGATTTCTGCGCAGTTTTTCTCAAACATGGTCACTTGAAGATAAACACATAACACTGCAAAATGATCAGGTACCAAGGGGCTAGGGCTGTTGCCTAAGCACAATGCGATTACAGTTCCCATGGTGTGCCACTGCAGCCTTGAAATAACAATGCACGTGCGCAAGATAACTTGACTGAAGTTCAAGGTCCATTATTTTGTTTCTAACAGAAGATCTTGTGTCCTAAGAAGGCAACGGATCTAGAATGGACCGTACAGAACCAGAAAATATATACTTTTACATACAAGATATGTACAGCATTTCTAAAAAACTGCGCAGAGTGCCCATAATACCCCTAAAATCAGTGAAAAATGCACCTAAAAATTACATAAAAAGGACTGATAGTGGAGTGCTACTGAAATATTTTCACATATCTGACCTGAAGTTGCCATTCAGAAACCACCTTTGTCATATGTAGTGCCCTCTTTCTCAATAGTGGTCTCCTCCCAGCCTTTCCTCTGCCTCCTTCTCCTTTTCCTGCTCTCCTTTTCCACTGCTGATGACTTGCGGAGGGACTTCTTCACACGCCATTGGTCTTCTAGCTCAAGCGCTGCCTTCGTGTGATTGCCATCAATGCATCCACACTCTTTCAGCACACTGAGCAAGGTGATAGCGCCGTTGTTGAAGTTGAGCACTGCCAAACTACTTGCCAGCTGAACGGTGTCGACGGAGCAGAAGCCTTCCTTCGGACACATTCTCCAAATGACGTTGTTGAACGACTCGTTCGCATTCTGCGTTGCACCCATCTGGCAGCGCTCCAGCAGACTTCGTTCGGACAGCTGCATGTAGATGGGCTTCACGACTTCGAACACAGCCTTTGGGAGAGGGTTCTTATGAGGCCTCCGCGTGTGCCCACAGACCGCTGCCAAATATCGCACGCAGCTTCACTCTCCATACCGGGTGCAGATGCCGCTGTGTTTATGCTGCACTTGTGATTATCCAGCCAGGTTGAAAAGGCTTCCTCCGTGATTGCACCACTTCGCTTCTTCTCAGTCCAGATCTTACATTCGTGACAGTATCGACCCTTCACTGTGATGTCCAGTACACGGCCGCTCTGGAAGGAGATGCACGCGAACACACCATACAGCGACGAATTATCCCCTGCGCATCCAAGTGCCGTCGAACGTCACTGCGACGTGGGTGGAATCTGTCATGGCACGCAACTCAGCTGCGGATTGAACCATGTCAGTTTCAGCTAGCTTTACGGCTGCAGCAAGGACAACTTCCTGGTGGCTGCGGTACGCTTTCTCCGTTACAGGAGCAGGAAAATTCATTACGCCGCAAAACTTTCGGAGTCCACCATGGCCACGTCCAATGCATCGCATCGCCAGTACAGATCGTCAATTCAGATCATAGCTCCTGCAAATTTTCTTGCTCAGAGACGTACTTCCACTGTATCCACACAAAGCGCATTGAAGTCGCAGGGTCGATCCGAGTCCAGTGTCATGACAGTTACTGACGATCATGTCTCCCTTCGTGCACTTCCTACAGACAGTAAATTTAATTGATCCATCAGTTCCTGGAGACACTGTAAATCCACGATCTTGTAGCCAGAGACAGACTTCTCAACATCAGGATAGAATGCATCATCATCATACTCCTGGCAGCTATCACTGGACGACTCGTCTGAATCACTGTCACTCGAGCACACAAGCTCAGATTCAAATTCCATGATCATAATAATATCACTAAGCCATTTTGGCCTCGACGAAATCTTCCGAGAGGAAGCGCTCTGCGCCGCTTCAACGGTGCCTTCTTCCACAACTGGTACAGAGCTTGACTGCTTTGGGGCGTAGTATCTCCTTTTCTTCCTCCTATGGCCACTTCCAGAGCTGCTGGAGCTTCTCTTTCGGTTCCCCATGTAAAATTGTTCACTTTCACGATCACAAACAAAAAAACAAAGATTTTTTCCTTCGCGTGGGCGTCGTGGCGCTGCAGAACGTCATACGCGCGTACGCGATCAAGGAAGCACGTGGCAGCTCTCCATGACTACAAAAACAGAAGCCAGGGTCGCTTACCTGGCGAAGTTGAATCAAAAACGCTTGATTTTGGACTAAACCAAAATCACAAATTTAGGCAATTGTAAACATTTGAGTATTTACATTTGAAATTTATCTCGACATACTTTAGCTCATAACTCCACTTCTACTAAACCGATTACGCTCAAATTTGAAATTCTGGCGCTTCAAATATCCTAAGACAAGATTCCATAGCAAAAAGTTCAAAACTCAGAAATTCATTTTTTGACCCTCTGAACCTCCCGTCCCCCCTTAAGTCACGCACTCGCGATAAGTCACGCACTTTTTCATCCAGGACACCCATCTCAAGAATTTTTTTATTTTTCGGGATTTTGTGGATTTCGTGAATATTTGCGAATGATGTGGTTTTCAATGATGGAGCTTGAATACTGTAAAGGTAAGAATATAATTACATGTATTATGTGCATATTTGTATGAGAGCCTTCTCCCATCCTGACAGGATCACCCACGACAATCCAAGTTTGTCAGTCACAAACTTCTCCCTTCGAAGCAAAATATACTTCACTAGCCGCTCCTCAATTTTCCCGAACTGGGAACTTCTGTTGCGGACTCCCTGTGGACAAGACGGATTAGCATCGGCGAGTTTGCCAGCTTCAGCATCCCTCAGCCAGCCGCGGAACATCGCCTCCGGAACATTGTTCAACTTCGCAAATTTTCGAGCGGACGTTTTTCCACTCTCACGATAGAGACGAACCAAACGCAGTCGATCAGCCACTGTTCGCTGTTCTTTCGTTTTCTTATGAGAAGGCATCGTCAAGCAAAGGGAAACGAAGTGTTGCACGACGGAAACAGAAGTGCGTCTTGTCAAATCTCTACCAAAACTAACGGAACGACGTTACGTCGTTACTTGTCTTTCTCGATCATGCCTTCTTCATTATCGATCATGGCTTCACGCTGTGGTAGATCTACGTCTCGTGTACAGTGTACAGTGTACCACAGTAGTGTACAGTCAGTGTTCAATACAGACTAGAGAGTGTAACGACGTGCGCATGCAGCTCAGTGCTTGTACGCGTGTTCAGCACACATGTCCATAATTATGCAGAAGAAAAAATGACGGCTGTACATATGCATGACATGGTGCATAATGTAAGTCACGCACTCGCGGTAAGTCGCGCATTTTCTATTCCAGGACACTGTGCGTGACTTATCGCGAGTAGACTGTACTCTGAGTTTGAGTACAACTACATGACTACAATGACATGATTGTTGTAATAACTAACTTTACTAGTAGTATAGGTCTACAACTTCTACAACGTACAAGTACAAGCACTAGCAGGACTACTCTTTTTGTTGTTGGCACTCGTACCCCGAGTACTTTAGTTCCTGTGCTGAAAACTGACAGCGTACCAGCAGCAGCAAGCAGCAGATATGCTGCAAGAGTCCACGTTGTCGGACCGAGAAGCGGAGTAAAAAATTCCTCAGCGAACACCTGTGCGCTAGTTTGGTCTGATTTCCATAATCTCTGACCATGGGTACCATGAGTACGCGCTAGCAACTACAGAATGCAGTGGGAGTTCTAAGCTGTGTAGAACGTTCGAACGTAAAGGAAAAAATCTGGTGTGCACAAATTCAGCACGCCAGGCTCACGGTTAGTTGTTCATGCCTTGTGTCTATTCCTCCCTGTGTCTGCCTGGAAATATCGAATATTTTAATTTCTAATTTCATTCATATTTACACAACGAAGCTCATTCAATTTCTAGAGAATGATCATACCGTATTCCCGGATAAATCCACTCGGAGCCTGCAAAGCCAGTGCAATTGTTTATTTATTTTTATTTTTGGGTGAATTTGAAGACTGAATTGGAGGTACTGTGTGCCAGGCTCTGGCATCCACTGAACACCTTGGGGTACACTCCGTATCAGACAATCAACACGAAATACATGTACTAGAGTAGCACCAAGAGTATAATGTAACCTCCCAAGAGTGTGAAACTCCTGATACTCTTTCTATGGGGTTCGCCGACGGCGAAAACTCACATCACGTGGCGTAGTGTCGCAGTTGTATGTTTCTAGCACGTGGTGTAGTGTCGCAGTTGTATGTTTCCAGCACGTTTTTAGCGAGCTGCGGAGTAATAAAAAAAGCTCTCTCTCTCTGACAGAAACTCACTGTTCGTATGCAAATCCCCAGCATGATCATGGCAGATATTCGGTTTGCCCGCACGCTATCCTTCGTTTGTTCGTAGTGAGACACGTGATGTGAGTTTTCGCCGTCAGAGGCCCCATATGCAGAGTTGCACACTCTTGGGACGTTATACTCTTGCTACTCTGAAGTTGAAAACACCGGAAAATGAACGCGTAACTTGACTTCGGGGCTGGTTGTATGCATTATGCCGTTTCACAAAGCGAAACAAATTCGCTTCAGCTGACACCCACCCGAAAATGAAGGAAGAGAAGAAAACCTCCGTATGTGCAGTTTCAGTGTGACTTTAATTTACGAACCAAGGGACTTTTTAATAGAGATAGTGCCGAAAATTCATTCCTAAAGTCCAATTTATATACCATATTATCTCTAATATAAGCACAGTCTCCAATAATAGCACGTCTCCAATAATAGAACACCTTAGGGCGGCATTCAAAAAATAAAGTGCTCAGTCTCCATTATAAGCACACTGTGTAAATTCATTATCTGTACCGGCGAAAAAAAACCCTGAAATGTGTGCGTCATACATGAATTTGGCATGGCAACATGCCTCTGAAATGAGGTTGAAATAATAATGGAACAGTCTCCAATAAAGGAACGTCTCCGTTAATAGCACGGGGCGGAGGTACATTGAAAAAATAAAGGACCGTGCTTATATTAGAGATAATACGGTAATCTCTTTTTCTTTCAGTGATTGGTGTAGCCCAGAGACCGTTTGGAGGGTGTCGTGAAGATGTCTGGTTATAGTGGATGACTACAGTGGAGTCTTTGCATATTGAGAATTGTACAACCAAACACCCGAATCACTATAATACTTCCATTGCACCTCACACTCACTATAAAACTTGACGACTTCCTTAGAATGCCACCTATGTGCAAAACATGGCAGCCAAGTTCCTGCCAGGGAACTTGTGCTATGTTTGGCAGGTGCAACCAGGTCTGGTACGTCTGTGACCAAGAGTACATGACTCAGCGCATATACTCTCGGTAGCAGGTATGTCTGTACAGGCGGTGTACGCAGTTGATGACCGCCTACGCAGGGCTGATATCGTACTTCGTAGTGCATGCACTCAGAGTGGATTTGCCAAGTGAGGAAATTTGCAGATGGAGGAAATTATAAATAGCTGCCAGATAAGACTCGTATGAATGCAGGCAGTGGTGTCATTGGTAGACTCTGACCAGTTCATGTCCACGTGGTGTTTGGACACTGGTGCAAACGGTTCCCAAGCCCAGCCAGCTTTGTATGTTGTGCTTTTCCATGCTATCGATCTTTCCATCAGGGTTGCAATGGCTGATAGAGGTAATCAAGATGCACAGGTGCCATGGAAACCTCAACCCAACACGCCCAGTCGACGTACTGGTGGTGTCAATGCTGCTCCTGCTACCACGGCGACTATTCCTGGTCAGACTCCAGCAGCAAATGCGACTGTAGATAATCGTGAGCACGATGTCGAAGCTGCTCTACCACCGGAAAGTGAGTATCTGAGCACAACTTTTAAAAAGCTTACACAATGTCATTGGCACAGGACCAGGAGGTACGGTGTAAAAACCTTCGTTCTTGCAGAGCTTTTTTGTTTGTTTTGTTTTTGATTTATTTCAGTTCATTGCCTCAACAGTACCATGCACAAGTTGAAAGAGGGTCAAACAAGAAACAAAAGAACTACTTCAGTGCCATAATATTATATTGGATGTTTGGCGGTACTTTCCTTGTGTGAAAACTCCCTGCACCCTGAACGCACCAGCTTTTAGAGAGGATTTTCTTATCAGCAGACTTGCCCAGTCTTGATAACAATAATAATTGTTGTATTTAAATATGCTGCTTTATGGATAGCAGAACCTCTTTCAGGTATTGGACGTTCTTGTGCTATATCCCTTTGCGGAATGTAAAGGGTTTATGGATATACTCGTTTTCTACTCTGATTTCCGTGACATGTTTCTAATTTCAATGGAACTAATTTAGAGAGGTTGTGTGCGAAGAAGTGTGTTTCTCAAGATTTGTCTTCTTAAAACCGCCTATCATTCAGCAGGCACTGTTACTAGTTCGTAGTACTTGTAAGTAATTTGTGTTTATGATCTTGATTATGTACAGCCGATGATGATCACATTCACCATCCTACCCAAACAGTACCAGATAGGAAGCTGGAGTCAAAGGGAAAGCCGATCATGGACCGTGTCCTCGACTCGCTGCAGTACTTCGTGCTCTGGGTGTATTCTGGCAACAGTGTCGACCGGCGTATTCTCAGCACCAACGACTCGCAAGATGAAGAGCTCAATAAAATGTACCTGCTACGGTGAGTGCTGACTTCTCGTTTAGGTTGAACCCAATAGAACGCACCTATACAATGGTCAGTGGATGACACTAGTCTATTTGTTCTCTGGAGCTCAGTAGAGTTAACCTTATTAACACAGACCCTGATTGAACTGACACTCTGTCACCTGTCACTCTATCACTCTATGCCCATGGTCATGATGATGGGTGATCAAGTGCTGGGATACTTCAGTGCTATGATGACATGCCGCACTTTCGCAACAATAACAGCAGCATACACCATCCAACAGTATAATGTCCAGCAAGTCATAATATTATGACTTGGCCACATCATGTAGAGCTGAAGGCAGGGAAGCGACCAGACATGTTCTCGATATGGTAGGGAACAAGATGGAAATTGGTAGAATACTTTTTTCTCTCCCTCCCTCTGTCCCACTAACTCCTCCTGTCTCTCTCTCTATCTCTGTGTCTCTCTATCTCTTTTTCATTCTCTGTCTCTGTCTCTCTCCCTCTCTCTCTCTCTCTCTCTCTCTCTCTCTCTCTCTCTCTCTCTCTCTCTCTCTCTCTCTCTCTCTCTCTCTCTCTCTCTCTCTCTCTCTCTCTCTCTCTCTCTCTCTCTCTCTCTCTCTCTCTCTCTCTCTCTCTCTCTCCCTCCCTCTCTCTCTCCCACTCTCACCCTCACTCTCACCCTCACTCTCACCCTCACTCTCACCCTCACTCTCACCCTCACTCTCTCTCTGTTTCTTGTTCTCTATTTCTTTCTGGTGCAGCCGCAAAGGCTCTCTGTTCAGGTCCGTGGTGCGGTTCAAGGGATCGTCTCAAGCCAAGGCATTGGAAGCGCTGCAGAAAGATTTTGAACGCTACGGTGGAAGCGAGTATCTTGAGAGGCAAGCTAGCCAGGCGGATGCAATCCGATTCCGACACCCTTCAAATTGGTGGTCGCCGAAAGTCAACGACAGTAACATCTTCTTGCAGCGTGGTCTGTTTGCCGACTCCACTCCGTTCCACGTAGCTGTGCTGTTCAACAATGTCGGCATGGCCAAGGCATTGCACTTGTTTTGCCCTTGGTATATTGATATAGACTATACTGAAGATGTTTATCTTGGTAAGTTGGGGAGAAGATCTACTGAAATCCACATACAGCACAGGGGTGTAGCTGGTCCTTCTCTTGGGGGGGGGGGGGGGGGGGGGGTGCTCAGCCACTTCACCAAAGCATTGCATCATCTGTATCGTGCGTGTAGGATGGCTAGTGCATGTCATCATGGTCAGTATGCTCATGCTGAACTTAGGTCGAAATTTTTAGGGGGGGGGGGGGGGAGGGGGGCGGGCTGCACGTGCCCCCGGTGCCCCATGCGGGCAAAGTGCCTGCAGTGTTGACCGGAATCCTGTATTGACCTGACGAATGTTCATGCACCAAAGTGCAGTGGATCAAACATACATCCCTGGATCAAGCAGACTCCTGTCATATCGGGACAGTTTCCGCTGCACCAAGGGTGTCCGCCAGGGCAGTTTCTACTGTACTTGTATGTAGAAAGATGACAATCACACGGAATCTGATTGAGAGGATTGCTTTAGTTACTATTTCTCTCAGTGAAATAGGACCACATTGGGCTGGAGTAGGGGGGGGGGGTGAATGATGTGCCACAACCTCCTTAGAAATTGTCCTCCATGCACCTCCCTATCAAGTAGGGCTCCGACAGCACTCTTCCCACTTCAGTGAGTGTGTGCAAATGTGATTGGGAATATTGGACTAAAAGCAGCACAGCACAGCTTCCTCAGACCGTCACCTGAATCGGCTCCAAAAAGTGAACTTTTGCTTTAAGGCCGCATTTCTTCTTTACCTCTCTGTTGAAATTATGCTATTTGCAGTGAAAGTCATGCTTGTGATGCTGTTTGCAATGACATGCAAGCTTGTTATGCTTGTTGTTACTTTGAAAGGCATGGTTGTTATGCTTGTTGATCTGTTGAAAGCCATGCTTGTGATGCTGTTTGCAGTGAAAGGCATGCGTATGATGCTTGTTGTTACGTTGAAAGGCATGCTTATGATGCTTGTTGTTACGTTGAAAGGCATGCCGGTTGGGGTGCTTGTGGTGTTGTTGCCTGTACTACAACAGGTGAGCATTCACTGCATATAGCCGTGGTGAACTGCGTCAAGTCTGCCTACTGGTCCAAGACTGTGGCACAGCTGAGATCGGAGAGCAGCCGTGCAGATCAGCTGTCACGGACCAACGACATGCTCACCTTCCTTGTGGAGAGCAAGGCTGACGATGGTGAACGCAAGAAGATGCTCAACGTCAAGGTCAAGGGTTTCTTCTTCGATCGCAAGAGCGAGCTACATATGGTATGTCATAAGGGAGCAAGCTTTGCAATGAAATGAGATTGATTCCTGACAATGCTGTATCACCAGGAGTGAGCCTGAATATTTCCGTGGGGAGGGGGGGGGGGAAGCATGCATGCTGTGTTGTGACATGTCTTTGTAGCCGTTTTGATGTTCTCTGGCTGTGTTTTCCTCTTGTTTTTGGTTTCAATGCATGCGTGTATGTGTGTGTGTGTGTGTGTCCCATATGGTGCAGTGGTATGTGCAGCGATTTCCAATCGATAGGTTGCGGGTTCGATTCCCGACGATTATGGTCACACACGTCTTTCTTCTCTTTCTCAGACTCTTCCGGACTTTTCTTTCATTCTCCTGGGTGGTTACCAACAGCCAGTGCATGCCGGAGTATGTGGTGTGATGTGTGTGCGGGAAAAAAAATGAAAAGACCAAAAATAGGGATTCACTGGCCAGAAAAGGTCACTTCAAATAGCTGCATGGTGTAGACCAGGCTGAATAGTGACGATCAATTCTTCAGCCTTGCAAGCTGTTGAATGGTGCAATCCCAGCACAAGTTGCTATGGCTTCTGCCGTAGCATTGCTATCATCGCCTCCGGCGATGGGCGTCAAAGGTCAAAGGTGTGTGTGTGTGTGTGTGTGTGTGTGTGTGTGTGTGTGTGTGTGTGTGTGTGTGTATGTGCGTGTCTGTGTGTCTGTGTGTGTGTGTGTGTGTGTGTGTGTGTGTGTGTGTGTGTGTGTGTGTGTGTGTGTGTGCATGTGTGTTCTGTACAGTAAGTTCAAAAGCTAAATCGTTAGATTAGCTTGCTTACACCTGCAATATGTACCATCGCATTGTAAAGTCCCACTCTTTTTATTCCCAGAAAGCACAAAACTGTGTGGATGGGGAGTTTGGAGTGATTTTGACATAATGGCTACATCTCTCACGGCTTACTACAGTTGTGGCAAGTGAAATCCGACACTTGGCATAAGGGACTGCACCGTGCATCCTGCAGCCTCTGCAGCCCTGCATACGTACAGTACATGTGTTGCATACAACTTTATCTGTCTGATGACAGAATTCGTACTCATCACAACAAGGTTCAAAAGGTGCTGGCAAAAATGAATGGCAATACTCCTTATGTGTACCATGTTTGTGAACTGTGTGTATCTACGCTGTGACCTTTCGACCTGTTTGGGATGCATACGGCTCTATAGTACAAATTAGGTGCAGTGCATTACATCATTGATGTCCATTTGAGGCGCTGTCCCCTATGGCAAGTGTCGGATTTCACTTGCCACAACTGTAATTCACTTATTATTATGGTGTTTGGTGTAATTCTAGGTGAACTGGGGCGAGACACCGCTGACATTCGCAGCAACTTTGTTCCTACCTCGTGTCATCATGTACCTTGTCGATCAGGGCGCAGACATCTTTGCAGTGGATGACGACGTAAGGAACTGACAACAATGTAGGATTGTAGTAGTTCTAACGAACAGATAGAAGAAAGCAGTTGAATTGGTAGCCCCTGTGTTGTTTTGGACTTCGGAATACAAAGAATGCACTGGCCAGCACATGCCTGTCCGACCAATGATGTGAGCATTACCGGTACATTGGTTGCTGTTGAAACCAATATTATTATCCCGTCATCACATCAAGATTATAGCCGTGTAGAGCACTGCAAACCTAGTGTATAGCCATGGCTACAGCCCGGGCTGTGTTCAAGCAACTAATGTTCTGATTGTGTTTGTTAGTTGACTTCTTTCTAAACGTCCAACACGACCTTACCAATGCATTATGAAGGGAAAGAAAAAAAAGATAGATAGATAGAGAGAGAGAGAGAGAGAGAGAGAGAGAGAGAGAGAGAGAGAGAGAGAGAGAGAGAGAGAGAGAGAGAGAGAGAGAGAGAGAGAGAGAGAGAGAGAGAGAGAGAGAGAGAGAGAGAGAGAGAGAGAGAGAGAGAGAGAGAGAGAGAGAGAGAGAGAGAGAGAGAGAGAGAGAGAGAGAGAGAGGAGAGAGAGAGAGAGAGAGAGAGAGAGAGAGAGAGAGAGAGAGAGAGAGAGAGAGAGAGAGAGAGAGAGAGAGAGAGAGAGAGAGAGAGAAAGAGCAGTCCCAGCTACTTCAAGTGTAGGGACCATGCGGCACGGTGGCTGTGCCAATGGTTGGTCTTGCAGACCAGAAAGAAAGAGAAATTGTATTCTGGTTTCTAAGTCAGACTTTGCTGTATTTGATCAAGACACTGCCAGGAAAGATGGTGCGGATGTGATAACAACTGGGTTGATACTCTGTGTTTCTTCATACACGTATTCACTGCATACACATATGCACAAACACACGTGTACACACACGTACATGCACACACACACACACACACACACACACGCACATGCATGCATGCAAACCCATGTGCACCCACCCACCCGCACACATACACGCATACAAATGCACCACAGGGAAACAACATCCTACATGTACTGGCCATGCAAGTGTCGAAACCGAAACAATCTGACGACCCGGACAACGATGCGGCTGACCCTGTAGAAGACGATGCTTGGTGTGCTAAGCTAGTCGACATGTGTGCCTTCATCCTGGAGCTGGCCTGTGGTAGCAAACATGGAGACAAGGAGTTCTCTTGTCTAGAGGAGCAGATGAACCACAAGGGTATGAAGCCAGTACACACAGCAGCATACTACGGCAATGTGGCTGTAAGTGTTACTACGGCAATGTGGCTGTATGTGTTAGTATGTCAATGTGGCTGTATGTGTTACTATGGCAATATGGATGTATGTGTTACCATGGTAATGTGGCTGTATGTGTTACTGTGGCAATGTGGCCGTATGTGTTACTATGGCAATGTGGCTGTAAGTGTTACCATGGCAATGTGGCTGTAAGTGTTACCACGGCAATGTGGTCGTACTGAGTGTTACTACGAGAATGGGGCTGCATGTGTGTCTGTGCAGGCTGCATGGGAACAACTGTATGTTTTTGTGTTTTTTTATTTTTTTTACGGGCAAACAGAATACAATTGACAGTGCACGGCTGTCAAGAAGCGGCAACTTAGAAAAATGGCGTCGGTTCGAGATGGCATGGTAACCGCGCACGTGCCGTGGTCCGTGACTTGCTCATGTATGCACGCAAATGCAAGTCACAAACTCACAAAGATCGTCTTTGCATTTGGAGAAAATATCGCGACTCTCTTTGGAGGTTGGCGAGGTTTGCCTAATCTTTACTTGATTGCGGTGCCGGTATGTCCTCTCAATAATTAGAACAAAGAGAGCTGATGACCGCTTCGTTGCTGAGCAGAAGTAACAATCAACTCTCCTCGTGTCCTCAGTGCCAAAGGCAGACGACTGCAATTCCACAACGCTCATTTCACGATGATGAAAACAATAATCGTGTACTAGTACACACTTGGACCATTTGGTCATCCCTATTCTAGCCGCTAGTCCGCCCAGCAAGCAGATATTGACTATTACGATAGGGACAACTGCGTGAACGAGGGCTCGCCCAGCAAATACAATTCAAGTTGTGACTCCAGTCAAGAATTAGGGTCTTTCCTCGAGAACTTCACAAATACAGGCCAGGGCACCCCACAAAACTGATAGATGGCACGAACGAAAGACAAATAGGCTAGACAAAGTGTCCCAAGTGATTGGAAACAGCAGATCTACCAAATAAGACAGCTACATGTGCCTAAACACGATTCCCATACAGCAGAGAGTAGTATCAGGCAGAATGAAAGCCTTGGAAGTGCACAAATACAGCCACGACCGCCACAAAAATTGGACGACCGCCACAAAAAAATTCTCATTGCTGTACCTCCTTGAAGGGTGAAAGTTACCAGTTATCCTATAGCGATGTCAGTTTATGCCTGTTGGAACCCCCCACAGCCCGCACGAAATACCTTTCAAATAATTCCAGGATGCAATTGCAGCTCCAGACAGGAGGAAGAAGAACACCGTGAAAAATAACGGCAACGATGCCCAAACTCTCGGGAAACGGCTGGAGTCTTCCTGAAGATGTTAACATTGAATAGCCATCGATTACCAGCGTGGTTTGGTGACTTTAGAACTGTTTTGAGACTTAGAACGAAGCGATAACTCAAATTTGATGGAATTGTTACCTGTCAAATGCGTGGGCGAGCAGGCCAGCTGACTGGTTATGCATGAACATGCATGAGCATGCATTGATTTTTCATGGTTCACGTGCAGAAAACTAAGTTGCCGCGATCCAAGTGCAGCTAACAGCCGTGAGTGGCATGGCGAATGATTAGAACACAACACCAAAAAATGAAAACAATTTTATGTGTGAAAAGAAACGCAAAAAAACGAAGAAAAAAAACAGGAAAATATAAGGGCATGTATAATGTACTACATGTATGTATCCGGCATTGCTGCAACATGCTACTCTAGCAAGAACTATGCTTGCGCTATCGGAATGGGGTACACTGGATCGGAATGGCTCGGCCGAGAGTGCGTTGTGGATTGGTGAAGTGACTAATATTTTCATAACTGCCGAGTTTCGTTGCCTATTTCTCTTCTTTGCATGACTGTACTTTACATGCATTGGGATGACTTATTATTCTACTCCACAAACCTCCAGCCGAGCCAAACAGTCATAAACTTTCCTTGCTTGTCAGAATGTCATGATTGGCTGCCATTGTTTCGCTTGTTTCACCTGCAGTTGTTTCACTATCTGATGCACAAGCCACCACGAGAGCGTGTGTACTGGGCGTACGGCACGGTGTCAATGAAAGTGTACGATCTGAAGGATCTGGACACCATTGAATGTGAACCCGACAGCAGTGATGGTGAAGATCAACAACGCAGATGCACGGCTGACGACTATCACTCGCCAGCTGTTGCATGGAAAGATCCGCATCGCCCGCTCTCGGCAGTGGAGGAGGCAGACTTGACGTCGGACGAGGAAGCTTGTGATGGGCCAGTGAATGCACGGGGGAAACGAGACAGCTTCCAGAGGTTCTCGGCGTCCGGATCTCTACGCAGCGCTATAATGAAGCGGTCAAGTCCAAATTGTACCCGACGAGTAGTGCAACATTCTGGAGACTCAGCTGAAGCTTGTATCAATATGGGTGCTACGGGGAAAGGCAACAGGCCTGATGACACAGGCAGTGATAGTTCAGATGATGAGGTGGACGGCTTGCTGCGTACGGATACCTACGTGACATGTTCTAACAAAGTGGTCCAGCCTGAGAAGGTGCAACCCGCCAATCTGCTTGAAGTGCTCGTGCAAAGCCGTTCACCCAGGGTAAGGCCTGTGGCAAGTGACAAGTAACGTGTGTGGTGTCTTGAGTGCAGCATTCATCCGGTTTTGCTCGTATCGCAACATTCATACTATTAACATATAATACAGTAAAACCTGTGACTAACGACCACCCCTTGGCTTGGGGCCAGAGAAAGCGGTCTTTAATGGCAGAGGGTCCTCAGTTAGAGGTTTGAACCACACAACCATATATGAATGTGAGACCGTCCGTGCCTGGCGAAGTGGTCTGTAGCACCAGGCTGGTCGCTAGTCACGGTGGTCTTTAGTTACAGGTTCTACTGTGCTTGGGTATAATGATCTTTTCCCTGTTGTCTGCCTGCATTGTCTACATGGTCTACATGGTCTATGTGCTGTAGGCAAAAGAGTTGCTACTGGAAACGCCTATACAGGAGCTGCTCAGTCTCAAGTGGATGCAGTACGGATATCTCGGGTTTTCCATCGTCATCGCAGTGCACCTCCTCTATGTTGTTATACTCTCGCTGGTCGTGTTCTACCGACCTGTCAAGCACTCCGACTGTAACCTCACGGCCGTAACCACGGAAACAGGTGGTGGCTCGGGGACAGTTATGTGCCCACTGGTCAGACGATCAGTTTTGGTGAGTGACGTGTGAGGTATAGCAAACATTTGGAAGTGTTTCTCACGGCATCGCTCCTCTTACCCGCTACGAGGGTGTGTGCATAGTGAGTGGCGGATGAAAGAAACTGCCTGCATGCTTTAATTATGTCTCTGGTGCTGTAAAAGGACGGAAAGATGAATAGAAGATTCATCTCAGTACCTCAGACTTATGAATATTCATTTCGAAATCGAGACTTGTCTTCTGTAGTTGATACACGCATACACGACCATTCTGAGCAGATCTTTGCTGTAAGGCATTCAGATGCACCCAGAGTTGTTGTCACGAAATACATATATCAACCATATTTATCACCGCCAAGTTGATCATCATGTTATAAGCCACACCGACATTTTTTGGGTGAACTACAGGTAGAATCCTGATAATTCGAATATGGCTTAATTCGAACATACCGCTTAATTAGAAGTTTTTCCAGGACCAATTTCTATCAATACGATTCCCACATAAAAAATTCTGATAATTCGAACCTCAAACTGGATATGTCCGGTTAATTAGAAGTCCCACAGATTCCACTTACATAGAAAATGTGTGGGATTTCTGCTGATAATTCGAAGTTAGCAAAGTGTAATTCGAAGTTCACGGTACATTGTACTGGTCAGTTCAGTTTGCATGAGCAGGCTGTGCCGGTCAGTTCAGTATCCGTGAAATCCTTGTCTAGGTCCATAGCGCAACTCTGCGTGGCCATGAGAGCATTTTGACATACACATTGTGTTGTCGGTTCATGTTTGGATAATAAGAATGTCCAGATAATTAGAAGTTTTTTCCTGGCATTTTGAGGTTCGAATTATCAGGATTCCACCTGTACTGGTGTTTAAAGTGCAGCTTATACTCCCGAAAACACGGTAATGGGAGGTATGCATCTAAGATGGCTGTCACCTTTTTTTGGGGCAAGTTACCCCATACTTGGCAGGTACAACCCGTTATAGTACATTTATGAGTATGACCTCACAAAGTTCATGATCTTTTATGCAGAGTTGGTATCATGGTGTGTACGGATGTAGTGGACTTGCCCCGCAAAACCTAACGGCGGGAAATTTATGCATACGTCCCATTGGTCTTTGAATTGATTTTATTGCCATGCGTAGGCCGGAGAAGCTTACAAGTCGACGGGAGATTTTGTGCGTTTGTCTGGTGAAGCGTTCATCATGTTGACGACAGTTATGTTACTGTGGATTGAAGTAAGTCTATCCACTGGGAGCAGCTGCTAACCTACGGCTTGTCCATATTTAGATGTTTATATACCCAATGCTGTAGACAGCAAGCTGTTTCGGCCATAAAGGCCTCATCAGTACAGTTACAAGCTAAATAGGCCGAGCTACCAGCCATGGTGCAAAGGAGGCACGACAGACATTAAGATAGCTCGTCGCTCTAGCGCCAGAGTGCTCAAACTATGTTTATACACCTAAAGTACAGGATGTATGCTTGCACTAGTATATCCATACACATTTACATCTGGCGTGGAGTGCCTGTGTTGTCCAGCCGATACTGTGTGCAAATGATATCTCAATGACTTTGGGCATCTGCGTGTTGATCCTCGAGGGTGGTGGCGCTCCTAAGGATGCGCAAGACTCGGCCTTTAGCCAAGTCTCGCGCGAACCATGATTTTTTTGAGGAGCGGAGCATTTGGTCTATCCAGCAGAGCATAAAAGTTTTTAAATATGCTTAAAACCCATTCCTGTGAACGAAACCTTTTTCTCTTCTTTTTCAAGTGTCTCCTTTTAAACGTGTGCAACCATGTTTGCTGTCTCTCTCTCTCCCTTTCTCTCTCTCTCTCTCTCTCTCTCTCTCCCTCTCTCTCTCTCTCCATTGTCTGTGCTATGGGTTATGTATAGATTGTGGATGTATTGAGAAGTAATGTGGTCTACATCTGGTTACGATATGAAGTGCTCTACAGTACTATGAAGTATGTTTGTACAACCCATGTGCTACCCATGTGCTACCCATGTGCAACCCATGTGCAACCCATGTGCAACCCATGTGCAACCCATGTGCTAGTATTAGCTACATTCTGAGTCATGATATACTGTTGTTCATACACTCCTCAATCGTGATGTCATGTTGTCGATGTATTGCTTATCAAAATCATGATGTAATTTTGTCAATACATTTTGCAACTGTGTTCATATTTTCCTCATTGTAGCTTTCTCTCTACTGTGCTTGATGTGTTAGCATGGTGGGAAGTTGTTTCACACACACGATCCCTTCTTGAGAATTCAGGAGTTAACGCGATATACTCGCTCACTCTCTTTCTCTGTCTGTCTGTCTCTCTCTCTCTCTCTCTCTCTCTCTCTCTTTCTCTCTCTCTCTCTCTCTCTCTCTCTCTCTCTCTCTCTCTCTCTCTCTCTCTCTCTCTTTCCATGACACTATGTTAAAAATCAAGGATGTAACTTTGAAATCATCTTAAATTAAAAGTACGGAAACTGTTTTGTTGGCATTGTTCCTTCGCTTCAGGTGGACGTACTCTTTGCTGATATTCGTTGCCGTGATCCTCCGAGTGATGGACAATGATTATGAAACGCCAGTGCTGTCTGTGGTGGTGATACTGGCGTGGATGTACGTGCTGATCTTCGGACGTGCATTCCGTCTCATGGGCCCATACCTCATCATGATAAGACATGTAAGATATGCACTGCACGTCATTAGTGCGATTTTGAAGTAGTTACATGTAAGATATGCACTGCACGTCATTAGTGTGTACTATGTGCAGTAAAACCTGTCAAGGCGACCACTCGCATAAGGTGACCACCTGTCCCAAAAGACCACTGCAGCCAGGATCAAAGGATTACTATTCCCAGTCGAATGACCCTGGATACGGAGACCACCCGGAAGCAGGGGACCACATTTTGGAGGTCCCTTGGTTGGTCGTCTTAGACAGGTTTTCCTGTAGTTAGAATCGACCGGTTTGGGGATTGGGCGTGTGCAATGGTCAGTGGGCATGTGTAGGACTCAGTGATCAGTCACGTCTTCATGACCCATCAACAGTACATTGTCATAAGTTAGTATGGTGGACTCTGTAAGAAGCAGAATGTGACACTTCCTGAAGATTGATTTCTGGTGAGCCTGTGGTCTTGGGGCACATTGGAAACTGTGACGTTGCTGGCTGTTTAGTTTTGCGTCGGGTCATGGTGCGTTTGTGACTGTATGACTGGTTTCAGGGCCTGTAACTGTTCACAGGGCCCTGTTTGGCCACAGAGTCCTGTTTGGTCACAGAGTCCTATGCAATACACTGAAGTGTACACAGAGGCAGTATGCTTAGGTTCTGCGAATGTGCTCAATACCTGATTCAGGCAGAGCGGCGTTGGTTGTCGGATGATTGATTCAGCCATGAAACTCTGAGTCACAATGGAATTTGCCCAAGCTTTTCGTTGTGTGCCTTTGTGTATGTAGTAATATAGTTAGAATTGGGTGGGGGGGGGGGGGGGGGGGGAGTGGTCAGAAACCTGTCCCATGTTGGTATGTTCCTTACCAGACCTATCTGTGACTACCCGTGAATTTCTTCTAAGAGCACGTTTGTGGCGTGCTGTTGTCCGATTTATAGATGTTGTTCCACGACATGCTCCGCTTTCTTGTCCTCTACGCTGTTACTGTGTTGGCATTTGGTCTTGGTGAGTTTTGTTCATGGTTGAGTTCACTGGTCCAATCTCCGAACTGTGCTTCCTGTCTGCTATCAGGGAGAACATGTTTATTGCTGGCACATGTTCTCTTGTTCATGATGTCATTTTCATGTGTATCTATCTGGGGCTGTTTAACCATTGCCATATCATCTTTATGCTCAGTATCCGGTGCTCTATAGATCTCTATAGAGCTGTTGCTGCACATCTATCATATGACAAGACAGGACAGCCATGTTGGTTCCTTCTGCTCTCAACGCCTGCATCCCCTCAGTGCATCTATGGGTCACTGAGTGATGCCGACCATGTCGGTTCCACTGTCCACTTGCCACGATCATTTTCTACACGAAACTCACACACACACTCACACTCTGTGTCTGTATGTTGTGTGGTTGTGCATGTTTTGTGTGTGTGTGTGTGTGTCTGTGTTCATGTTATGTCTGTGTACAGGTTTCTTTGTACTGCTGCAAGAGTCTGTGCCCAGTCAGCCAAATGACTTCTCCAACTACTTCTTTTCAATGGTGACTCTATTCCGTACCACACTGGGTCTGAGTGATGTTGAGCTGTCCACATTCGAGCAGTCGCGCTCTACTGTTCTGGGAATCATCTATATTATCTTCTTTCTCATATTCACCTATCTACTGCTGGTGAATTTCCTCATTGCCATGATGGAGAGAACACAGAATACCATAGCAAAACGACAGCTCTATATCTGGAAGGGACAGGTATGTGTCAATGTGCATTTTTTGCGGATAACGTTTCATAAATTTCCACATTCATGTGTTTAATGGAAGCAAGGAAAACGGTGGGGCACAAGGTAGACGTTAGTGACTCTTCATTTAATAATTTCCTTGGCTCACCATCATGTGTTCATTTATTCGTTATTTAATTAAGAATTCGCCCTTCGTTTTGCGGCTCGTGAAATCATCCTGCTCAAGGAACACTGCTGCGTTTTTAGCATTCGTTTCTGTGAGCATCTAATCACGTGAGCAGTGGCAAAGTGCAGGTGCTGTACAAACAGACTGCAAGCTACATGTACAGTGTACCAGAGTAGTAAGTTCTTCACTTACCCCATGACTTCAGTCAACTGTAGTCACGTTGTCCAAAGTTCATTTCAACAGTTTCAATATGTGGTGTTCCTACAGGTTGCTGCCACTATTCTGTACATTGAGCGAAGGCTGAGGCGCATCTTCCCTGCTCGCCGGTTTCGCGTGGGCCGCAGTGGTGCCAAACTGGATCTTGATAGAAGTCGCAGGTAGGGTGATATGATCCGATGCCATACTCTGAATACAATATATGGTACTCCTGCCATGGCTGTGGGAATGGCGTTCTTCATTTTAACAAAACAGTGCACATGCGCATCAAACTGTTGTACACCCACTGCTCACAGTTGCCTTAACACACACTACAAAGCCTCAATGTCCATCTGGTGTTTTTCTTTGCCCGCAGGTACTTGTGTCTGGAGTTCAAAGAGGCCAAGATGCAGGCGTTCACTTTCAACAGCAAGAACCTCAACTTGAAACGGCAGGAGACTGTCCTGTCTAACCTGGGAGCAATGTCAGCAGATGGGCCATGGCAGCCTGTTGATCGCAGAATATCCACCGGTCAAAATTCAAGCAGTGCTGCGATATCTGCAATAAAGCAGCAGCAGCAGCAGCAGGAGCAACAGCAGGAGCGGTGGCCCCAGCCGATTCGCGCAAACTCCACTAGCCCACAGCCACAACGGAGGAGTCCGCTTTTGGACGGTGCCCGTGTGGTCGCAGAACGCCTTGCCGCCCGCCATTTTGGCATGAGAAAGGCGAGTTCAGTGCCCGGAGGCGGAGGAGCTGGCGATCGGTTTGCGGAGACCGTGTTTGGAGCGTGCTCTGCAGCTGGTTTGCAGGTTCATGATCTACATGGCTTGCATATGACTGGCTTACAACATGCTAGCACCGCTGGTGAACAGATTGCACAGCCACAAGCAGGCTATGCATCATTACCCGCAGGTGATAGTAACCAGTATCGGCAGTCTGCTCGTGCTCAGGCCTTGCTCAATGCCTCCAAATCCGTCCAATCGGACCCGTCAGCTTTCAACACGGCCACTGAAGCTGCAGCCCTGGAGAATTCGTTCGACGATGACGATGAGATCACAGGTCTGGAAGTGCGCCGTGGTAAGCGCAAAGTAGCTGAGCCGTACAAAGTAACGAAGTGTTGACTGCAAGGTTTGTTCTAATGGACATTCGACTCTGTATCTAGCTGGTGGAAATAATATTACAAATATTATAGTGAACAGTAAAGTCTGTCTTGAGTCTCCCACATGTGCACACATTCTAAACAGATTATTATAATTTTCGAATTTTTCGCATCTTCTTAAGCTTATCTGACCACTGCAATGTGCCTGCAGTCTCACCAGTCACAGTCATTTTACTTCAGTACTTATTTATTACGAGTTTCTGAGAATGCATACCTAACATTTTACCTACTGTGAGACATGTCATAACGAGCCGCAAAGTTAACGATTGTCCAAAATTATAGGTTAAACGAGAAGATATGTTGACAATCAGGCTTGCAGTCTTCAGGCATATCTGCACATGACATGTATCAGGCACCACAGACTGAATAGAACTTATTTATAACGAAGAAATGTCGTTCGTTAATAGTTTTTAATTTACTTCCTCGTCACGTTATATTCACAGATCTTACTGTATAACTTGGATGGAGAGCCAAGCCAAGGGTTTTAAATTTTAAAAGAAAGGACCAAAAAGTTACATGTTAGTTATCCGTACGTGCACCCCCCCCCCCCCCCCCCCCCCACACACACACGCACAAATTTCGACCTACAAAGCTTCAGCATGCACATAATGACCATGACTGACATGCACCTGCCATCCTACACATACCGTACGGCCGCACCTTTAAAGCCATGGTGGTATATTCGATTATAAAGCCAGTCTCAGTTATAAGGCCATGGGCTTCATAAAAAGAAATGACATTAAATTTTGAAGAATGTTTTGTAAAAATGAAGGAATAAGTACTATTTATGCTAACAAACTTACAGTCCAGCAGGAAGGGTAAATAAGTAGATTTAGATTGAAATTTCTGTGTGGACTTTGACTTTTATGGCATGGCGTAGTGGGTGAGTCATTTTGCATCTAAAATATCTAGGACAGCAGCGGTGTTTCGATTATAAGGCCATGGCTTTAAAGGCGCTGACATACGGTATATCATACGTATGCGGCCATGCTCACCCCCCCCCCCCCCCCCCCCCTCAAAAGTTGACTAAGTACGCCCCTGCGTGAAGTATACATGTACGGAATGGCCGCTAAGGACAGGACATTCAGATTGTACTTCGAAGTAGTATTTTTTTCCTTACACAAATAATTATAGTACTTACTGCAATGCCGGCAAACTGACTTGGGTACATATGCTGTGCAAGTCGATCATTGTGCTTACGGCGAGCTCAGGGAAACGATGCGATGGAACACATCATTCAGAGTGCACGGTCAAACACTACAATGTAGTGCCATTGCTGGCAGGGTACCGTTCAGTACACACAATGTAGTGCCATTGCTGGCAGGGTACCGTTCAGTACACACTGCACTGGTAACACTGTAGTTACTTGTGAATGCAGACTTGAAGCTGACTTGAAGCTGACTTGAAGCTGACTTGAAGTCTTGCAGACACCTGGCAAGAAGAATACAGAAGATGCATGGTGCCCGCTGTATGGGATTACACGCGCTCATTCATGTACTCCGAAATATGCATACGTGCACACGCACACCGAAGTAGACCCGGAGGGACATAACTCCTCGACGATCAGGAATTGATTGCGTCTCGAATGCAACATCCAAGAGAGTTTCAAATATGGAGTGAAAAACAAAACAAAAATGGTATGGACCAGCCATAGCAACAAACTAATATCAACACCTGTTACTAGTACTCCTGTACGGCCTAAAACATTTGCTGTGGGGCAAAGCCACTAAAATCTGGGCTATTTGTTGTGTAGTACAAGTCATAAAAAAATAAAGTAGCTGAGCTTCAAGCGCCGGATGTATCACACATGCACGCACGCACGCGCACACACACACACACACACACGCATGCACATTGGTCTCTCAAGGATGAGTTGAGAATGCTACATCACAAAAAAAGTAGATGTACATACATCAACATAGATAATAGACCGGGAGCCAGCGCCACCAGGGGTTTCAGCTGTGTTTCAGTACTACCAGCTGAGCACAAATCACCAGCACTAGTCACATTCTATATCAGACGTGGACGGACTAAGAACTTCGCCGGCTGAGTCAACCGGACTAGTTGCTTGTTCATTAGTTTCACCGGCACTGCCATCGTCTTCACCGTCGGCCTCATCATCATCTTCCTCGTCTTCATCACTATCTTCTTGTTCCTGAGCCATGTCGTAGAAGCGCAGGTAGCGAGAGTTGCCGGCCACAATGGCTGATAACTGCCGGTTGCCGCTGACCGCAAAGCCAGCCACTTTGTTCAGCTCTACATCGCGCCGCAGCTCCATGCAGTCCAGAGCATTGACCGCGGGTACTGTACATGTAGACCAGCTGCTGCTGCTGCTGCTGCTGTCCTCACTGCTAGCCACCTCACTCATCTCACTGCCACTGCCATTGGTATCATTACACAGGCGTGTGGTGGTGGCGTCCACCGCGGCAAAGTGACCCAGCAGCCGCTCCAAATGAAGCTGGCCGAGCATTGCGCTGCCATCGGTGACGCTGAGCAGGACAGTGAGCGTGTAACGAGAACGCACACTCTGCTTCTCGCTGTACCACTGAGCGTCCACCACACCGTAGCGGCAGCCAGTGCTCTCATCCGCAAAGTACACGTTCAGCGCTCGAGTGGAGTGCGTGATCAGTACTACAGATATAGAGTCATCGTGCAAGGCAACGTGAGCTATGCCGGATTTACTCTGGCCCTCTAGCAGGGATGCTGAGGAAAACCGATGCGGGACATAACAGCTAGACTGACAAACCGGCCCACTGGGTAATGCTAATGGTGGACCAGAAGACAAGAGGTGATTGAAGGCAGGCACAACAGCAGCGAATGCCTCCGTCACTGTACTGGTCAGTGACCTGAAATCTTGAACGAGAGACGTGCTGGGATCGTGTGTATACGACCAGTCAAATTGCTCCACAACCGATCGTAGTTCCAGCAGCAAGTCATTATCATTGTCGGCGACGGGCTGTTTGTACGGCGAAGTCAGCGGTTTGTCGCGGAGGTACTGACCGACTTTTTCAATGTTGAACTGCTGCTCCTGCTGCTGCAGACTAGTGCCGGACCTGTCTATTTTTATAGGTTCCATGTTAGACTCTTGTGGGTCAGACTCACAGCAGAGGCTGGCAGAGATGAACTTTCCGACACTGCAAAGTTGCGACCGGGTCATGGAGTACTTGACGGCATCCGGATCGCTCTTCGTCTTGATCGTCGACTGAACGATGGACGAGGCGCATGTTAGCCACGCCAGGAACGACTCAATGTCTTTCGATGACATCAGCATGACCGAGATCAGCTCGGAACATTTCAGGGTGAGAGTTGCCACTGCGTTCATGCACTTCCTAAACGCCGTCGCGTCCAGACCAAGGCACGCAAACTTGCAGTGAAAAGATGCAAAGCCGAGGGCGTCTTGGCACTTGCTCATGAGATAGAGCAGCACAGGCTGCAGGGAGCTGACCACGGTGGCACGGATAGTCTCGTAGCACGACGTCAGGCGAGTGGAGACGCGGTAGAGCGCGCCCTCGCTTAGCTCGCGTTCCAGGAACACGGCCGCTTGCCACGGTAACGTACCGCGAACCAGCAGGCGTAGGAGCACACTACCAATCTTGACTTCGCCCATCGAGTTACCCAGCTCTGTTGCCATCGCTGACAGCTTCTCGTTTATCTGCTCCATGACATCCTCCCATGAGTCAATGATAATTTGTATAGACCAGGTGATGTAATCGCACAATGACATCATCACGCCGTACAACTGACAGACCGCTACCAGCTCAGGACGGCGCGTCACGATAGCGCTCACGTCGTGCACATGACGACGCTCACTGCTACCAGCGGCCGTTGACGACGCATCGCTGTGCTTCTGTCCGCTGGCCGCGCATATCACACCTAGCTGCGACCAGTCTGACGAGAGACACACATCCGCAACAGCCGCACCATCGTGCCGTAGCTCGCAGACACGTAACAGACCACACAGGTACAGCGAGACAGTCCCGTCGCAAGTACCGACCACCAACATATCTAGATTGTCCTGCGGCAGCAAACATTCTTTACTATCCAAACCGAGCTCACGGCGACACGAGCCATCGCGTTGTTCACCAAACCATTGAACAGCGACGTTGGGTACTTCAGGTTGCAACGAATTTCCAGTCTGTACATACTCGGCAGTCTTGTCCCTGTCACCATGGCAGCCATCCTGCTCAACAAACCACTCCAGACAGGAGACGGCAGCACCACGGTGGCTCTGTTCACTGGGCTCGTCTGCATGTGACGATGTCATGATGATCTCATGCACACAGGCTGGCCCCTGCGCCACGCCATTGAGCACAGCGTTCTCCAGGGTGAAAATGCGAATGTGGCCTCTCTCGTGACCAATGGCCACCACACGACCATCAGGTCTCCAACACACAGATGTCGCTGCACCTGTGCGCTCCGCGTCAGGACAAATCTCCCAGATCTTCTGCCATGTGCTAGAGCGATGTAGTGACACAGATCCTTCTCTGGACACCATCAAGACCAGATCGAACTTCGGAGACCATTCCAGTGATTTGGCTGAGACCGATATATGTTTGTCGGTTAGATAGTGGAACGCCTTGACCTCCATACTGTTGATGTCTCTTGAAACACTCGTCGATCACGGAGAATAAAGTCACTCCGCTATGAACAGGAGTGCATACAGGTCTTTGCTCACCCTTCGTCTCGTGTCCGCGACATCCTCAACGAAATGATAATTTTTTACTCCAATACTTCGGAAACAGAATACTAGTAAAATCGTTTGGGGCCTGAGCTCGTCCGGGCAGCCACGCAGAAAGTGAGTTACTTGTGACAGAGGTTGACGCGATGAGCAAAACTCCCTATGACTGTGATCGTGAAGACAAGAGCTGGACTGCCAAAACAAAACAATATTCCTCTCGAGATCTCTGCACTCTCGATCTCAGCTCTCAAAAAAACAAAAAAAACTCTGTACATTTTCCATAATAATTTTCGATTGTTCGCGCCATTTTCAAGAAATCATGCTATTTTATGGGGAAAAAAACAGGCAACCGCGCGTATACGTATACGCGTACCGGCGCATGATCTGATCTGAATGAATATTAATTTTATGAGTTCTCGTATACGAGGGCTTTTTCAGCACCAAACACCTGAACACTCGCGAGTTAAAGGGGAAGTATACCCTAAAATCAAATTTCAGGGCTCACAGTAGGCATGCAGGATCGACAAAAGCGTCGTGCGAGGGCGGGTTTGGTGCACGTGAGTCGCGTGACCCCGGGAGAGTACCGATCGTGTACATCCCACGCATCCAAAACAGAACAGAAAAGAGAAAGAACCCGAGTTGTACTTGTAGTTGTACCATGTGTACTGTTCTCGTAGTTTTAGAGCCGATGTTCGCGATATTTTGGAGGAGAAGGCGAAACGCAACCTGTGCTAGTCCCAGTAAAAACAACATGCCATGTTCGACCAAGAGCTGATCCTACAATGAGCGATCGTGATGATTCCACAGGTAAGAAGACAAACAAACGAGTCAGAGCTCGCCAGGCAGGTAACGCCGAGAACATGATGATACCACACGGAGCTGGTGATCGGATGGAGGTGAACGGGACCAGCAAATCCACCGGGCGTTTGTCGAGGGCCACTGAAGACCAGGTTTCCCAGGGTGCCAGTTCCTCCATGATGGCGAAATGCGCTGCCACAAGAACTCCAGCGAGAATGAAAGCACAGCAACCAACGCCGCGGGCAAACTGAGGAGAGAACACTGAACAATCTGTGCACAATGATTTTCTCTTCGACGGCACGCGTTGCTGTTCTGCTGCATGCATGCGTTTTTCTTGTTGTTTGATCTTCACACATTTTCGCGCAAGCGGTTGCACGCCGCTGGGACTCGGGGTTACTAAAATTAGTACAGAGCATCTCCCCCTTGGTCGATTTGGACAATCTATGGCTCAAAATTTTCAGGAGACCCTGGCAAAGAAATTTACCGAGACGTTTTTGGATACTCCTTTCGAATGCTGTACTATATCTCACGAAGTTTACGCATATGCTCTGGCATACCCGTGTGAGTAATGAAAATTTGTTTCGGTAAATCTTTTGGAACACCTGTCATCTGTGCCTGGGCCAAGTCTCAGCTTCGTAGAACCAGGCTGAAGTGCTGCTAACTCCTTCAAACACCCCCTACTTCGAGCAAAAATGCGACGAAATGCTGACTGCTGATTGGCCAAGCTGGCATTTTGGAGCACGTGCACCGCCCCCATCTAATCGACGCTTTTCTACGCAACTGTGAGCCCTGAATTTTCACCAGTTGTAGTCTTCGGGGTGCTGAGTCGAATGGTCTTGGTCCGAGGAAGCTGCGACGCTCCCTTCCTACTTGAATCCCAATCGAACTCGCGCACTTCCACCGAAACTGGGTGACTGCGCCCTACTAGATGGGGATTTGTTTGCAAAATGTCACTAAAAGCGCCATTTCGTTCTTATAAAAGCACGGATGACCGCGATTGGCCCATATGTTGTAGTCTTTTGGACGCCGAGTCGACTGGTTTTGGTCCGAAAAGGCTGCGATGCAGCGTTCCTCCTTTATTCCCAATCGAACATGGTTGAACAAGCGGTCACGTGCTCCTGGGTGCCCAAATCACCTGGTCACCGTGCCTGCAGGGTACAACTTACTAGCCTGTTTGACCTTTTTTGGGTGCAGTCCTGTCACTCGAGTTGAACTCGAGTTGAACCTTGGTGTGAAAGTTGTCGCCTGCTGGCGCGGTGACCAGGTGATTTGGGCACCCAGGAGCACGTGACCGCTTGTTCAACCATGTTCGATTGGGAATAAAGGAGGAACGCTGCATCGCAGCCTTTTCGGACCAAAACCAGTCGACTCAGCGTCCAAAAGACTGCAACATATGGGCCAATCGCGGTCATCCGTGCTTTTATAAGAACGAAATGGCGCTTTTAGTGAGATTTTGCATACAAATCCCCATCTAGTAGGGCGCAGTCACCCAGTTTCGGTGGAAGTGCGCGAGTTCGATTGGGATTCAAGTAGGAAGGGAGCGTCGCAGCTTCCTCGGACCAAGACCATTCGACTCAGCACACCGAAGACTACAACTGGTGAAAATTTGATTTTAGGGTATACTTCCCCTTTAAGTTCGGGTGATGGACTACGAAATGAGTAGACCTACGTCCTACGACCGAGTACGAGTGCAGACTGCAGGAGTCGACATGCGACCGACGTAACAATCATATCATCGTATTTGTCGAGGGCAGTTTCGAAATTGTAAAGTAAGTGTAGTAGTGTTCCTGTCCTTTCCCAACTCATTTTTTGTACTCATGATGATGTACAGTGCAGTACAGTGCAGTACATTGTAGCTCGACACTCAATTACGTTGTCGGAAAAATTCAAAGAAGTGATGCATTGTACTTGTCATGTACACAGTCCACTATGTATTGTATACCAGGTATACAGGGAGTCGTAAAGTATTTTACGATTCCCTGATTGTATACATGTACAGCCATGTAACTAAGTGTACGTCTTCAAGTCCAATTCGTCATGGCACCATGGCTACGCCAAAGGAAGCCAGCGATACTTAGCACCAGGGAGTCGTAAACTGATAATGTATTTTACGACTCCCTGCTTAGCACCTCACACTCACAGGCATGCTGGAGTGGAGATTTGGCTGCGTGGTTACCATGACTACAGTACTCGGTCACGTAGCAAAAAGGACCCATGAGTGTGTGTGATCCCCGGCAGCCTAATCGGTAGGGCACTGTCCCGGAAAGACAGGGGTGCTCACTGGGTTCGAATCCCGATCGGGATCCTTCTTTTGCAACATTGGCGCCTGGCAATGCCGGGCTAGAACCCACGACCCGTCGTACCCCCCCCCCCCCCCCCGCGTGAGTAGGTATGGCGTGAGAACACAGCCTGTTGGGGTAGGGGAGTCACTGAGTGTAGCAAGAAGGACCCATGACTCATGGCATAAGTGTGTGTGATCCCCGGTAGCCTAATCGGTAGGTAGGGCACTGTCCCGGAAAGACAGGGGTGCTGGATTCGAATCCTACATAGCACCCATAAGCGGTTTTGCTGACTCATCACCATGACATCGATATTCGTTTTAAAACCTCTATTGCAGTCTACAACTTGAACTTCTAAAGCACTTGTTTCAGTAGCAAGGTAGCTCAGCAGCAGGGCCCCAGATGTACTGATCCGAGAACAGAATAGAAGCAAGAAAAGCAGAGGAATGAACCGCAAGCAGTGCATTGCTCAATGACAGGTGGGGTGTAAGAGCGGCAGGGAAGCGATAGATCGAAAGGTTGACCAATCCATGCAACTCATGGACTGCATCCGCATCAGAACAACCAAGCACATACCATCCGCACTGTACACACATGAACACATCTCTAGTCTAATCATCTTGCCTACATTCTAAACAACATGAGATGATTGCTGCCTGTGATCAGCGTGTAGCATATTTAAGCGAGATTGTTCCAAGTACCAGATAAAACGGCAAATTCTCTAGTTCTCTCTCTCTCTCTCTCTCTCTCTCTCTATCTATCTATCTATCTATCTATCTATCTGACTCCCAACCGTTGACAAGAACACTATAGTTATGATTGCGGTCAGTGTAGATTCTGATGTTGCGTGTTCACCCATCACGTTCTTGCAGCATACGGTTCATGAACGCACAAGTACCTGCACAAGATCACGCACAGAAAGCAGAGAGCACACCTACTTCAGTCCAAGTCATCAGACACTTTTTTAGAACATAATGATAATCGTAAGATAGCTACGACTCATATAAATAATACTTAGTCCGCCAAGTTAAAATTGGCGCTTATCTTCTCACTTGGTTTTTTGGTGTTCTGCCTGTGCCACACGGCATGGAACCACCGAATCACCATCCGAACATAACCATTCACCATTGCATCCGACGACATTGCAGCACAAACCATCACAGAAGTTGCGATCGGTTCGTTTGAGTCTTTTTGACGGAGCTGCCGCCGACGAACACTTCCGTCAGCGCAAGAAAACACTGCAACCTCCGCTCGAGTCCATAAAATAGGTCAGGATGCTCGCATTTCAGAGCGATGGAGAATACAGTTTCTGTCTACTTCCAGCTGTCTGATGGCAAGGATTGTTTACTCCGGGGAGGTATAGAAAAGCTGAAAAAGCGCTTCGCGAGCTTGAATTTCAGTGCTTGCACAGTACAGCGCCTGGTGAAGGGCTATCACCAGCAAATCGCTGACGAAGAAACTGCAGCTCATGTCGATATCTCCAGTAAGTGAGACCAATCCGGCGACACACTTTGAAGCTCACAGAGGACAGGGCAAAGGAGCTAATCAAAGAAAACACCAAGTCCTGAGAGAAACACTCGTGGAAAGGACTTTCAGGAAACTAGCCGAAAAGCCTGGTGCACGGCGTTGTAGGTGCAGTACGAGCGCACAGGTGTTACATCAAGCGAAAGCTATCACTGCGCTACATGTAGATCTTCAAGCACTAGCGGCTCGCGTGGGTACGGGTGCTGATCAGCAAGTACAACAAGCGCAAGAGGCGATTTGAAAAAAAGGACACTGATATGGCGTTGCCTTTTTGTCTCAAACAAAGACGCATTATTGCGACGAACGGGGATAACACTTACAGTCAACATGCGGGCAGTCTCACTCAGCTTCTGATGGGAAGGTGACAGGCACGCACTGCCTTTGAGCGTGATTCGAGACGAGGAGAAGCGGAACAAGCTATGAAACGACCCGTGCAGCAGCTGTTCGGATCGCACGTTTTGAGCTCTTCCTCCAGCGACGATAGTGGCGAGGAGGATGTGTAACTTGCTTGAATTTTCGACTGAGTTGCTTACTGACATGTAAAATAATCATGTATATAGTGCTTTGTGATCATGGCTTGCTTCAAATATTCGTATTTCTTTCCTGAGACAAGTGTGAAGATAAGCGCCGCCAATTTTAACTGGGCGGACCAAGTAATGATACCCGTGCTCATGTCACAAAACAAAGCCTAATGGTGGGGTTCGCGTACAGGGCAGGTCGAACTGAACCGCCTTCCGTTTCCGTGGGACACCACCATCCCATGCATGATCAGGCGTCAGATGTGGCTCCTAAACGGTGGGGGAGGAGAGATCAGATCCACTAGCCAGAGCTAGGCCAAAGGCCAAAATCCCACTTGCCACATCCATGTTTTCACGAAATGAGGCATAATGATAGTCGACTGTGACTGGACGGCATGTTTATCTGAGAGGCACTAGCCAGTCAGCAAATCACAGTCATACAAGAAGACACTTACCGCATCCTTCTCTTTGTCGGTCGGTCATTCTCCACTTTCGGGTCCTCAAGTAGCAGGTTCTGACCCAGCACACCCACTTTCTTCTTCTTTGCAGAGTAAAACGGCAGCCATGTGGGAATTCTACGCTCCACCATGAACAAGCTGGAAACAACCTGTTCAACAGTACATGGTCACCGGGAAAGTGGAACAGGAAAGAGTAAGTTGATGGAGCACGTACATGTACACTCATACCTTGTTTATCTTTTTCATCATAGCCTAGGAGCCGTGGCATCATTTATGATCCACAGCAAGAAAGCAGCAATGCCCGTACCTATGGTGAAGTAAAATAAAGGTACCATAACTGTTAACATCTGGGAAGTCTGGGACTGGGCACTGCCTGTAAATTTGAAATGTCCTTAACTTCGAATCACATACATTTGGATGGGGAAAGGCCATAGCTATGGCAATATTACGTCACAATTTCCACGGAAAAAGTGCCGAAAGAGTGGTAATATTTCCACTGAATCTCGTCCGAAGGGTGTCCGGTAGAACGAGGTGCTTGTAACTTCTGGTTCCGGATAACCGAGATAATTATGAGTGTGCTGGTGTGATTTTGACTTTAAACACCCCAAACAACAGTTGGTACTTAGGTTAGACAATTGGCAGGCAATCCCTCGGAGACTAAGTACATCAGAACTGGTTGTCTAAGGCCCGGTTTCCATGAGAAATACGCTCCCCGGGATTGTTGATCCTGGGCTCGTGTGCTTGCACTCTACTACGGTGAGTGTGGTGTTGGATGTTCAATGTTTGGCAACAGAGCGCCACTAGAGACAAAATTAGTACAATTGAGAAGTTGTCTGCCTGAGAAAGTATAATGTCAGAGGATTCCGCCAACAGTCAAGCTCATGAGGGTTCATGCACTGGAAGTGCGACCCCGTATGCGGTACTGATGTCCTTCGGGTAAGACAAAAGTCCTTCCGGAAGGAGTTTGGACATGGGACACGAGTGTCATTGGTGACGAAGGACAACAAACTTGTCCACAAACAGGACATCCATTAGCAAAATCCTTACTTGTATAATCCCCAAGCCAGGAAACTCCCCTGATAAGCATCCATTTACTTTTGGAGAATCCTTCAAATAAAGTATGAATGTATAATGGTCCTGCCGGAAGGAAACATGTTGTCCATCGTTCTTCAGGACTATAGTATTTGTGCAAGCTAGTAGAACAAGGCCAGGGCTCATTTTATGTGAACGACCCTTACTCAATCTCTTACGCCAGTCCTTTGAAGGATGCTAGCAGCTGTATAACCTGTTCAGGAGAATTTGTGATTACCTTTCCGAGGCGATTGGCAAGATGGAGATGAAATTTGGACAACAATCAACCTCTGGAGAATAGCCCTCCCTATTTCCTTTCGTCTCATTTTCTTTACCTTCTACGGTGGGGTAGATACAAAGTCACTTGCACAGCGCACAGAGGACCAATCTATTCATACAGCACTTAACCATGGCCGTCGGAACCGGTCCGGCTGTCCCGGCTCGAGCCGAACCAATATTCTGGTTCATTTTTGCGGCTTTGCAAATTTCCCAGGGGAGATTATTCTGCCCCCCCCCCCCTCCCTTGTACTATACTTAACTCCCATGTTGATGCTGCACGGGATTCATCTGAAAACCCGAATCATCAAATACGGTACTTTCATGTGAGGTAACACGAGTAGTGTTCGCCGGTGCTGACCTGTCCTCTCCACAAGCACTTGGCCTGTTGTAGTGTCTCATCTTGCATGCCGTTCATCAGTGCTATGAGAAAGTTGACCAGCAGCAGCACGGAGAACACCAGGAAGAGTACGAGGGCAGCAGTGACCAGAGCAGGAACACGCGACTGCTGGATGGTGGTGTAGTCCAGGTCGCTGAGGCCCAGCGTGTAACGGAACACGTTGACCAGGGCCTGGTCGTACTCGGAGAAATCCTCCGGTGGCTCCGGCCGGCCCTCTTGGAAGAGAATGTGGAAAACTGGACAGAACACGCGTAGAGACGTGAAACTCACCTCAAGTATTGGTCAGAAGCATACACCACCATGGTGTGTGGAATAATCACCACCCAAAGATAGGTCATGCTGTATCAATTTCCACACTGTTTTCAGTAGTCACACACGCACACCGCACCTCAGAACATGCAAACACTTTACCAAACAGTAAAAACATACCCGGGACCGCACAGTTAACACACACACACACACACACACACACACACACACACACACACACACACACACACACACACACACACACACACACACACACACACACACACACACATCCTTCCTTCCTTCCTTCCTTGTATCACTGCCGTGTCCGGCTATGCTACCCCCAAAGGGGCAGACTCGGATTTGTGCTGCCCATCAGGGCGCTCGGCGGGAGTGTCTTATCGCGTTACATTCGTGGCGACTCTCATCCTGCCGTCGACGAAAACTACAGTGGCATACCGGGCATTGGAACGGCTTCGTTACCGGTTGAGTCCTGATGTTGACGATGTGCACAACTCCATCACGGCACCTCAGGTGCCATTCCTCCCTGTCCTGGGCGATGTCATTGAGGTCGTCAACTGCAATGTCGATGGAGGTGACGTCAGCCTTTGCAACATCCTTCCACCGCTTAGCTGGCAGGGCGCCGTACATAAGCTGCAACGGAATGCGATTTCCCATCCGGGCAACGTGTCCCAGCCACCGGAGCCGGCGCCTCTGAACCTTATCGACGATATGCTCAAGGTCATCCCACATGCGACGAACCTGGAGGGAAGAGATTCGGTCGGTGATCTGCCGTCCCCGATCTCCCGACCTTCAGCATCGACCTTATACAGTGCAGGTGAAATACCTCGAGCTTTCGCACGTCCCTCTGTCTCAGCGTCCAATTCTCTGAGCCATAGAGCAGGATGGCAAGGACCGTAACGCCATACACCACCCGTGTTGCACCGACGTGGAAATCGTCATTGCAGAAGATGGTCTCCTTCAGGCTGAGTAACGCACCCGAGGCAGCAGCGACCCGCCGCGATACATCGAAGGTGCTCCGAGCATCGGGCGTAACCTGGCATCCCAGGTAGCCGAAGGCATCAACACACTCGGCTGTGCCATCTAAAGGAGCTCTGTCTGATGGTAAGACTCCACTCCCGGCAGGCATGTACTTGGTCTTTGCTGTGTTGACGGTCAAGCCAAACGCGCCCGCAACTGTCTGGGAGGCAGACACACACACACACACACACACACACACACACACACACACACACACACACACACACACTTGTACTTGTTGTACTTGTACTTGTACTTGCTCACTGCCGAAACTGGTCACGTGGGTCTCCCCGGGAGAGGGGAGAGAGACTCAAAAGGAATCTTGGAACGATGACTCAATTGGCTATTGAACCACCAACGGCCGACACCCCCTGAAATCTCCAAAACTCTGGGTGGACTTGAAAATGATCCCACTTATGTGCTCACCACACCTCAGTAAGTGGGTGAGGACAAGGTGCAGAAAAAGAATTGACGGCATCAGGGTATCCGTCCCGGGATCCAACTGCAGTTACCCCTGCCCCCAGTGAAGGTAATACTTGCTACTACAGTCGTCCCTCTCTAATCCGGCACTTGTTTATCCGGAACCCTTGCCAACCGGCGCACTTTCTGACGAAACAGATTTTTTTCGTTCAATTCCTACATCTTAATCCGGCACTTGAATTCCGCCTCCGGCAGTGACTTTTTGAAACGAATCGCTCAAACTGCACGTAGTTTGATTTCATAATCCAACAGTCGTAAATCGCATACCGTACAGGTGCACTCCTTGCCAGGCCAGGCTAGGCCAGTCTGGTCAATGTTGTCCAGGAGACAACGGCAGTCAACCATACTTTCTTATTTTAGCAAGGAGTAGTGTCCTGCCAATTTTCAGGTGTGTGTGTGCGTGTGTGTGTGCGTGTGTGTGCAAGAGTACATGTGAACATGTTCTCTGTTTTACTTTATCACTTTATCACTGTGTATATTCCCGGAGAACAATTGAGAATATAAAGCCGTGCACCAAATACTTGGGTTGAAACGGAAAAACCCTGCGTTTTGACGTACATATGATACATGCATGCAATTGGGTGGGGCCGGGTCAGAGGGCAGGATTTCTTAATCCAGCACCCTCGTTAATCCAGCAGAAAACGCCGTAGCAAAAGGTGCCGGATTAGAGAGGGACGACTGTAGTGTGGGTGGCTGAATCAGAGTGGATCTGATATAAGCCTCACTAGCACCATTGATTACACAAGAGTTAATCTAGCCAGAAGCAGTCCATGGTTAACAGGTATGTATACTTCAAATAGAAAGTACTCTAATTTCAGAAATTTTCGGTGCTCAATATTTTCGGTATAAGGGCAACAGGTTAGGTTAGGTGAACAGAAATTTTCGGTACAGAGAAGCAGTTCCCTATTGGATTATGTGTGTTAGTGTTTGTTCGGTGTATTGAAATTTTAGGTATGAAACAGACGCACCGAAAGTACCGAAAATAAATATACACCGAAAATTTGTGAAATTACAGTATATGAACCCTGGAACCAACAAAGGTGGCAGGTACAACATTACACCTTCAAGTAGCCGAGCCCGTTGGCAACAGACCCAACACAATCAGGCATAAGTGTACCCACCAACCGAACTAGCTGGCACACACACACACACACACACACTCACACACACACACACACACACACACACACACACACACATTCTCTAAATCTCTCTCTGTCTCTCACACACACACACACACACACACACACATTCTCTCTCTCTCTCTCTCTCTCTCTCTCACACACACACACACACACGCACACACACACACATACACACACACACACACACACTACTACTACTACTATCAATCAGCTACCCCTTGGGGTCACGCCGCCCTCCACTCAGAGAACTGAGCGCAAGGTGAGGGGCAGTGGTGCATACAAAACAGAAAGTACAGCAAAATGAATTGAAAAAAAAGGAAATCAAAACAAGCTGCCATATTGATGGAAAGGGACTCACAAACAGAGGAAGGAAATATCACAAACCAGATGAACAGTCTGCTGTAGGTCCACTATAACATGCAACGACTGAAGAAAGGAACAAAATTAATGTGAACATGATGTTCTGTTCAACAATAACGTCTGTACGCGTACTGCTTCGGCCTTCATGCACCAGGAAAGCACAATCTTGAGCTGGAGGGTGGGCACCGAACGTCCCACAAGGGCTCCACAAGACGTACTTTCACGAAACGACGAGGAGTATGCGCAGCAAGCTAACATCACTACACCATCGCCGCACGACGACTGGCCACTCAGGTCCAAACAACACGACAAATTCACAATTCCAGCTATCACCGCGCAGGAATAAATTGTTGCGAGTGTGACCTGTATCCTTTTTCATCCAGGAATCCACTTGTTTTGCCGAACGCCACTGCATTGTTTCAGGCTGGGGATTGATCCGAGGGCTCGCCACGCCACTGCGGAGGATGCGGAAAGGACGCAAGAAGACGGTGACGGCAACAAATTACCCGCCCTGGTCGTCAGCTCACTGAATGTCCTTCCGCGCGAGCGAAACCGGCTACAAGGCATGAAAAGCCTACTGCCAGTCAATACCCAGGGACGACCCTGACCAGAAGGCCAAGGCCGTCCGTGGAGGAGGCCAACAAAGAGAAAACCAGGAGCTAACAAATCTTCTTCCTCTCCACGAAATATTTACACACCTCCGCCACACACACACACACACACTCACACACACACACACACACACACACACACACACACACACACAGAGGCAGAGCTGCACCACCATGAACATTGTGACAGCATGGTGGAGGAACACTCACACAGTCCGAATGTCATGATGCTGAAGAGGTAGATGACAACAAAACGGGAGATGATAGTCGTCATGATCTAAACAAGGACGAACAAGGACAAGATGGCATAAACATCCCATCTTCGAAGCAAAATAAATCCCAAAGCTATGCAAAAGCAATATATTATTTCTTTTGCATAGCTTTGGGAATACATATCATGTAGTCACACACAACAGAGGCGAAAGGCTGTGAAGCTGTAACTTAAAGTTTCACGTATTTCAGCGATCATCAGACAGCGGCATTTAGGGGTAAATAAATGCTGCTGTCTGATGATCGCTGAAATGCGTGAAACTTAAAGTTACCGCTGCACAGCCTTTCGCCTCTGTTGTGTGTGTGTGTAACTGTGTATACTGCTCTGTACATTGGTGCATTGAGCACTGTACCTCGAGCTGCCTAGACCGGCCTTGTTTGTATCATGTATTCCCAAAGCTATGCAGAAGACGATACGAATACAGTGTAGTAGCCTCTGTTGCCAACCTTCTTTGACAGTTCGTATGTACACGTGTGCGCACACACACACACACACACACACACACACACACACACACACACACACACACACACACATGCATTCTATACATGCTTGTAGCTCAGAACCCATCACACATTCTTCACATCGGGCTGGTGTCATGAGATACAGAACATGCAACTGGAGATGCAAGCACTGAGGACACCGCTAGCACAGTCTGACTACCTCGTAGATGGAGAGCAGGTATGGGCCACTGAACTTGAAGTCGCGTGCAAACACCGTTGTGTAGACGTATGCACAGAGCGTCAGTAGAGCTACGACAACATCCTGATACTCTACATCACCCAGCCGCATACCAAACGCGACGATTGCCAGGATTATCGTGCACAACCTAAGAAAGAGAACAACAAAACAGACAAAACTGGGTTTTTTTCAAACTGATGTGCATGTCTCCAGAGCTCCTATCCAATGGAATGGTTTCAGGGAGAAAGAAAGAAAGAAAGATATGACTTCACTATTGCAAACTTACTTCACACCAGTGAAGGCGAACGATCTTCCAATGGAGCCGTTCCTGAAACGCTTGTAACTGTACAGCATCTTGTCCTTGTTTGTCGGCACACAGTCCAGTTGGGAGGACGTTTCATTGGAATTCGTTTTCTTCTTGTGCGGACAAAGCTGGGCGACACGGTAAAAGTCAGCAATCTGAAAAATGCAACATAGTGAATAATGCAAAATAACACAGCTATTGAGTGCAAAGACGGGATAAAAAACTCTGAGTCGCGGCCCTTTCTCCTTGTTGTGTGGATACATGTGTCATCTCAAGGGTTAGTCCGCTCAAAGAGAGGATGCACACTGGTGAAGTCTGCATACTTGTAAGCGGGTCGGGGAGGAGGACGGCTAATTTTAGCGATGGTGAAGCTATTTTGGCAAAAGGAGTGATTTCGTTTAACTTCGTCACACTAATCGAAAGCTCGCATTCTGAATAGAATGAATAAGCATGTACTCTTTTCTGAAACTCCTCGCAGATCTGTGCTGGTTATAAATCGCTTGTACAGTAAACGTTTTTACACCGTCAAAATGAGCCGTTTTACAGTCATGCGGTGAATAGCAACTGCACGTATCACTGGGTGAGGATTGAAGCGTCTCATAACTTTGGTGATTTTGGCAAGAAGATACATGTACTGTAAAAGCCATATATGTAACGAAGTGCTAACTCTAACGAGTTAACGAGGAGAAATCTGTCGTTAAAATAGAAATCGTTATACAGAAATCGATACGTATACTGTCCTATTGAGCGTTGAGGATGGGTGAGAATCGTTACCTTTGGTACACGTAAACTAGTCAATTTTGGGAAATCGTTATATATGCGCCTCGTTAGAATAATGGCTTTTACAGTACACGGCTAACAGTGTGACAACGGGTGACAATCACTGAACACGTATGTCGATGCTGATGAAGTTCCATGCGTTTTTGCAGCCTACCTCCGTTGCAGTGTGGACGATAGTTATCAGAATCACAACCAGCTCTGCAAACAAACGCCACCAGTCTGCCGATGACTTGTAGGAATCCTGCACAGTGTACCACAAACAACACAATTAGAATGGTTGGAGTGTCTGTGACAATGATTCAACTTTCTCCCCCAGAAGCTGAATGTCAACATCTTCCTTCCACACTCAGACCAAGACTTATGTGTGATCATGTCAGCGCAGGACATACCGTAAACGGTCGTATGATACACGGCGTACAGAGCCGCACTATCTCTCCGCTGGCTGTCGTTTCGTTGCGTACAAACACTTCACTGGCTTCGTCAATCACGTCCGGGCACACTGAGTACGTAAGTGGTCGATAGTAGGCTGCGAACGTCAACGCTATCAAGTACACCGTGTTGAGTAGAAAGAAATAGGTGAAGCCGACCGTTCCATATGTATGCCACTTGAGCTCGATGAGCTGAACGATTGGCGTCACTTGAAACACCTCTGTCGCCTGAACACACACGCATGCGCACACGCACACACACACACACACGCACACACACACACACACACGCACACACACACACACACACACAAAGCCCGAAACTAAAATGTATCAAGTGACAGCCAAAGGTTACATCATCACCGGCCCCAGAATGGTACCCGTCTCTTTCAAAACTCACATCATAATTATAGTTCTATGGTGTAGTGCTTACATAGTCATTCTACATACTTTTAGCAAGCAATGGAGTAGTAATAATAGCACTCCCTGACAGAAACCCACTCCACTTTTGTGAGTCATCAGCATGACCATGACACTAGGCAGGTGCCTGGACTGCGGGCATGCTGGCCTTCGTTCCACATACAGTCCACTTTGCGTATAACGACACTCGGCCGGGCATCAGAAAAGTGTCCTTAATCGCGAAGTGTCGTTATACCCGAAGTCTCATTATAATTATGTATACAGGTAGAATGGACTTTGCTCTGGGCATGGAAATTCTGTCATTATTCGCGAATTGTCGTTATATCCGCAGTCGTTATTAGCGAAGGTGACTGTAGTACGAAACAAAACCTGGAACATGTGTTCGTATCGGACACTAAAAGCACCCAGTCTTGCCAGTCGACATCATAACATAGAACAAGCACTCAGTCTTGCCAGTCGACATCATAGCAAGCACTCGGTCTTGCCAGTCGACGTCACACTTACTTTCTCCTCTGGGCTTGACAGGACCACGTCGAGGACATTCACAGAGCGATAGCCGTCTTCCCTCTCGTTTTGCGAGTCCAGGTCCTCCAGTCGATACGCTGCCAGCTTCATTGTGTCGTAGTCGACCAGTTCAGTGCGTACAGAGGGAGATGTGACAATGGCCTTGAAAATCTAGCCAACAACAAAGGCAAGAGGATAGGTAAGATGATAGGCAAGAGGATCAACGTGCAGTTAGGGTACATTAAAAGGTCAACGTTAGCTTCATGTCCATTTCAGGAATGTCGGGATACAGACAAGATAGCCATGTCCATGTGGTGTCTAATGCGTAATGTTGGGCTGCAAGTACTTTCTCTGCCAGCTTTCAGAGAAAGTACTTGCAACCCAACATTACACAGAAGTGCCAACCTACGGTACTGATCAAAGCTCGGCACTGCTCGGTATGGTCGAATAGTCACAAGCCGGCATCTTACTGAGCTAGAACAGGTAAAACGGCATCCGGAGCATCACCTGTTCACTTGTTCAGCCCCCACAGGCAACATGATAGGCTTGGTGATTCTGTTGTTTCAACCACTCACACTCAGCCACACTCACTGCTTGTGGCAGTGCCAGTGCCAGTGCATGCAGCTCCTCATCTCCCGGTGTAGTCTCAGTTCAACATAACAAACTGGCAGAATGAACAGATAGCTTTGAAAATAACATTTGAACATCCCTTCTGCGTGTTATAATCACATCTAACGGGATTACGCCCACTGGGATTAGGAGAAAAGCATTAGGGTTTGTATGGAAGAACTCAGATGGTGAGCCTAGGAAAAATTGAAACACGGAAAAATGTGGGCACAAGTTATGCGGTCGAGTCCACCAACCAAGTTGCGTGCCAGGCTGTGCACGTCTGACTGTGCAAAATCTGGTTTAGTTGGTGGACTCGACTGCATAACTTGTGCCCACTATTTTTCTTTATATGGAAGAGAAATGATTGATAGAAAATGCAGTATAGCTTACTGCCACGTTTCCATTGTATGCTGCGACATGTATAGGCTTGTAACCGTTGTCATTGCGCTTCTCTAGCAACTTTGGATTGTCCGGGAACAGCTCTTCCTCTTTCGTCATTAGAAACTGGAACATTTCCGTAAGGTATGCCTCGTCGATTGGAATGTCGTGCTTGTGGCGTTTCATTTGCGTGGCAAGCCGATGCATCACATTGTTACCCTGGAGATTTGGATATAAAGCAATCAGAGCCGCAAAGAATTTAGTCGCAGCATCTAAGGAGAAAATATGGGTGAGCGGTACATGAAACGATGTGTGTTTGCTCCCAGCCTGCCCCCCCCCCCCCCCCCCCCACCTCTAGTTGCTCTTGTGGTAGGCCAAAATGATGGGCACTTGGATATGATATCGCTGGTCGAGGCCATGGAGTCAGTTGGTCAAGACTACCATCACGATAGATCATTGCTTAGACTGTGGATCTTGTAGAGCTTCCAAATCCGGGGCCGAAACACCCATCACTCTAAGCACAATGGTCTTGTGCCGTCTCCCTTATTAATGCTAGAACTCTCAGGTGGATCGGAAATTGCAGTCTGCATTAATCCTCCAAACAATTACAAGTGAATGGTTTGAAAAACGTGTCATGCGCAGCACATGACGAAAAGCCCAGGGGCGGCTCATTCTACAGAGTAGCATTTCCATCAACGTCCAAATCTCGCCTCTCTGTATGCTTTGAAGTGCTTTCACCTGGACTTACTCCCAGGAAAGGATACTAGTATACATAAAACTGCAATGTGTTTGGCAGACCAAACATCACTAACCGACTCGTCAGAAAGATGCAGCAAATGCTTGTCTTTCTTCAACATGTAGTTGACAACGCGTCGATTCAGCATGCACACAGCCATAGCAAACGGCGACAGGCCAGCATTCAGGATGTTTCTCTTGATCTGCAGAAAAGAGCAAGTAGAATTGCACGCACATACTTTCCAGGACAGTAGTGCGCAGAGGCACACTCCACATGATACCAATGCTAGAGTACTGCTCCCCCCCCCCCTCCCCCCCCCCTCCCTCTCCCCTGTATGGTCCGTGTTACGGGCAATTCCTAGTTACGGGCCGCAGTGCTCTGTCCCAACCTGCCCGGATCAGAGGAGCTTTACTGTACTATGCTTAGGCTTTGAGGCATTCAAATACTCTCAGCACACACTGTGACACAGGGCCATAGTACCCTGGTCTGGCCGGTCCCTATTTCGAAAATGTTGACCTACCCAGTTGGTGGAAAACGGGTTTTTCGCAATAATGTTCATTTCTGGCCGCTATCCCATTACGGTCGTACCACCTGAAATCCCGGCTCTAGGACCCTGCCACATGGCACATCCTTCTGCTATAATAGACACTTCCATACAGTGTATGTCAACCACTTACAGTCGCAAAGCGTTCGCGGGTGTAGAGGACTCCCGTCGCCGACTGACTCAGCAACTTTCCTTCTTCCACCCAGTCACCACCCTTCTGGTCAGCTGGCAAAGCAGCCAGCGCATTCAGAAGGAGTCTTAGCAAAGTGTTCTCATCGATATCCTTATCAATGTCACACTCTGCATCATCGGAATGGGTCTGCGTAGCATGCATGGCAGCAAAGTGAACAACAGTTTCACCTGCAGTAATAAAGGAAGGCATTATTACAGGCATCTCAGAGAAAGAAGGGACAATGCATCAATAAACGTGATGAAAGATGCTGACTTACTGAAATGGAGGGTACCTACATGCCGCAACGAGAATTGAATAGTCCTAAATAATCCCACCATTCTCGTCATGCATCTCCTTGCAGTACCCTCTTTTGTTTCTCTCCTTATTATTTAGTTCTCCGTGGTTGGCTACCACCCGACTTCTCATAAATATTGGCAGTCTAATTACGACGAGCCAGGAGATGTTGAATAAATAGATAAATACTTGCACCTAGCTTGTCGCTGTGTACATCCTGTTGATGCATGGCCTGTTGGAATCACTTATCACGCTCATACAATACTTCCGCTATACAGATTGTACGAGGAAGCAGTCCATAAACAGCAGGCCCTGGGTATAGCGTGACCAAACCAGGCTTCACCATAGCTCAGTGGTTAGAGCATCGCTGGCCTTAAGCGAGGGTCTCTGGTTCCAGTCCTGGTGGTGACAGTCAGTTTTTCTTCTGACTATTCCCTTGTCCATTCCCTCAAATAATGAATATTGGATACCAGGGTATGTGAATCATTAATTTACAAGACCCTGCATTTCATTATGGCAGTCATTGCAAGTTGCAGGGAGAGTATTTTGGTTTAGCAGTGTTGGCACCAATCGTTGAGCTCACCTTCATACAATGCACAATCCGCCTCAAATGGTTTCAGCTGCTCCTTTAAAAACGTTCCTTTCTTGTCTGCCGGTATGAGGTCCAGGATCGTCTTTGCCAATTTCTGCTTATTCCTCACGAACGCAAACTGAAAGAGAGTGAGAGTTCTGCAGCTGTAGTCCACAGTGGCGGAGTGGTCATCCATTGTCCAGGTGCTGTCGGGTGCTGTGTCCTTGCCGTCCAGCAATGCCCGCATTGTCTTCTCGGCCTTGCTGCTGCAGACATACACATACAGAAGAGGGGGAGGGGGAGAGGTTAATTATGCTGTAAGTTTTTTTCAAGTATTTCATTCCAGTTTATTCCTTCTCCCGAGTGGGTCTATTCACTCTATCTTTATTAGGTGGATATCTGATATAGTCACCACTATAAATACAATCAATCATATCCAAATCCAATCCAATCAGGGCCAATGGGGACGGTACAGTGAGGAGGTGTGAAAGGTGAAGGGTGCACCATACATTGTATTTCAGTGGGGTTACCCCTGTACCCCCATGTACCCCGGTACCCCCCCCCCCCCTCCTCATGTACCCAATGTACCCCTTTACCCCAGTACCCCCTCATGTACCCCTGTACCCCTGTACCCCCCCCCCCCCCCCCCCCAATGCACTCACATATCTATACAGAGGACAAGGCATGTACATGTGTACACTGTCCTAGTAGTAGGAAACGGGCCTTACCACTTACCACGCTGCATCCGTGCTATCCACCGAACCCTTGCAACACTTGCTGTAGTTGATCTCGACCCCAGACACATCAAAATCACCGGAATAGAGGATATCGAGGAGAAGTCCACAGCCAGTCACACCAGCTGTGTGGTCTAGTATCGCTTCGTCGTAATCGACACTTTGGCTGCTTTCAGTGCCATCAACATCCGCCTGATTCTGGCCTGGGCCGCTGGTGTTTTGAGTTGGTTGCCGGAAGGTAATGCGACGCATGGAATTGTTCTGCGGTGCACCCCGGTGAATGTAACCGAGCTCTTGGTCATGGCTGCCGTTGACACTGCCGCCACCGTTATCACCTCTATCACCGCTTCTGTTGATGGAAGTCATTGTGGAGCAAGTGGGCTGCAGCCCAGAGTTTGCAAAAGGTTCTCTGCTAACAGTACAATGTACTCACAGTTGCGATACACTCTGCTAGTCTGCACGGCTGATGTTCTGTGCTAGTCTGCACGGCTGATGTTCTGTGCAGCACAAAGGGTTTGAGAACAAACATGACAAGTATCACAAACAGCTTCAATCTGAACTGAGATTTTGGTCGTCTTTTATATATGTAACAACAGTACTTCAAGTATTTGTAAGCGTCCAACTGTCACGGTGCTGTTCCAGCTGTTGAAGTACAGCTCACACGCACAACGATCGAGGACCAATCATGGGAAATCATGGGGAAATCAATTGGATCATGCTTCATGCAACCTGCAGCTCCACTACACGTATTAGGGTATGTTCCACGTGAAGTCTCGATCTCTCGGCCATGCCATGCCCCAGATTCCCCATACTCCATGAGCATGCCATGCCCCACACTCCATGAACATACCATGCCCCACAGAGGCAATACAACGGTACACAGCTCCCCCCCCCCCCCTCCCATGGTGTGATAGGTCAGGCATAAACAATTCACTTCGGTTCATTCCCTTTCCTGTGTCACCCAGATGCACCCCACCACACTGACTCAGTGTGTGAGTCTGGTGGATGAACAGATGTGCTACATAATTTACATGGTCCATCTGCACTGCAGCCATCATTGCACAACAATGACCTGCCTGGGATCTATTTGCACAAACCCTGGTCCTAGCCAGCGGCATCAGAACTGAAGAATTTGAATTGCAGAGCACAAATTGAAGTTGCTCACGTCAAAGTGCGAAGGAACCCTGATGGCCAAGAACAGATTTTAAGAAAATGTGCACCCGGAAGTCCACATACATACTGACTGATTTACAATGTTCACCGTACAAACACCCATCCGGCATAACACAGCTGTTAGCCTGTTAGTGTTGTGCAAAACCAGTACAAACCCTGCATAAACCCTGTATCTCTTGTGGTGGGCACATGACATTGTAACAACATCTGAACCACGTAAAAACGAGCCACTTCACTGAATCCAATCAATGTGTGTGTGTGTGTGTGTGTGTGTGTGTGTGTGTGTGTGTGTGTGTGTGTGTGTGTGTGTGTGTGTGTGTGTGTGTGTGTGTGTGTGTGTGTGTGTGTGTGTGTGTGTGTGTGTGTGTGTGTGTGTGTGTGTGTGTGTGTGTGTGTGTGTGTGTGTGTGTGTGTGTGTGTGTGTGTGTGTGTGTGTGTGTGTGTGTGTGTGTGTGTGTGTGTGTGTGTGTGTGTGTGTGTGTGTGTGTGTGTGTGTGTGTGTGTGTGTGTGTGTGTGTGTGTGTGTGTGTGTGTGTGTGTGTGTGTGTGTGTGTGTGTGTGTGTGTGTGTGTGTGTGTGTGTGTGTGTGTGTGTGTGTGTGTGTGTGTGTGTGTGTGTGTGTGTGTGTGTGTGTGTGTGTGTGTGTGTGTGTGTGTGTGTGTGTGTGTGTGTGTGACTCTACAGGAGTCGGTTAGGAATATTGTAGCTCTCATCGTTTGATTAGTTTTTGTTAGTTTTCAGTTCTCAGGGACGACTCTGGGCTTCCAGGGTCGTCCCTGGGACAGTTCCCAGTAGAAGTCCACAGCGGAAAGTCAACAGAGCAGATTCCAGGACGAACTTCGGGTGTCGTCACTCTGACTCTGTTTTCCGCTGTTGGACCCATCGCGAGGCCTTGCAAGCCCGCGAATGGAGCCATCTACCGCACGCAGTAGGAGACGAAAGGAGTTTACCCTGAGCGTTGGGACGTGGAATGTCCGCTCGTTGCTGGAAAGTGAAGGACCCGTCCAAACAGCATCCACTCGACATCAAGTGGCTGACGACAAGAAAATTTATCGGATAATTCAAATTTTCAAACGTCTTGGATTGGAAATAGTTTGTCTTCAAGAGACCTACTGGCTGGATAAGAACGTCTATAACATCGACGGAGCAGTGCTAATTTCGTCTGGAAGACCTTCACCTGGCGAGGGAGAGTCGTGTCGAAGGGGTGAAGGTGTTGCGATTCTGTTGCTGGGAAATGCAGCTCGCGCGTGGCGTGACGGCGGTTGTCAATACGACGCCCGCAGCTCTCGGATTGTGTCAGCGCGATTGAAGTTTGATATTCATGGGTGTTCACCGGTATGGTATACTGTCATCTCCGCATATGCTCCGACGTTCGCCAGCAAGCGAATTGCCAAGGAACAGTTCTTTGCGGACTTGCAAGCGACTTTGCCACGGATGGGCACAGAAAAGTTTATTCTGTTGGGTGACTTCAACGCCAGAGTTGGATCCCGTACGCATGCTGACGCTGATGAGTGGTCACGTGTACGGGGCCCACATGGAGTGGGTGAGATGAACTCTGCAGGACGTGAGCTGTTGGATTTTCTTGCAACTATTCAGGCGATGGTGTGTAACACATGGTTCTGCAAGACAGAGGATAGGAAGTGGACCTGGCAACATCCAAGGTCAAAGAGATTTCATTGTATTGATTTTGTCATCACGTCACAAGCTGACTACCACCAATGTATTGATGCTCAAGTTATAAGAAGTGCGGAATGTGGGAGCGATCACAACCTGGTGGCTGCGCGTTTTGTAGTAGGCCGTCTGCAGCGCCGCTCGCATTGTGTGCAAACGAAGAAATGTAAGCGGTTTGATGTTGCACGTTTGAAGGATGTCCACAGCACTGACTCATCTGGAAACATCACACGAGTTGCTGATGTCTATCGTGAATGCCTCACAAACAGTCTGCAACAGCCGAATGAACATACCACCGTTGAATGCAAATGGTCGAGGTTGCGCACCGCGGTCACCGAGTCTGCAGAGGAGACCCTCGGTTTTCAGAAACGTCGTCAACCAGATTGGTTTACTGAGAGCAAAGATACCCTCGAACCCTTGTTGAATGAAAGGAATCAGCGATATCAAGAATGGATTTCAAGTGGCAGGTCTGATGACACGTGGAACAGGTTCAAGGCTGCCAGGAGTAAGGCAAGAGCTGCTGTCCGCTCTGCCAAGAACTCCTGGTTCACCAACAAAGCCAAATCTCTTGATGGTGCACGGTTCAGTTCCTCACGGGTGTGGGCATGTGTTTTAAAAGGATATGCAGGCTGCCAAGCAGGGATTACGCCCTGTGTCTACTACCGCTATTAGGGATGCAAATGGCAACATCTGCAAATCTGTGGAGGAACAAGGTGGACGATGGTACCAACATTTCGATGGCGTACTCAACATCCCTAGCACATTTGATCCATGTGCCATTGACGAAATAGACCAGCAGCCTATCAACCAGAACATCGCTGGCAAGCCGGATGCAGCAGAGGTGGCGCGAGCTATTCGACAACTCAGCAACGGCAAGGCCGCTGGCGCCTCAGCTATCCTGCCTGAGTTGGTCAAAGCGGGTGGTGAGAGTTTCATGGAGGCACTGTTGGATCTGTTGCACCATGTCTGGGATGACGAGGCTGTTCCGCAGGAATGGGTAGACTGCAATCTTGTGCCAATCCCAAAGAAAGGTAACCTCTCATTGTGTGATAATTGGCGTGGCATATCACTCCTGGATGTTGTTGGGAAAGTTGCTGCTCGAGTACTTCAGTCCAGATTACAGATTATTGCGGAGAATATTCTACCCGACTCCCAGTGCGGCTTTCGTAAGGGTCGATCTTGCACAGACATGGTGTTTGCAGTTCGCCAAGTCCTGGAGAAGTTGTACGAACATCGCTGCCCGGGATACGTTGTCTTTGTTGATTTACGTAAGGCGTACGACTCAGTAAACCGTGAATGCATGTGGCTGGTTCTCGCGAAGGCAGGGGTCCCTAGTAACATCGTAAACATCATCAAGTCGTTTCACACCTCCATGTCGGCTACTCTCTCCATCGGGTCAACACCCATCCAACCCATTGCAGTGAAGAGTGGTTTGCGGCAGGGCTGTTGTATGGCACCAGTCTTATTCAACATATTCATGTGGGCTGTTTTCCGCTGCAAAGTGATGTGCAACGGATCACGACCTTCTACTACCGGTCGCTTCTTCTCCATCATGAGTGTTGCACAGCGGGATGTGTGGGACTTGAAGATAGCCAAGGACACCATTCTGAAAACATGGAATGCAGCAAACCCACTGGATATCCCCGACCGCCTTATGCAGAGAAGACTGGAATGGCTTGGGCACGTGGTACGCATGCCTGAGGAGCGGATGCCGCGGATGTTGTTGTTTGGCACATTGCTGCCACCACGCCCAGCGTGTGGCCCGCGGAAACGATGGCGAGACGCAATTAGGGTCGACCTGCGACGAATAAACATCGCCGACGAGTCATGGTTTGACACAGCGCAGGAACGATCTGAGTGGCGGCAAGCTTATCGAGCAATACAACCAGCTCAGAAACCGGCTCGGGAGATAGTCTGCGAGGTGTGCCGGCGTGCATTTGCTCGGCAGCAAGATATCGCCCGCCACAAGTGCATCATGGAACGGCGTAAACCAGTCCAGCAGCAAGCCAACAGCCGCCAGTGCTCCCAGTGTCACCGATGGTTTCGGAGTGCGGGTGGCATTGCAGTCCATCGCTGTGTCCAGTCTAATTCTGCCCCGAATGTTGCCAATGCCACAAGCTCTTCACCTGTACGCCTATGTATTCGGAAACCGTGCTGTACCGCTCACTGTCCCATTTGTGAACGCTGCTGTAAGTCGATCCGGGGCTTTGCTATCCACAACTGCAACCGATCCACCAGGCGCCCAACTGCTGATGAAAGGGACAAGTTCCAATTGCAATGTCAGAATTGCCAGAGGCGTTTCAAAAGGCGAAACGACTTATCCCGTCACCAACGCTCATGTCTCCTCTCGTCTCCGTCTCGCTCAACGAGAAACACGTGACCTACATGGCAGTGTATACCAGGACCAGGACCAGGACCAGGACCAGGTGTGTGTGTGTGTGTGTGTGTGTGTGTGTGTGTGTGTGTGTGTGTGTGTGTGTGTGTCACGGTTAGTATGTGTGTGTGTGTTAGTGTGTGTGCACGTGTGTGTGTGTGTGCACGTGTGTGTGTGTGTGTGTGTATGTGTGTGTGTGTATGTCGATAGTCATTACCACGTAGCTCACACAAGCCCTAACGCAACCGAGATCATCTTTCTTTCACCTGCAGGCTGCAGGAGATCAAATATCACATCTAGGAAGCTACTGCCAGCCAGTTGTTTGGTCTTCGACTAGAAACAGCCCTCCTTTTAAATAATAATTATGCCTTTCACTAAAGTCATGTAGTTTTATTCAGTTACCACACAGGCTAGCGACAAGTACCCATATATGTAGCATCAACTGTGGTGTAGAACAACCGACACGTGTAACCATGTCCCCAGGAGTCGAGAAACCAAGAGTACATGAAAACCAGAGTGTGCAGCTTGGGGCCTTCTCTGCTATGGGTGTCTGTCACGGCGAAATTCCGTGGTTACATCATTTTGGTGCAGATCTGAGGCGGGAAATGGCGTAGTGCGTACAACTGAGCTGCAGTTGTGCAGAAAGAGACCTGCTTGAATCCTGCTTGTACGCACTACATCACTAAAATGATGTAATCACGGAATTTCGCCGTGACAGCAACCCATCCGAGCTGCACACTCTGGTTTTCATGTACTCTTGGAGAAACTAATTACTTGGCCACGTTTAGCTTAGGGGTCTTGTCACCATGGTGACTAATAATGTTTTGCTGTACCCTGTGAACCTTGAACCTTGAACCCAAAGTAATTAGTTGAAACTACTAGTACTTTTTTTTTTTTTTTTTTTTTTTTTACGAGAAACCACGAACCTCGAGAACAGAATACTGCATGGTAGAGGTGGTTGCAGACGCAACTGTGGTGGTGAAAACTGGAGCATCTCCGCCGACCTGAGGTCTCGGCTTCAGCGACACTTCAGAGCACCAAAAACTGGGGAGGAGTAGGTACAGGGGGAGGGGAGGGGGGGTACATTTATATAGAGGGAGGAAAAACGGAAAGATGATACATGTGATAGAGGAAGAAAAAAAAAAAAATAAAAATAAAAAAAAAATAAATAAAAAATAAATAAATAAATAAATAAATAAAAAAAAGGGGGGAGCCAGGGTGCAAGCAGAGAGGGTGTTCAGGGAGTGTTCAGAGGGCATCTGTGGCTGAACGCCAGTCTCGGCTGCGGAGCGACTTGTAGGCGCCTTCCTTGAATACTACAGTACATGTAATGAAGTACCGTACTATACTCAAGGACCGAGGAGATTGTGATAACGGATGACTGTACTGTGTCAGGTATACTGTACTCTACTCTACTGCTTTCACAGACTCAGTCAGTGCGACCTCTGACTCTCTAGACTCTAGTAGTAGACTACTGGTCAGTTTGTCAAGAACACGGCCACTGACGACCACTTAGGGTAGCAGGTGTGCCAGGGGCGAGCTTCTAGATCTACACGGTGCTGACATCGGGTGCCTTTCCCTGACAATCCGGTGGCCAGTTATTTGTCAACGGCATGCGCATAAACACTTCTACTAGTTCTAGATGTTGAAAGAAGGACCATTACCGGTCAGTACATACATGGGACACTTGGACACGTTTTCGTAAACTAATAATTATAATTGTGACAGTTCAGTTTCCAAACACCAGACTCTCGTGAGGTTGCTTACCCTGCGGTAGTAGTGACGACGCGATTGGTCTTCTCGAAGCTACGTATTGTACGAGGAGCGTTACTGTTATTACCACGCGAAAGAAGCGCAAACTGCTTGCGTCCTTCCACAACCACTATGTCCTACATGTGACTCTCAACCGCTGATGCCATGCACGCGGCCAGCAACGCCAAAGACCGAAAAAGTTAGTTGCGAGGAATCGAAGCACTGAATAATGAAAGTCTGAAATACAAAACGACGTTACGTCTCAAACACTCGCCGCACGCTTGCCTCGCCAACAGCGATCAGGTGACATTGTCACCTGATCGCATCATGTCAATATGTCGGCGGTGATGGACCATTTAGTATGATTGTACAGTTTCGCAACTCAAGATACACTTTTTGTCTTCGCTAATCTATAGCACAAAGTGTCTGTAGTCTTCGCTAATCTATAGCACAAAGACTTCAAGTGTCTGTAGTCTTCGCTAATCTATAGCACAAAGTGTCTGTACTGTAGTCCTCGCTAGCACAAAGTCCTCGCTAATCTATCACATACGTGTAGTAGTAGAGCCTGCCGTTTGATCAGAAAATGTGGTGAGATATACTACAATGTATAAGACGCCTTGTACTTTGTTGTAGGTGAAACCGAGAACGAACAGGGGTTCTCTGGGGGATGCATTCATTAATTGTGCATGTTTAATACCGACCAAAATAATTAGTGCAGCCTTCTTTCGATGCTGTGGGTGCCGTGTGGCTTTTTCACGTCTGTGGTCAGTGTGGACTACATGCATGCCTATGGTCCATGGACAGCAGCACCCATTGGCCAAACTGACAAATAATAATTATAATACCGCAGCTGTCACGTGTGACTCTCTGTAGTTTCCGCTCATCTATTATCATGATTATAATCCCACTCTGCAACTGCACTGGCTGCACAAGTGTGTAGATCTACCACTTGGCGTGACTTGTATCTAGCTCTAGTTCACTGACTCCGTGACTGTGTATCACACTCTTGTCATGAGCCATGGACAGACAGTCTGTCAGTGTCAGTATTATGTATGTGCCAGCACACCGAACTCCGTACAGCAGCAGGCCCGGTGCAGACGTCGTTTAGTTTTATCTGCGACGCTGACGTGACGGGACACCGGAAATGCATGCTAGCACTTCTAAGGTTCTAGCCCCGAAGGCATCCTGCTACGTGGATTTGTGCCCAGGGCATGTGCCCCGGCTAGGTGTTGGCGGATAATGCTCGGAAATATGGGATATAATGCTCTCAGTAATGCTCCACAAAAGGCCATATAATGCTCCAAATAATGCTGATAATGCTCCGCCGGATGGAATATAAACACCTGATCCTTGCGGTATTGGGCTAAGAAAAACGCTATAATATTGCACCCATGCTATGATAACCACATAATACAATATCAGGTAAACATGTACGCTATATAGGCACAAACACATACAGTCATATCGAGGCGGCACAAAGAGGAGATAACAACAAGTCATCAATGCAATTTATGCACGGATAGAATGTACATGTACATGTATGTTACCTGGCCTGCAAGCCAGTAGAACTGTAGCGAGTGGGATTCCTGCTTGCAACATAGAACGCACAATCTGGATCCGCCGCAGAGACGCGGCTGAACTAACGGCCTCAGTAAGACCGGTGTCAGCTAGAGCCTTCCCAATTCGTTTCTGATACGCCAAGAAGGACTCCTTGACCAGTTTCTGCCTCTGAGTTTCCCTCTCCAAACGGGACTTTCCTTGTTTGTGTCTCGCGGTAGCCATATGGCACATGATTATACTCTTCTTCCCTGACAATGTTGTATGGCATGCCAGGCACACTAACTAACTTGCCACAGTCGCTTTTGAGCGGCTCATCTGGGAACTCCCGCACCCGTGTTTCGGCACTGATGGCCACTTCAGTGCTCTGTCCATGAGCTACTCGCGTCCTTTTGGAAACATTTCCAGACTTGGTAATCAGGATCATATATAATTATGGTAATAGCTGTTTTCTAAAAAGACCGCTTCCTCGCTATCGCGGCAGGATCTACAGTTTCCAACTCGACGACGTCACTATCATCAGAGGACCCCGCCAGCTTCCTCCCAATCCCAAGAATGGCATCGCGGCGAGTCAGCCATCAGCATTGGCTGCTAGTTAGCTGGTCTTAAGATCTTACACAATGGTCAATGTCCGGTGAAAGCCCAGGGTTACTCTTCGACAAAGACATGCACTCTTGCTTCGATGAAGAATGTTTTTTGTAACATTGTGGACGGTATCCGGGTAAGGTCTGGAATGTGTGCGTGTGCGCACCTCCACCGTTCCATGCTGGCTCACATAATCATTTGTTTCGTTGGTTCGGCGTTGTTACCTGGATCTTCAAAAAGTTAGTTCCTGGCGCATGGCCGAAGATAGACTTCCGGGACCGGAAGTTTCTGCGCGAGTTTCCACACTAGCAGTAGCACTGTGCTCATGGTGCTGGACCACAGCTAGCTAGCACTACTAGTACTGGCATGGCACTGCATGCAGTTTACTGGGCCTGGCACTGTGTGCCACGATCTGTTTGGTACCATGCATGATGTGTACGGTGGTCTATCGCTTGTAGCAGGGAGTAGTAAAATACATACAGTATAATACTGTATTTTACTACTCCCTGGCTTGTAGTAATACATCGCCTATACATGTACAGTAGTAATAATTGCCAATCAAAGTCCAACGCTAGCGCGCTATAGCCGATACGAATCTGTACATGACGAATTGAGGATGTGTGTAGATCTACTGATAGTATACTAGTACCATGCATGCAGTCATGTAGAACGTCGTATAATGCCATTTTTGGCCGCGTAATGCTTTATAATGCTCGTAATGCTCCGGGTGGTGTATAATGCTCGATATAATGCCGGCATTATCCGCCAACACCTAGCCCCGGCCCCTGCCTAGGAGCCTAGGGGAAGCTTTCTTTCCGTACCGTGGCAAGAAGTGTAGATCTACTGCTACGACGTGAACACAAAATACCTGGCAGTGAGGCTTCCAAACCAATCCATACATCCATGGGGGCCGCTGTCGCTCTGAGTGTGTAGGCTGCTGCGTCACCTGCGTGGGACGGTTTACTCTTGTGTCAGTTGTGATACCCAATGGGCAATGATGTGTACTGCAATATCATGCATGATGTATGGTGAGGCTGGACTCCTGGCTCCTGTCCTGAGCAATCTTGTGTCTTTTTGTTGAGGATATCGTGACCTGTCGCGAGTGCGTCACTGACGGATAGCGTTACCACTCGTTACAGCGTTAGGGTAAACAAACACATTATTGAGATAATTGTATTCAATACAATCATTACAATCATTGCCCATGTGCCTTATGTGCGTAACCGGCGCTTGCGAGCCGCCATCGATGCACCCTGAGTCGAGCGAGTTGATCTTCATGAGCTTGAAGGCAGGGAAGGAAAAGGAAGAAGTGGGCTTGCTCCTGGATGGTAGCTGATGGAGATCAGCTGAGACAGTGAGAGTCGACAGGAGGAACAGATATCACTATCAGTGCTGGGAGGCGCAACATGAATCAGGAAAAAGGCGGAAGTCTGTTGTGTTCGTACTTGCAAGAGAATATAACTACATTTACTCATTCCGATTCGTTTGAGGGAATGTTGCGAACGGGAAAGGTCTGGAGAAATATTTGACTGGCACCACCAGATTTTTTACACAGTATGAATTATTACCGTTTGGAGTGTCTAGTGCGCAATGCCATTATGCCACTCTCGTGCGAAGGCTAGTAATCTGGCAACCATGGGCACCGGACACAAGTACAGACTCAGTCGTCGCTCACGTGACATGCACCTCTAGCCCTCGCAGTCTTTAGATGATCCGGATTCCGGAGGGCGACCGAAAGTTGTTGTTGTGGAGGGAGGGAGGAAGGGAGAGAGAGAGAGAGAGAGAGAGAGAGAGAGAGAGAGAGACTGAGAGAAATAGAGAGAAAAAATACAATACAATACAAATCTGCTGCCAACTTCTGTTTGCGCGGGGCCGCATTATTCGTGCTCATCGACCCCGCCATCACATACATGTACATGTATATGTACATCTCTTCTCCAGACTTATTACTAACAATGTGTGATGAACTAATTGCACTGGTGCTCACGTCCTACTGTCGCTGCAGACTGATGATATTCCGCGGTGGGCATCTTCGTTTGATGCTTTTCTCCTGGTTTCCATTCTTCCATAACGCGAACACATCTACCACTTGGAACGGATAATAACTGGAGACTAAAGCCGGGGAAACATGAGATTAAAAACACTACAGTCCATTCAGAAAAAAATGAACTTCTAGCTTTTGGCCATAAATGGGTCAAACGTTGAGTTTTTTTAGAATTTTTTTCTGCAATCCCATATGGAATCCTCTTCCAATTATGTTTCTGAAGTTTTTTTGTCCAAAAAGCAAGCCATAGCAAGAATAGGATTTCGGCCAGGTTTTGCCCCAAAAGCACTGAATTGGAAAAAACCATCAAAATCCAGGCCGTTTGACCCCGCCTGCAACAGTGCATTCTGCGGTTCGAACCCCAGTTCAGGCACCCTTTTGGACCCTTTTTCAAATTTCAAAGTTCGCAGCACTGCACTGTGTACGATGAAATCACGAAAAATCGCCAAATACGGGGCCAGGACCCATTTTTTTCTGAATGGACTGTAGTCGAATTAAAATACCTGGCCATCCTGATCGTGCTTGGCTGGCCGCTTTCCAGGAATACTTGCTGTGGAAAATCTCTGGAAATCATGGCATTCAGCCACTAGGATGTTGTGTCAGCTATCAGAGAGTTAGTGATTTTATCAACTACCCGTACCCGTATTATAGCATGATCCCATGCGTGTATGCTCATCATGACTTTGGCGAAGCGTATTTGCATACTGTACATGTAGTCGTAAATGTCACCTAACTCATGGTGATGAAGTCATGAGCACGAAGATCATTATGACTGTGATGGAAGAGAGGCGCGGGGGGGGGGGGGGGGGGAGGGGGTATCAAGCCATTCTGGTGATAACTATTACCCTGCAGTATGTACGTCAGGTGAGACTTTGGACTGCAAGAACCTATTCTCATTCTGATGTGTTCGAGATGAGCTCGGTTAGGTGCTGATGTCTTCTTGTCGGCGCTGACGAACGATAGCCTTTCAGTCACGCGCAGTTTGCATTTTTTTTACTATTTCGTTTTTTACTAAGTGCACAACCTACTCGTCGGAAGGGGAGAAGACAACAGAGTATACAATATCAAAACAGCAGGGAGAGTAGGGGCTGCAAAGCAAGCCTGTGCTGGTGAGGAAAGCATCGTTTGGTCTTCAGTGTTTCAGTACGCAGGTGCAGTACGAGTCTCCCTTATGGCATACATGTAACTTGAAGTTATGGGATGAATGCCCAGGTCATTGAGGTGTCTCTTCTCCTCTCCTCCAATCTTTCCTTCCTTCGGAGCTTCGTTCTGTCTGCTCCATTTGTCTCCCATTCGAAACTCTAAAGACATGTGGAGGCGAAAGCCAAGTAGAGAACACCTAGTGGTATACTGTAAAATATACAAAATTTCGGCGCTGCAAAATTTCGGCACTTAACGATATTTGACATTTCGGCAGCGATTTATTTTCGGCGTGGGGTAGAGGGCATGGTATAGTGTGACAGATGCTGTGAAAATTTCATCGGCGTTTTAATTTAGGCGTTTTGGGTCGGTGCCGAATATAGCCGAAATTAAATAGCTGCCGAAAATTTGTATATTTACAGTACCGAAGGATGTACCCAGAGTGCTTGACAGTGCTCAACACCACAAAGGCAGAGCGTAATACACAACAGAACAACAAGGACAATCAAGGCTTGTTTGCTGCTACTTTAAGTTTCATGCTCACGCAATCATCAGGCAACAGGTTGCCTGATGATTGCGTAAGCATGAAACTTAAAGTAGCAGCAAACAAGCCTTGATTGTCCTTGTTGTTCTGTTGTGTATATTTACAGTATGCAAGACTGAGTTGTTGGTTGATGGTGGACTGGTCAATGGTGGCTGGAGAAGCCGGTCGTACTACAGCATCTCCAAAAGCGCTGAAATCGCCATCTGGCCGAGAAGCTGGAGATTCATTGCTCGGTGCGATAACATCCACTCCGGCCTCAGCAAGATATCGGAGCCCGGGTCTTCAGAAAGTGTTGTGGCGAAAGCAAGTTTGCGCGAACATACATGTTACGTCATGTATGTTCATACATACATTACATACATTGTATGTGTACATGTACATGGCCATATTGGAGATATTTGTAACGGAAATTTGCATTATTGCTTTCGCCTCCTCACCAGTCTCCCCTTATCTGTACAGTCATGTACATGACATTGACATTGTACATGACATGTTCCAGGCTACAGTACCAGTTTTTGACCAGCAGTTGCCTAATGATCGTGAAGGAAATCGTGAAACTGTGAGTTGCAATACAACTATTAACGTTACTTACAGTTCTCTCTCTCTCTCTCTCTCCTCAGTCCTGCTTCACCTAATATTTATCCCATTGGAAATGTATTGCTTCTCTAGCTGTTGCGCCATTGCATGGTATGCTCTGGTATTGTCTGCATTCTATGGCAACACTACATGCCTAGTATAGCCTGTTGAGTGTTGTCGCCGAGTATTCCTGGAGCGCATTCTGGACATGACCGCTGACAAGTACCGGTAAGTTGACAGTTCCTGTCACCATGAGGCGTATGAATGCAGAATTCCAGCCGGATTCTGCATGCCCCGGACTACAATAATAATTATTACGAACATACTGCAGTGCATAGGCTTGATACTCACAGACATGACACGTGATACAAGCAGAGCGGAAACCGCACGGGGTAGTTACTTAGTTGAGTCTGCTATCTCGCTCGCACGCCACGTGCTAGAGAGAATGAATATTTCTCCAGCTGACGAAGAAACAGACTCGTGATGCCTGACAAGGACCAGGTGATTATGATTTCCTAGGAAATTGACCCAGCCCTCGCTAGCCCTCACTAACCCTCGCTAGCCCTCCTCGCTAGCTGCCTGAGAGGCTTACCAGCCCAGCAATGAGTAAGTCAGGTCCGTCAGAATCTAAAAGCATAACCAACCAACACCATCGAGTCCATTTCAAACCTGTTATCATCCAACAAGGTTGCAGTCGCCGAGTGCTCTTCTTGAAGAGATCCTTCACAGAACACTGTCACCAATGTGTTGTTGTGGATGTGGACATTTTCATGTAGATGCTGGAATCCTGTGGAGGTACCATATCGCAGAAATACTGCTGTTGTCCCAGAAGAAAGACCCTCCGAAGAGTGGATACGGCAATCTACTACTATACGAAAAGCCGGATATTCTGCAAACCCTGACGCAGTGGAGTGAACTGATTCCAGGAGCCTATAATATTCTCTCTCTCTCTCTCTCTCTCTCTCTCTCTCTCTCTCTCTCTCTCTCTCTCTCTCTCTCTCTCTCTCTCTCTCTCTCTCTCTCTCTCTCTCTCTCTCTCTCTCTCTCTCTCTCTCTCTCTCTCTCTCTCTCTCTCTCCACGCTGTCACTAAACGTCACCGATGTCTCGAAGGACTAGTGACTCCCAACCTTTCTTGGCGGACCCGCCGGTAGCACCCCCAGGCCATGGTCAAAATGGCTCATCTCGTGGACAAATCTTCCAGGGATCTCTTAGTAGACTGACCGACCCCTCAAAGGTATGTGGAGCATGCTTTCATTGTCTTAGTTTTAGTCTCTGCGTTGTGCTTGGGTTGGCCAGTCACCTTCATACATGCATCAGCAGTATCGTGCAAACTCTAGCTAGCTACAGCTACTGCACGTCTGACTTGCCAGTGGCCACCATTATCTAGACTGGGTAAGTTCTATGGTGAGCAGGCGCATGTTTGTATGCGTCCTACCTGGTCGGCTTAGGAAGTGTGTACTCTGCCACGTGCACGAATCCGCTACAGTATTACTAGTACAGTCATGTACTAGTAGCCCTATGGAAGTTATGGCTCGTTTTTATTTCAATCCAAATGAGCACCAGAAACCATAAAAAAAGAAGGGATAAAGCAACAGCAAATGAAGGTATGCGAGAAACGTTTTGTTTTTCACGGCTGAGCGTAGCGAAAGAGTTCAAAAAACGTATTTTTCACTCACAAATATTTTCGTGCGTTTGCTCTTGTTCTGCGCAACTCCGCTGAACCTGCCATCGTGGTCTTTGTTTTTCCTCGTGGTTGTTGAAGTTGCCTGCCCACCCACCCTGGTTTCATGGATGTCTTCCGCTGTTCTTCTTGATATTCTATGCCAATGTGTTTGGCTTATGATTATGACATACACCGGTTATTACATACCATTTCTTGCTGTCTCTTGGGTCCGACTGGCAGCGGGGCAGGAATTAATGAAATAGAAAGGTTTTTGGCCGAAAGGCGTGTTTTTCCTCTAGCCCGGTTGAGCGGTCGCGGCTAGGAATGTAGGGAGTCATGGTTTTCAGGCGCTCCCCTGCTGCCCAGTCACCCATGCTCACCACTGGCCATGTTGTTTCACTTGATTTTACGGCCTTTTTCTACCGCTTGCTGGCGGTCCTTTGATGGATTTAGATGTTTTCGGCTATTTATCTAAGAGGTGGCTGCGAGTGTGGTTTTTTTGCTTCTATTCTACTAATTTCTACTCATTTCTGGAAAACGACTACGGTGGTGAGTGTGATTGCTCTGGTAGACCACTACCCCATGTACTGAACAGTTGCTTTGTGAGTGAAAAACCCAATGTCCTAAAAAGAAGAAGAAAAGAAAGAAAGAAAATAGTGAATGAAGTCTCACACACTAATGAGCATGAGATAGAAACCACCTAATGGCACTAGTACAAGTACTAGTACTAGCTGGGTTTTTTCTTTCGATTTTGACGATACACTTTACTCGTCCTACTGAGTACTGTCGTGGACATGGAAATCCGGTCGCAAGTCTAGCGTAGCTGCCCCATCCCCATTACGTCATGGCCATGGCCCAGGCGCTAGGCCAGGGCCGGCTAGCCCGTTCCCAAAGATGCCAAAATTTTTCGCAACTATTAAACTATATTTTTAAAATAATAATACTTATGATTTTCGCAATTCGCAACCGTGCCAAAACAGGTGCTAGTTGCTGAAATACCAAAAAAGGACCAGAAATACTAGTAGCAGAAGTCAAAAGTCGTACACCCCTTCCTGCTGTGAACCACCACTTTACACAATGCCAGTACAGCAGTAGGTCTACTGGCAGTAGGTCTACTGGCAGTAGCCTGTTGCATGTAGTATCCTGGCCCTGGCCCTGGGACGTCGGACGCTTCACTTCACGCTCTACAGTAGAGGAGACGGCTCGATACCGGGACGCTTTGACAGCCAAATTTGTATAGACCCAAACCGATCATCAGCGTTGATTTTTCACTCGAAATATGTTTGTGGAAGGAAACTGGCATGTTGAAGTTTGCTCTGGGGCCAGAGTCAATCGAACTGAGCCACTCCTTTGTGTTGACCCATTGCCTCCAAGTTGCCCAATTTTTCGCTTCAAAAAAGTTCAAATCAGAGGTGGCTCCAAACCGGACACGTTTTAGAGTGCACGTCAAATTCACTCTGGGTCTGAAATTAGGTAATTGCTATCGCTCCACGACGGCCAGTACAGAGTAACAATAAGCCTTGTGTGTGCTTCCATTAGTTTTGATTGGTATGCGGTGCTTTATTGGCGAGAGGCGAGCCGCTGTTTACCTGCGACAAGAAGTTGATTTTTCGAAAGTCGTAAAACTCAAGTCGCAGTGGGAAGCAACACGTCAAAAACTCACCTGCTTGATATGGCGCTTCTGGTCATCGCAGAGCCATGAAATTTTGGCTCGGAGTATAACACATCGTGGTCTCACTGTGACATATGTTTTCTAATCAAAATACCAAGAGAGAAAGTGAATATTGAGTCCGTTCCGGTTTGCAACCTATGTCCTATTTGAAACCGTCCCCTCTACAGAGGCCAGAAGTGATCATCTTTTTTGGTCATTCCAGAAATGGCTGCACCTCCGCAGTTTTCTTCCCTACCCTGGTTTGTAGGCCACTCCGTTCGCAGCCAATCGACTCGGAGGAATAATTAATTGGCTTGGGAGACGTCGCACGTGTGTGACTCAATACTACTGCTACTAGCGGCAAACTACCAAGTGCCAGTAACCGCGCTATGGAAATCCGATGAACCCGAGTGGACTTCTTCGTGCGTGTAGAGGCGCCTATGCCGCTATGGATAGTTTCTCTGAGCTGCCGGGGCAGTCCATGGGAAATCATGGTGACAGCTGGGCACAATCAACCGTGATGACAGGCATGATCAACCGGCTTGCACAGATGTAGAAATAAATTGTCGTGGCTGCGTTTGAGAATGCACGTACAAGTCTTGAAGTGGTCTGTGGAACATACTGAGTACTATAGACTATAGTAGAGTCTCAGTACATGTACTCACTACCGCTGTACTGTTCACGATCACCATGATCACACTACAACAACGAAGCATGATTCCGGCAGGGTTGAGATCAGAATCTGCGACTCGGACGGAAATGACCAGACCTGAATCCTTTCACCTGAAGAGGTGAAAGGATTGAGATACCCCGCCAGGACCCAGGCCTCCAAGGTGGGTAGATGAGCACGTCGGTTCGATCTTGTCAGTGTAATGAATGTAGGAACATAACGTGTATCCATAGTAACGAATGTGGGAACATAACGTGTATCCATAGTAACGAATGTAGGAACATCATCATTCATGGGTATCCATAGTAACGAATGTAGGAACGTAGCAAGAAGGAGCCACGGGTGTGTGTGATCCCTGGTAGCCTAATCGGTAGGACACTGTCACGGAAAGACGGGTGCTGGGTTCGAATCCCGCTCGTGAATCCTTCTTTTGCAACAGGAACAATACGTGTTACCATAGATAGCACTGTATGTCGAAATATTACGGATCACATTCTGGCTGACGCATGGAGTTGCTGGATCAGGTAGTCTAGTACCAGCCTTTGTGACTGTTTTATTATGGGCTGCTAGCATGAGAACTCGTATTGCATGCTCGCATTGCATGCTTGTATTGCATGCTCGTATTGCATGCTCGTATTGCATGCTCGGGGCCGGGGTTGGGTTTCAAACATCCGTCTACTTGTATGGGGGAAAACCAACCACCCAAAGTCAAGCTTTGTTCTTATGAGTTTTTGCAGTTATCGATGCTTGTGTATGTGTGTGTTCATGGTACATGGTGTGTGTGTGTGTGTGTGTGTGTGTGTGTGTGTGTGTGTGTGTGTGTGTGTGTGTGTGTACATGTATGTGTGTGTCCAACATGCAACCGATGGCTATGTAGCAGGGGAGGCTTTCAGGCGCGTACCCAGGGGGAGGGGGGAGGGGGTTACAGGGTACGGACGACCCCCCCCCCCCCCTTTCTGTGAGCCACCTAAACTATTTTTCGGGGAAATTTCAGTATTTCGTCTCTCCATTGTCCGTAAGAAGACGGATCTTCTTCAACTTTCGGTATGGGACATATGGCACCCTACCGGTATCCCGACTGGAAAACATTCTAGTGTTAGGTACCTCCTCCCGTACCTTTTCTAGCTGGCCTGCATGCACTTGCGTACGCACCTTTTGTCTCCTTTTGCTCCGTTGGCCTGGGTAGCTACTTGCGCGCCCATATTTGCCATAGCTACCCAGGCCCTTTATCTTGCCATTTAGACTTGATCTCTCTCTCTCTCTTCTCACTCTTCAATGTAGTCGTTTCGTTCGTCTTGGTCTCTTGTCTCGTCGTCTACTAGTATAATAAATGTCGTTCCCACTAACCTGTTCCCGTTGTAATGTCTGGATATGTCGTCAGTCGTCTTGTTTCGAACTCAACATTGGCGCCCGATTATTGATCGACCCACGACCCTGAGATCATCCCATGCCCAGCCGTCCTCAACCACCATTCGTCTCGTCTATGTCAACCTCGTCTCGTCCATGTCAGTCTCGTCTCTCCTACGCCAACCTCGTCTCGTCTCTATCAACCTCGTCTCTCCTACGCCAACCTTACCTCGTCTATTCTCGTTCAAGCCATGCAGGTCAGCTACCTTTCTCTCTTTCTTTTTTTTTTTGTATGCTTCTTCGTCAAATTTATTTTCGTGAATTTTTTTGTAGTGTGTGCGCGCGCGTGTGTTCGTAAAACATAACCAAGTTAGGGGTCCGATCATGGTGAGCCACGCTCTAATTTTTGGATGTTTAGCAAAAGTGTAACTAGGCTGTATTAGCCGTGCAAAATACTAGTAATTCACGTTCCTCGTCAAACTCCAATAGTTATTACACACAATAAGTAGTACAGGAATGATGTGTACGAGTGCATTTTTAGTACACACGTTCGTGAGATCCATGCGCGCGTGCAGTATGTGTGTGTGTGTGTGTTTTCTCCTCCAGTTCATTTTTTTAAATCTTTTACTCTCTTTTTTTTCTCTCCGCGAGGACGCGGGATTTTTTTTCATGGAGGGGTTGTATGTTAGGTACCTCCTCCCGTACCTTTTCTAGCTGGCTTGCATGCACTTGCGTACGCACCTTTTGTCTCCTTTTGCTCCGTTGGCCTGGGTAGCTACTTGCGCGCCCATATTTGCCATAGCTACCCAGGCCCTTTATCTTGCCATTTAGACTTGATCTCTCTCTCTCTTCTCACTCTTCAATGTAGTCGTTTCGTTCGTCTTGGTCTCTTGTCTCGTCGTCTACTAGTATAATAAATGTCGTTCCCACTAACCTGTTCCCGTTGTAATGTCTTGATATGTCGTCAGTCGTCTTGTTTCGAACTCAACACTAGTATGAAACTCATTGTTGCAGAGAAACAGGAAAGAATTTGGTTTTACCCACCTACTCCCACTCAAAGTCTATCTCTCTGACGTCATAAATCCGGCCCGGTCTGGGCAGGTTAATGACGCCATCATGATGTCACCAATTTTAGTGCAAACTTCAAGCTGGTATAACTCAGGAGCGGCTGCTCAGGTCAACCTGGGACCTTCACCATTGGAACCAGTGCATTTTTCGCTACAGGTTGTGAAGTTTCATTTTAGGGTGAACTTCCCCTTTTAAATAAAATGTTCGGTCTGTACTGCTGCTGCTTGTATACACTGTCACACTGAACTACTGAACCACTGAACCTTGCAGAACAAATTTCCCCCGCAACAATATTTCGGCCAAATATGACCAGGCCGAAAATCGCCGAAAAAAAATACGCGCCGAATATTTGTTGATTTACAGTATGTGTGTCATATGGTACAGTGGCTAGCCCTTTCCCAAAGGTGCTCGCCCTTTTTTCGCCCTTTTTTCGCCCTTTTTGGAAAAGCCCGTTTCTTTCGCCCTTTATTGCGTTTTTTGGTAAATATCGCCCTTTTTGAGCTTTTTTTAGCTGAAAAATGCTAAAATCTGTTTGCTCATGCATGCGATCACAGTTTCCGAGTGCTCGATGGGCCTTGGCAGTTGGCACGCCGCTTTTTTGGGGGGCAACAAGTTGGTGAAGTTGGTGATGCAAGTTGGTGAAGTTGGTGATGCTGTAAAAAGTGGTTTTTTTCAACTTTACTTCCTGTTTTGCCTTTCGTGGACCCATAAATGGAAGAGTGCATATTCATTTCTCAGCTTGGGTTCATATCCGAACATGTATCATGGCTATGCTTCACTGAAAAAAGAGCACTTTTTGCCTGTTTTCACTGAAAAATGAGCACTTTTTCAGCATATTTCGAGGGACGCGAAAAGCACTAGCGGTGCGAATTAAAAGAGCACCTTTGGGAAAGGGCTAATCACGGCTATGCTTTGCTGAAAAATGAGCACTTTTGCCTGTTTTCAATGAAAAAAGAGCACTTTTTCAGCATATTTTGAGGGACGCGAAAAGCACTAAGTGCGAATTAAAAGAGCACCTTTGGGAAAGGGCTAGCAGTGGCATGTGCAGCATATGGTGCAGTGGCATCTGCAGCATGTGGTGCAGTGGCATGTGCGTCATGTGGTGCAGTGGCATGTGCAGCAATTTCCAATTCCCGACGATTGTGGTTATTCACGTCTTTCTTCTCTTCCCTAAACTCCTACCTTTTCTTTCATTCTCCCGGGTGGTTACTTAGCAACAGCCAGTGCATGCCGGAGTATGTGGTGCGCTGGTTATGCAAAGACCAAAAATAGGATTCACTGGCCACAAAAAGCCACTTCATAGCAATGTGGTGTAGACCAGGCTGAATAGTGGCGGTCAATTCTGCAGCCTTGCAAACTGTTGAATGGTGCAATCCCAGCACAAGTTGCTATGGCTTCTGCTGTAGCATCGCTATGATCGCCTCCGGCGATGGGCGTCAAAGGTCAAAAGGTATGTGTGTTACCAAGAGTACATAAACCAGAGTGTGCAACTGTGCATATCAGATCTGAAACAAGTAAATTCACCAGGCTATCCGTATCAAAAAACCGAAATCAGGACAAACCCAGTGACCTGCGCCACCGCGACTGGTTACGCACATTTTTCACCGTACCTGTGGCTTACCATGCCGTCAGAAATGATGTACTGCACATATTTCGCTCCCACAGGAACCATCCCGAGTTGCAGACTCTGGTTTACGTACTCTTGGTTTTACTCATACGGGCATGAAAGGATATTTATGATTGGTTGTGCGTCTATGGTATACTTCTTTTTCCCGCCCACAGACTTTCCGCACTGAGTGACTGCATGAGCCTCTCAGTCTTACATGTACTAGATATGATGGTGTGTTTACGTTGCTGCTACAGGTTGCCGTGTCCCTGTGCATGGAAGAACCCATCTCCATGGCTACCACTCATTTCTCTACCTTGGCAAGACCAGCAGAGCGTGCAATATCAACAGCGGTAGCTACAGCGGGAGCAGTAGCATCCGGTGCCCTAGGCATATATTCTCCTGGGGCAGGAACGCGGCCTGATTGTGTGCAGAAAGACCGCGATCGCACGCAAATCTACAGTATGATGAGGTCAGCGGCATGTGCTGTGCTGTGCTGTGATATCTTCTACAGCGAAGACCTGAATCTCCTGGGAATGGAACTGAATAACGCTTGCAAAAAGGACGCAGAGTCTGATGGCGGGTTGATAGAAAATGAGACAAATGAGGACGAGGAAGGAGAGGATGTCACTGACTGAAATTCAGCAGCAGCCTATACTCTGTACGTACACTTGAAATCACCATAGCCTATTTGGACATCTGTCTCTGTGCATGTGCTGAGCCATTGTTCACGGCATACTGTAGTCAAACTATGAATCCGCAGTTCTGCTCTTTCCGTGCATGTCGGCTGCAGTCTATGTATGTATGTGTGTATGTGTGTATGTATGTGTGCATGTGTGTATGTATGTGTGTATGTATGTGTGTATGTATGCATGCATGTGTGTATGTACTTCGAGTATGTGGTTACCAACAGCCAGTGTATGTCAGAGTTTGTGGTGTTGTGTGTGTGTTAAAAAAATGAAATGGAAAAAATGAAAAAAGTGATAATAGGGATTCATTGGCCAGAAAAAGCCACTTCAACCAGTCATGTGGTGTAGATCAGGCTGAAATTAGTGGAAGTCAATTCCTTAGACTTGCAAGCTGTTGAATGGTGTAGTCCCAGCACAAGTTAGTTGCTACATCTAGCATAGCTTGTTCGCTATCATTGCTTCAGCGATGGGCAGGAGTATGAATGTATGTATCCGTGTATGTGTGTGTGCATGTCTCCTATACTTCTCCATCCAAAGGCTGAGACAAACATCATGCAGCCACAACTGGATGACAAAGAAGGTTGTGGAAGCCATTCTACTAACTGGAAAAGCTCCTCATGGCTCCCTCAGTGATGATCATCAGTGGCTTCCAGGGGAACTTGAAGCATTGGTGGACTTCGGTGGGCGAAAGTTGTCTATCTTCCAGTTCGCCATTGTCAGAAATCGGAAGTCTATGGCTGAGAAGATCTTGCAGAAAGTTCGACCGGATTCGAGGTCAGAGTATTTGAAGGAACAGTTCAAGGCGATCGAGACTGAAAACAAACTCTACGAAGGTGTGTTACTACGTGCCCTCATGTACCGTAATCCTGGCCAGAGAAACCCGACTTGGTCAATAGAATAGTGCCGAGGGGCTACGCGGCCCTAGCATCACAAACACTGCTCCGCTTACATCAGAGTGCAGTGTTACTTTATTACTGTATTCATGACGTCGGGTTTCTCTGGCAAAACTGTACTAAAATAGAGCGTAGTGGAAACCACTGCATTTTAAAAGCCAGCGGTGCAGTCCAGTCTGCATAGACCCCAACGTGTTCATTCAGGCCTATTGGAACCTGTCCGGTTGCTTAGGTTAGTACCAGACCAGCTTTTCGGCCACCAACACATGTTTCCGTCTGTGGAGATCATGTGTACTCGCCATATTGTGTATACCCGCCATTTCATTCACGAAGTATGAAAGGTCATGATACTACTAGACCAATCAAAAACCACTTCCGGTGATCCTGCCATTGCCCGCGTTCCTGTTATAAATGTTCGCTACATACACGTTCTAACCATGAGCAGTGTAGGTCTGGTGGCTGTTTTAAAAAGACAAACGGCTTAGACGCTGTTGTCCCTTTGATGCTATGGAATCTGGGTGTGTTGTGCAGAAGTGAAGTATTCCCTGCTCGTGCAGCCTGCGGGCTGAGTCTTGCCCTGGGCTGCAGTGCAAAGGGTTGCATAGGGGGTGTATTTGGGGCAGTAAACATTGCCAATGCACAGTCAAGAAACTGTGGGGGAGGAATGTCTGCCTTGGGATTTTCTCTACTGAGACTAATAATCGGTTTTTCATTTGACCCGTCTTGATTAGCACACGATGGTCGCAGACGACTGCATGAACAGTTCACAAGCCACACTCCACGATAGCACGTAGTTTTATTCCTGAAAAGTCTTGTTGCATTCCAGGAGGTGACAAACTCATCAGAGGAGAAGCAGTTGTTGAATGAAAAGTTGATGAGTTCCAGCAAACCAGATGGAAATCCGTGAATAAATGATGCAGTAACTGTGGTGGTTTTGTGTATGGTCTGCGGCCACAAATGTTGGCAACTTGAAACTTGAAATGCGTCTTTCTCCGTGTCAGTCAAGTGCAGCTAGGCACCTTTTCGCGTGCGATGCACCATATTATTCACTCATGAGTAGGATGTCAGACTCGATTTATCATTGTAAGTTGCATCCGCTTCTTTGCCCTCGACATTATTTGAAGTATAAAACGGTGCAACTAATATCCAGGGAGATGCGCCAACTGCAACAGCTGAAACAGTGCCTCTGTCCTGGCTCCTTGTACATGTGTACATAATCTGCTGTTTTTATCCATGCAGGTGAAACGATTTTTCACTTTGCTGCCATGCACGCTGCTCAGCGGTACTCTGGCCCGGCTGACCCGGACTCGGACGTTAACAAAGACCCTGGCGACGAGTGCACGCTGCATTTCCTGCTAGAACTGCTGCCGGAGATATCGTACACGGCCGAGACAGTTCTGGGAGTGTATGCTAACGGTCTGCTCTACACTAGAGAAAGAATACCACAAGTGAGTGCATGTCCAGCAGCAGTAGCAGCAGCAGCAGCAGCAGCAGCAGCAGTAGCAACAGCAGCACTAGCAGCAGCAGTAGCAGCAGCAGCAACAGCAGCACTAGCAGCAGCAGTAGCAGCAGCAGCAGCAACAGCAGCACTAGCAGCAGCAGCAGTAGCAGCAGCAACAGCAGCACTAGCAGCAGCAGTAGCAGCAGCAGCAACAGCAACAGCAGTAGCAGCAGCAACAGCAGCAGTAGCAGCAGCAACAGCAGCAGCAGTAGCAGCAGCAGCAACAGCAGCAGCAGCAGTAACAGCAGCAGCAGCACTAGCAGCACTAGCAGCAGCACTAGCAGCAGCAGTAGCAGCAGCAGTAGCAGCAGCAGCAGTAGCAGCAACAGGAGCACTAGTAGCAGTAGCAGTAGCAGCAGCAGTAGCAGCAGCAGCAGTAGCAGTAGCAGCAACAGCAGCAGCAGCACTAGTAGCAGTAGCAACAGCACTAGTAGCAGTAGCAGCAGCACTAGTAGCAGTAGCAACAGCACTAGTAGCAGTAGCAGCACTAGTAGCAGTAGCAGCTATAGTAGCAACTTCAACAGGAGTACTTGTAGTTGTACATGAATGATGTTCTTTGAAATCTTTGCCCGGCGAGTCAGGAACCAGTGCCTGAGACACTCATCCTACATGCCATTGCTAAAGCAGACCCGTGTGTTGAATGCTCACTCGCACGCACGCGCATGCGCGCGCGCGGACACACACACCTTGGGGAATTTAACCTGCCCGAGTGTCCTGTGTCAAGACGCCTGTAACCATTCCTTCAGCCCGCATAAACATCTTTAAAGCATTTTTTCTGTGTCCTGGCTTGTTGGATATTGTATGTAGGTGTTTTCCATGATCAAGAACGTCAAGAGAAACTGCCTGAATGCTGGGTGTACACCGTTTGCACTGGCCGTTTGCTTGCAAAGCCGTCGCATCGTCAATTACATGCTGAAGCAGGATTCTAGTCTCTTGAAGTCTATTGATCCGCTGGTTAGTCACACTCTGAGCTGCTGGGGATATGGCAACATTACACAGCGCTCTACATGCATACAGTCAAATATATGACACACCCATAGACGAGAAGTAATCTCGAGGCATCTTGCTGCTTCATCCGTAGAGAGTAGTTGGGTGGACACAACCATTCCCACAGCACTGCAGACCGAACCGATTCCTTTTGTGTACAACGTTTCGGCAAAATTGCCATCACCAGGTACGAAATGAAACAATGATGCCATGCAGGCCAAAAACACACCCCATAGACACCATATTACGCCAAGTAAAAATAATTGATTGTTGATCGTCAGCGCCCGCCCCGATTTTTCAGTCCGTCCCGGTATTTTTTTATTTTTTATTTTCGTGATCAACGGTAGAAAACTCATGTGTTAAGCAAAACACGAACTTTTTTTAGCAGTACCCGCGTACGCGAGCTCTCATGTACAGCTTCAACGTGCTTTTACCGTAGCGACATTACGCAGTGCAGTGTGATTCCAGTGTACTTGTGTGAAATCTGGCAACTACAATACATGGTACTGTATAGTCTGTACAGTGTATCACCTGATGTCTACGCCTGCATTCATGGAAACTGCGCAACCACCGCGTATCGCGTCCGAAGCTGTTGTTGATCGCCGCATGGCAGCAGGAAATTGTATCACAGAGTCATCTGCACATGTTCAAAGTTTTTGGAGTGTGCCCAGGCAGACTGGTAGCAGTCACAACCAACAATGGTAGTACACCCATCACCCCGGCATAGATGTAATACATGCTAAGATTTCAAGATGGCCGGCCGATGCAGATATAAAAAAAGTTATAAAATAAAAATAAAACCCTCCGTCCGCCGCGATTTTTTTCTGAAAATTCTGACGATCAACAATCTCTTTTTTTTACTTGGCCTTAAATAGGAAATTAGAGGCAACATGCCAAGTACTGCTCTTTTCTCTCCGAAACTCAACACTTGCAAGCCAGATATGAAAGAAAGAAAAATCATCAGTCACACCACCGGAACTCGAACCAGCAAAATCCCTGGTTCGAGTCCCGGTGGTGTGACTGATGATTTTTCTTTCTTTCGTATCTGGCTTACAAGTGTTGATTTTCGGAGAGAAAAGAGCAGTACGTGGCATGTGGCCTCTAACTTCCTAACACAGTAGATATTGGTTATAACGTGCCCTTCTGATTTTTCACATGTTATCACTATAACCGGTATATCACTACAGGCGATTTTCGACTGCGCTCGTCTTACATACACATTATACACGTGAGGGTACTCAATCGCGCTAATGTAGCGTACTGATACATGATGCATGCTGCTGCACCTTCCCCGGTCTAGAGTGAAGAACTTCTTGGCCCAAAGGCATCATCCAGGATCAGACCTGAAAACACACATGTGGCTCCAAGTCGAGACATCAATGCCTCACACTCGTGTGTTGCTATCATTATAGACGATATTTGTTCTGCACAAAGAGGTGTTTTGAATGGTGATTCTGTATCCTTATAGCCGATTTATCGCTATATCCGATATATTGGTTATAATGATAATTTGACTGGCTTTTTCCGGTTTTGCTTTTGATATTTTCATTTTGCATCAATATAGCCGGTTTATCACTATGTCCGATGACTTTATAACCGATATCAAGAGTAGATAAACAAGAGTGTGCAACTCGCGGATGGGTAGGCCCACGGCGGAATGTTTTGTTGACGTAATCTTTTCGACGACGCACGCGCTGCGAGTCTTTCGGAAAGTTTCCCCTCGTGCTCTTGGCTGGGCTTTACAGTACAAGCTCGGTGCCCAGCACGTGCTCTCACACTGCTCTGCGCCAAGATGCGCGTTTTTCTGAAAAAAAGGTGACGTCAACAAAAAATTCCGCCATGGGCGGGGGTATCTGCAGATTGTGCAGGAGAGATCTGGAGTTGCACACTCTTGTTTATTCTACTCTTGCCGATATCCACTGTACTTTGAAATTCTCCGTGAAGTCCACATTTGAAATTGCCATAGACACCGTGGCAAATTAAATGGTAGGCTATCCACTGGTAGGCTATCCACTGGCGTAACCTCAGGCCTGTAAGCACCAGTCTGTGAACTGGGTACAGCACTACGTTAAGCATGAATATTGGAATCACTAAGACTACTAAGAGTGACTTTTGCACTACTTCCATGTAGGTGTATATCGTGTTCCGGTATAGTGTATTATGTATAGTGTATTGTCACGGACTGCCAATGGGTTGTCTTTTGTTTTTGAAGCAGTTGTTGGATGTCATTTCTTGTTTTTTCATGCTTTTTCTTCTTATGCTGTTTTCAGGGCAACAATGTCGTCCATCGACTGGCAGCTCAAATGAAGAGGATTTGCGATGACGTTCCTCCGGATGCGGAAAGTCTCCAAAAAATGTTCACGTTCTTAATGAAGAAAGAAGCGGAGTATTTTCCAGGTTCCCTCGTCAAGAACGATTGTCTGCTGAGACAACGCAATTGCAAAGGATACCGGCCAATTCATGTTGCTACCTACAATGGAAATGTACCGGTAAGAAACCTCATTCCGCCAGTCTCTCCCATTTTGGGTTGGATAGGACTTTTGGTGGATACACTTTCTTTCCATCCCATTATCCATACCTGAATCCATCCGGCAGTAATCCATGCCACTCTGCAATCCATGTCTTCCTTGATTCCATGGTAACCCATCCTTTCTTTCCTGCACTTGTCTGTTTGTGAATCCATCCATTTCAAATCCACTCCTGAATCCATCCATCTGCCCGTCCCTGAGACTCTCCAAACGGCAATAACTATCTACGGTGCCTTCACCTGCATGCTTCGACAGTCAGTCTTTGCTCTCTTCCGGCAGAGTTCATTTTGAAGGTTTCTGCCAGGTTGCAGAGTTTGTTAGATCAACGAACATCCACACACTGCAATAGAGAAACTAAGAGGCATGCCACGGGATGCTTTATGCCAAATCCATACAGCCCCAAAACCTCAGTTTCCCGTTTTAAAAACGTACACCCACGGGGGCGTTGGAAACACTATTCTCCTCAGTATGAAGTGTTAACGGACATTTATTTATTTATTTAGAGACTTAGTCGGAGGGAAACATATCAGCTCACAAAGAGACGAAGCCAGTTGAAAATCTGATAAGGCCTTTCGTACCATTACTCTTCAAAATCACCATGTACTGATTTTGAAGAGTCACAATGGTACGAAAGGCCTTATCAGATTTTCAACTAGCTTCGTCTCTTCGTGTGCTGATATATTTATTTATTTACTCAATCTGCGGACAGCACGCCGTTTCGTTCTTTGTGAACTCATCAGAGCAGCACAGAGAAAATGAGGCCGAACCTGATAGCAATGAAAATAAAATTTCCAAAGCCAGATTTATATCAGACCCAAACGTACCTTGCCAGAGTGCTCAAACTGACAAGTCAGTGAGCTCTGCTATTTATTTATTTATTTATTCACAATCCCGTGGCACTAGCCAATGAAAAGGTGATGTGGGCGATAGCCAGCCACGGCGGTAATAGATTTGCCTCTTTCCATGTTGCCTGGACTCTCCACCCTTTGATCCTTGAGGGTGGAGAGAGTGGTGAGGGTGGTGAGGGTGGAGAGGGTGGTGGCCGCGTTCCTACGGATACAGAAAGCTTGTCCCAACTGAGTATGATGCGAACCATGAATGTTTTGGAGTCCAGTTACCTGCCAACGTATGTTACCATGGAGATTGACTTATCATATATGCTGGTAAATTTTAAAGACCTGATTACCTGAGTCTCTCGCTCTCTTTGTTGTCCGTGATCATCGGTTGTTTAGATCTTCAAGTCGATCGTGTCCTCGCCCTCAGTGCGTACACTGCTGGTCGACTACGACACAATGAAGCTGGCAGCGTATCGTCTGGAGGACCTGGACTCGCAGTCCGAGCGGGAATCTGGCTACGATGCTATCAACGTGCTTGACGTGGCCATTTCCAGCCCCGAACCAGATGTATGTGATGATCAGTACTGGGGGGGGGGGGCAGGGGGCATGGGGCATCAGTACTGGGGGAGGGGCAGGGGCATGGGGCATCAGTACTGGGGGAGGGGCAGGGGCATGGGGCATCAGTACTGGGGGGGGGGGGGGGGTGGAGGGTGCAGGTTGCATGGAGCATCAGTACCGTGGGGGGGGGGGGGCATGTGACTCAGGAATTCTCCACTCTCCGTACATGCATGACTGCAAGCATGTGTAGATGTACTGTGGGGATGCTACTGTATATCTCACGCAACCAGGAAGATTTTAGCCGGTGATGCAGTGCCCCTACCCCCTCTCCCCCGCACACATGCAGCACTCACCATCAAATCCTGCAGGGAAGACTACAGTGGTGCTGTGTCGTCCTCTGCACAGTATCTGAAGTACAAATTGGTACAATGAAGAGTGTTTGGCCGCGCTTTCTGCCTAAAGCCTCTATTATGTGGTCTTGCTTTTCATACGGATCTGCAACATTATCTTCTACTACTACTAGCTCTCCGTCTGTCTGCCTGCCTGCCTGCCTGCCTGTCTGCCTGTCTGTCTGGTTGTTTGCCTGTCTGTCTGTCTGTCTGTCTGTCTGTCTGTCTGTCTATGTAATTCTGCCTCTCTCTTTCTTCTCTCGCCTTGTGTGTACTTCTGTACATGCGATGTGTGTTTATGTTTGTTTGCATGCATACCTGTGCTTGCATGTGTGTGTGGGCCTTTGTCCGCGTGTGCCTGTGTGTCTGAGTCCGTTGACATGTGTTTGTGTTTGTGTGGATGCATGCATACTTGCATGTGTGTGTGTGTGTATGTGTGTGTGTGTATGTGCGTGTGTGTGTGTGTGTATGTGTGTGTGTGTGTATGTGCGTGTGTGTGTATGTGCGTGTGTGTGTGTGTTTGTGTAAGTGTGTGTGTATGTATGTGTGTGTGTGTGTGTGTGTGTGTGTGTGTGTGTGTGTGTGTGTGTGTGTGTGTGTGTGTGTGTGTGTGTGTGTGTGTGTGTGTGTGTGTGTGTGTGTGTGTGTGTGTGTGTGGTAAAACAGGCTACAGCGGTTTTGTCCATCGCACCCATGCCTCAGCTGACTGAGCTGAAGTGGCAGACATATGGGTCGGTAGGATTTTCCTACATGTTCTTCATCAACCTCATCTACCTGATAGCATTATCGGCTGCTGCCTACTACAGACCTCTAATGTACTCCGTATGCGATGCCATCATAGACCCGGAACAGCAGACGTTTGTGAGAAACCAAATTCTCTCCGGTGGTACCAACGTGAGCTACTGCATGCCGTGGACTATGCGACCTTTCCTGGTAGGGTCCTGTCTGGTCTGGTCTGGTCTGGTCCTGTCTGTCAGGGTCCTGTCTGTCAGGGTCCTGTCTGTCAGGGTCCTGTCTGTCAGGGTCCTGTCTGTCAGGGTCCTGTCTGTCAGGGTCCTGTCTGTCAGGGTCCTGTCTGTCAGGGTCCTGTCTGTCAGGGTCCTGTCTGTCAGGGTCCTGTCTGTCAGGGTCCTGTCTGTCAGGGTCCTGTCTGTCAGGGTCCTGTCTGTCAGGGTCCTGTCTGTCAGGGTCCTGTCTGTCAGGGTCCTGTCTGTCAGGGTCCTGTCTGTCAGGGTCCTGTCTGTCAGGGTCCTGTCTGTCAGGGTCCTGTCTGTCAGGGTCCTGTCTGTCAGGGTCCTGTCTGTCAGGGTCCTGTCTGTCAGGGTCCTGTCTGTCAGGGTCCTGTCTGTCAGGGTCCTGTCTGTCAGGGTCCTGTCTGTCAGGGTCCTGTCTGTCAGGGTCCTGTCTGTCAGGGTCCTGTCTGTCAGGGTCCTGTCTGTCAGGGTCCTGTCTGTCAGGGTCCTGTCTGTCAGGGTCCTGTCTGTCAGGGTCCTGTCTGTCAGGGTCCTGTCTGGTAGGGTCCTGTCTGTCAGGGTCCTGTCTGGTAGGGTCCTGTCTGTCAGGGTCCTGTCTGTCAGGGTCCTGTCTGGTAGGGTCCTGTCTGTCAGGGTCCTGTCTGTCAGGGTCCTGTCTGGTAGGGTCCTGTCTGTCAGGGTCCTGTCTGTCAGGGTCCTGTCTGTCAGGGTCCTGTCTGGTAGGGTCCTGTCTGTCAGGGTCCTGTCTGTCAGGGTCCTGTCTGTCAGGGTCCTGTCTGGTAGGGTCCTGTCTGGTAGGGTCCTGTCTGTCAGGGTCCTGTCTGTCAGGGTCCTGTCTGGTAGGGTCCTGTCTGGTAGGGTCCTGTCTGTCAGGGTCCTGTCTGTCAGGGTCCTGTCTGGTAGGGTCCTGTCTGCCGGTCTTGCTGTTGTGAATGTACAAACTGCATGTGACATGCATGGCCGGTGGTGCTGGGGGTAGTGCTGGTGGTGGTGGTGGTGATGGTGATGGTGCTGGTGGTGGTGATGGTGCTGGTGGTGGTGGTGGTGATGGTGGTTGTGGTGGTGGTGTTGGTGGTAGTGGTGTTGGTGGTGATGGTGGTGATGGTGCTGGTGGTGGTAGTGGTAGTGGTGCTGGTGGTAGTGTTGGTGGTAGTGGTGGTGGTGGCGGTGCTGGTGTTGGTGCTGGTGGTGACGGTGGTGATGGGAAATTCAGTTTGGCTCCATTGCTCATGTTAGTTCTACTTTCTTTTTCATAGTATACTGTGCTGATGCTATGTACCGTATTTACCCCAATGTAAGTCGCACTTTTTTTACACTAAAATTCGAAACCAAAGAAGGGGTGCAACTTACAATCGAGTGTGACTTACAATCGAGTGCAACTTACAATCGAGTGCAACTTACAATCGAGTGTGACTTACAATCGAGTGTGACTTACAATCGAGTGTGACTTACAATCGAGTGTGACTTACAATCGAGTGTGACTTACAATCGAGTGTGACCTCCTACTCATGTGAATGTTTTGATACAATTTGTTTCAGACCTGAAAATGGATTGTGACTTATACTCGGGGGAAATACGGTATACATTGGTTGGGTTGAATGTATGTCTGGGCACTTGCTCAAAGCAACTACCTGCCATATGACATATTAGTTTGGCAACACCATTCACTACAGCCTTACAGGCCTGACTCCATGGCCAGAGCCTTGGTGAAACAGATACTGCTGCGGTTTTCGCAAGCAGCTGGACAGAGAAGCTTCGGAATGTTTCGTGTGCTCTTTCAGGATTCGTACCGTACTACTAGTGACTATACTCGACTGTTTGCTGAAATCCTGGTGATACTCATCACATTGCTCCACTTCTACTCTGAGGTGAGAACATTTAGCATGCCATCATCAACATCATTTAGCATGCTATCATCATCATCATCATTTAGCATGCTATCATCAACATGAATTTACTCATTCTACTCTGAGATGTGAACTCTGCGTGCCTCTTGGATCCACATATCGCATGATCAGGAAGTGAGCAACAACATTCATGCCTGCCTCGAATAATTTACTCTCAAACTTTGTGACGAAAATTGTAGGATGAACGTTGACCTTGCACCTTGGTCCAATATAGAATTTTAAGCTGTGGTATCCCTCTTCCCCTGTGCCTTGATCCTTTAGGTTGATGGGGTATCCCTCTTCCCCCGTGCCTTGATCCTTTAGGTTGATGGGGTATCCCTCTTCCCCTGTGCCTTGATCCTTTAGGTTGATGGGGTATCCCTCTTCCCCTGTGCCTTGATCCTTTAGGTTGATGGGGTATCCCTCTTCCCCTGTGCCTTGATCCTTTAGGTTGATGGGGTATCCCTCTTCCCCTGTGCCTTGATCCTGTAGGTTGATGGGGTATCCCTCTTCCCCTGTGCCTTGATCCTTTAGGTTGATGGGGTATCCCTCTTCCCCTGTACCTTGATCCATTAGGTTGATGGGGTATCCCTCTTCCCCTGTGCCTTGATCCTTTAGGTTGATGGGGTATCCCTCTTCCCCTGTGCCTTGATCCATTAGGTTGATGGGGTATCCCTCTTCCCCTGTGCCTTGATCCTTTAGGTTGATGGGGTATCCCTCTTCCCCTGTGCCTTGATCCATTAGGTTGATGGGGTTTCCCTCTTCCCCTGTGCCTTGATCCATTAGGTTGATGGGGTTTCCCTCTTCCCCTGTGCCTTGATCCATTAGGTTGATGGGGTTTCTATGGTATACTGTAAGTCAGCAAATATTCGGCGCATATTTATTTGGACTAGTTGAAGGGATATTTATTTTCGGCTATTTTCGGCCTGGTCATATTTGCCCAAAATTTTGTTTTGCAAGGTTCATAGTGACAGTGTATTATAAAGGCAGCAGGAGTACAGGCTGAAAATTTAATGCGGTCCAAACTTGTTTTAGCCCTGGGAGGCCGAAATTTGAATGGACCAAAAAATTGTCGACTTACAGTATAGAGATGGGTAACACTCTCACCGAGCCTTACAAGAACTGTGATTCCAAAGTTTTGTTGCCTCCATGCCCAATTCGGAGATGGTTTATACTTTCTTTAGATCCTGCATACCAAGTGGATCCTACATAGGTCAACCCACGAGGCAGGCAGGCATAGTGGCATGATCTAAGACCATGATTGAGAGACAGATGGTACCAGGTTCAAGTCCTGCCTGGCA